AGCATTCATCTTTCATCTTTCATCTTTCATCCTTCATCTTTCAGCCATCAACTACTCTTGCTCCTTCAAACGCATCATCCCCCTTCCCTTCTCCCTCCTCCTCCTCCTCCTCCTCACCTCCCTCCGTCACCCCCCTCCACTTCTCACACCTTTTCCCACACCACATCTACATCTCATCTTGGTTCATCCTCTTCTTCAACTCGTAATGCCCTGCCCCCATTGCTAATCCCTTTCGCGACCCCCCACATCACCCACCGGCACCCCAGTCCATCGACAGCGCGGTAATCCTCCGCCTCCACCTCCCAACTTTCTCCCCTTGGCGGCAACGACGTCGACGAGCGACAGCGCGCGCCCGCCGCCGCCGCTGCCGCCCACGCTACGCTCCCGTGCCTCATTCGACTACGCACTTGGCTCTTTGTTCCTTTCCACCTCTCACGTATCCCACCCCCCCGCGCGCGGCGACGGTAGGCTGACCAAGCCCAACCTCGAGCTCGACTTTGAGACGCGCGCGCGTGCGACAGCCGCTTGATCGACAGGGCTAAAAGATCTTTACAACCCCCCTTGCCTCCCGCCATTGGCACTCGTGACTCGCACGACGAGCTCTTCATCATGGCCCAACACGCTACTCTCCTCCCACCACATCACAGTGGCCACGAGCCATATCCCCAGCCTCCCCATCACATGTTGCCCGCCCCGTCTCATCACTCATTACCAGTCGCCAACGGGCCTCATCCATCACATCCATCTCATTACCCTCCTCCTCCACCTCAACAATCACACGCTTCCACAGCACCCCACTCTGTCCATTTGCCACCTGTTGGACAGCCTGCTGCTGCTCCCCGAGGCGCGGAATACTACTCCCCCAACGCCTCCTACTACCCACAAAATCACCAGCTCTCGTCCCCGCATCACATCTCGCCACCGCCACCCCCATTACCCCACAACAGCTCCTCATCGTCACCGGGCGGGGCACTACCCATGCCTGCAGCTGGTCCGTCGTCTTTGCATACTAGTCCTTCAGCGCCGGGCAGCGGGTTGGAATGGCAGCACAACGGTGACATGTCACAAGATCGGCGGCCGAGCATCCCAGCAAGATCCGACCCACGATCACAGCTGCCTTCACCAGAACCCCAAGGCCCCGTCCGCAGGGCCAGCGAAGTTCTCATGCATCAGCAAGCAGGCGCCCGTACAAGTGACAGCTACTTGGCCCGTGCCACTCACGAGCAGCTGGCGTTGCACGACCGCCCCATGGCTCGGCGACCAAGCGACATGGGCGGCGGCGCGGACGAAGACGACGGTCGCGTTGGAGTAGAGGACCCTTGTGAGTCACCCCCCTCGCCGTCGCGCGTGACATGTTGCGCACCTTACTAACTGCACTCCAGACGCAGAACGCTCGTACACAGAGCTCAAAGTCCTCGGTGACGGTTCCTTTGGCACAGTCTGGCTTTGCGATTGGCACTCGCCGGTCAAGTCGGACGTTCTGTTGTCCGCCATGCAGTGCGGGCAAGGAGCGCGCGCGGAATGGGCTGGCAAGCGTCTTGTCGCATTGAAGCGCATGAAGCGCGTATGGGAAGGAGGATGGCGTCAAGCGCGCAACCTCGGTGAATTAGCTGTAAGTGTGGTCCATCTACCACGAGCGGGCTGTTGACGACAGTCGTTGCGGAGCATCCCTCCCCACCCAGCAGTCATTCCGCTTTACGATGCCTTCATCTCCCCAAGGTCACGCGAGCTTTACTTCGTCTTCGAGTGCATGGAGGGCAATCTCTACCAGCTCACCAAATCGCGTAAGGGACGACCGCTCGCAGCTGGCCTCATCGCTAGCTGCTTCCACCAAATGGTCTCAGGCCTGCAACACGTCCACCGGCACGGATTCTTCCATCGTGACATGAAACCGGAGAACTTGCTCGTTACAACGACAGGCTTGTGCGAGTATTTGTCGACCAAAGCCGTCGAGGAAATAAACGCGCGTCGCGCGGCGGGCGACCCGGACTTCCAGCTCCAGATCATGGACGAGAAGGACCCGCGCATCCAGATGGACGTGCAGGTTATCATCAAGCTGGCCGACTTTGGTCTTGCTCGCGCGATCAACTCGAAGCCTCCGTACACCGAGTACGTTTCCACGCGATGGTATCGTGCCCCCGAAGTCCTGTTGCGTGCCACCGACTACGGCGCACCAGTGGACATGTGGGCTCTCGGCACCATTCTGGCAGAGATGATAAACCTCAAGCCCCTCTTCCCCGGTTCGAGTGAGATTGACCAGGTGTACCGCATTTGCGAAGTCCTTGGAGATCCTTCCCCCGAGTATGGGCCGGACGCGAACGGGCGCATCAATGGCGGAGGTAGATGGAACACGGGCATCAAGCTCGCGAAACGTGTTGGGTTCTCATTCCCCAAGCGCAAGCCACTGGAACTGAGAGCTCTGTTTCCGAAGGACACTCCGCGCTCGCTCATCGACTGCGTTGCCAACCTCCTGCGATACAATCCCCGATACCGCATGACCTCGGACGACTGCATGACCCACCTTTACTTTCGCGAGGTTCTGCCTCACCTTCAGCGTGTGCCGCCACTCCCGCGCATTCCCTTTGCCTGGGGACAACCGTCGCCACGGCCCACGCCAAGTGCCCAACAGCCGCCAGTCACCAACCTCAATGTTCCCAGCCGCCATCCCCCACCGTCTCACTCGCACCACGAGCCCCACGGTGCCTTCGCATCCGGCGAATTGTGCACACTACCGCCTCCGTCGACCGTGGACACGCCTGTTGGAGAGCCGCTCACGCCAAACGGTCCGGTCTCGGGAACGTACTTTACGCAACCCTACCGCCAGGATGCGGAGCAGAGGCCGTATGGCGCCTCGGCGCTCGTCCGCCAGCTGCGCGAGCTCGACCTTCCCACAGACGACCTCGCGAGCTACGGCGCACGGCGATGGTCAGAGGCAGAGCTTGTCGCAAGCCGTCAGCGGTACGCGAATTCTGTGCACGCTGGTTCAGTTCAGTCGATTCCTGACAGCGTGTCCAACCCTTCGTACAGCAACCTGAACTCGCTATCCGCCATAAGCCTCGACATGATGCAGCCCCACCAGCAGCAGCACCATCACCAACGGACTCCGGACCCGCACGTCATGGCTTATGTCCGACAGCAGGCGGCTTACCAGCAGCAAATGCAGCAGCCCGCTGTGTCACAGTCGACGCCTAACCTTGCTCCTACTGCGCCAGCTGCAGACCCGAACAGCCTGAGACAGGCCCAGTCTACCATGACCCTACCTCTTCCCTCGGCCAACCACATGCCCCCGCCGAACGCCCATATGGCCCCACCCTCCCAGGCCACCTCCAAGCTCGGTCCCCCTCCCCCCGCGCCAATCGGGAAGAAGAAGAAGTGGGGGCTGTCGTCCGTCTTCGGGGGCGCTGCTGGGAAGAATGGCACCACTTTGCCTTCGGTCGACGAGCATGCCGCTGCAACTACTTCCCTTAAGCGCACGCAATCTGGTCAGTACGCCGACGACCGCGTCACTCCCGGCGAGCAGTCACCATCAGCCATGGACCCCAAGTTGTCCAAGAAGGAGGCAGAACGGCAGTCGCGCGAGCTACTCAAGGCCAAGCGTGAGGCTGCTGAACGGGCTCAGAAGGAGAGGGCCCGCGCGGTCCTCAACAAGCGTGCCCAGTTGGTCGGAGGTCGGAAGGTCGAGATGGAGTACTCGAACATTGCGAGTGACAACATTGGCTTGACCAAGCAGGTGTCGCGTCCAGTCGCTGGTTACCCGAGTGGTTACCCCTCGTCGCAGACACTGCCGTCGGGATCTATCACATCGCTCGCATCCTTCCCCGGATCAGGCCAGTCTCCATACCTCCAGGTTGAGGATGGTATGGGTCGCAACAAGGCCCGCAAGCAGTACGAGGAGGATGATCACAGCTCGATAGGGCGCGTTTCGGCCAAGAGCCGCAGCCTTCTCAGTGTTGCCACGATGGACAGCGAGTGAGTTGAACGGCGACAGTGCCCGGCGACAATATTGATGGTAGCCCTACGGGTTCGCGTCGCAGCTTGCACAATGTGTGGCCCGAGCAGGTGTCCCAGTCTTCGCGTAGACCGCCTTCAAACACGTACAGGCCGTCTATGTCGCACTCGTCGGCATCACTCGACAACCAGCTGTCATCGCAGCTCCAACGCACCACCGTTCAGTCGGCATCTGAGTCGTCTCTGTCTCTTGGTCGCAACCCCATGCCACCCAATCGCGCCTCAATGTCTGGGCCTTCAATCCAGAACATGAACTTCCAACCCCAAGGCGCGTATGCCTATCCCGCGGGTCATGCAATGACCATTGGCGCCAGCGCTAGCCGTCGCAGTAGTCGCGCCCAGCTTCCGAGCATAGAGGATGGGCCGTCATCTCCCACACCTATAAACCCCATGTTCAAAGTTGTGAGTAGCATCTGTTGGCTCTGCTCACCCTCTAGCCGCCTGGTGTGTCCCAGCCGCACCCTGGAGACGCGGGGGCCAATGGTGGCCTGCCACCATTCTCGTCGCTAATCAACCTGACCAACCCGAATATCCAGAACCCCCCTCAGTAAATGCTTAACCATCCCCGCCTTCGGACCATGTGCTATCGTAGCCTGTGCCTGTAGCCGACTCGAGATCCACCACATCTGTTCTTTCTCTGCCATCAATATCACCCAGCATATGGCCACGGCCTCTGTATAGCATCTCGCGTCCACCGGATGCATTCCATTCCATGTGGCCGTTTTGGTTCTTCAAGCGTCGATCGAGCATACCATACCTGATTGCGTCGCCACCGATCTTGTTGTCGTCCGTACTGCACGTTGAGCTGGACGTGAGTCCAGCACCTCGGCGCCAGGCTCAGTCCAAAGTGCCCGTCTGACCGGTGCCTGCCCTCGACCTCGCCCTCGCCCTCGCCCTCGCCCTAGCCCTCGGAGTCACTGCGTGCCTTTCCCATGCTCATTAACTCGGCACCGTGCCGTGTGCCGTGGCTTACCTCCAGCTCGGAATGATCAATCCGAGGCACATGGCGACGTGTGCAGCGCCGCTGCAGATCAGCAGAGTGACTATCCTCCGCGCCGCCAATTCTCCTCGCACCAGGCGGCCCAAGCGCGCCGTCACGCGGCACGGCGCACGGCGCACAGCGCACGGCATGCACGGGCACACACGCCACCGCCACATGCCACACATGCCACACACGCCACCCACACACGCCAGATTTCGTTCCTGCACATACTCGCTCTCCATCTGTCAGCGCGCCCGTCGCCAAGCATGCGCACCTCCGCTGCTTCGTCGCTCTGCGTCCCTCTGCTCGCTCCGCATCTGCATGACTGTATCAGCCTCACTTGGATCTCGGAGGATCGGTGGTCGGACCAATGGCTGGGTGGCGATTCGAGCCTGCTAAAGCGGATGTTTGCGGCGCTGAGGGAGGTCGAGTGCGATGGCTGTGTTTCGTGATGAGGAGGAGAGCGTGGCGGGTGTGGTCTGATCCGAGGTCCACTTTGCGCGTGACTGAGTGATGACATTTTGGACCGACGTTCGACCCAGTGTGAAGTAGAAGGGTGTGGCCGAGCAGCGTAGGAGCGCCGGCTCTCGAGGGCGACGAGGGATGCGAGACTTGAGCCCCGCTTTGTCCTCCACTGTCACCGGCGCCAACGGTACCCGCCTTCCGTAGCTGCCGCTGGGCTCGTGTTCGACAAGGAGGCGCCATTTTCGACACGCAGTCTCAAGCCTGATGGGTTGCCATACCTTACTGTAGACATGGATGCAACCCTGTCCCCATGAGGCCCACGTTGCTCCAACTACACTGCACATACGTTTTCCGAGTCTCTGTTGGTCGTCCCAGTCCCTCCAGAGCTGCGGTGGCTGGTGGCCCTGCCACTAAAGCTGGTATGTGTTGCACGAGACACTGATGACAACTGATAACAGCTAATGACAACCCTCGCCCTCGTGGCTCTTTTCGCGCCGGATTGTTGGCTTTCGCACTCACGAGTGTACTCCGTCTCGTGGCCTCCCCACTTTGTCACCCGCAGGTCTAGCTCTCTCCCCATACTGAGACCATACTGAGACGGCGTGGATCGATCGTTTTCGCGGGTGCCCAAGCAACTGCAACAGGTCAGGTTTTCGGGCAGTTTCATGGATTGCGCCACTGTGGCCGCCCTCTGGCCCCCCGTCGGGATGCCGAGACCAACGACATCTCTCTCTACCTCCTTCCCGCGTCCAGGCCACCTCATAGGTGTTTGGCATGCTTCCAAGATGACAGGTAGTCCAGCAGGCAGGTGGGCAGCAGTCGTCGCGGGAGAGGCTGGGAAGCGGAGGCTCCGCGGGATCTAGCGTGGTCGCACTGACCAGTGTGCAAGGATACGCGGAGCTACTCTCAGGCAAGTGCTCTGCTTCCTGGTGGGGCCGTAGGGTCATCCTCCCTAAGTCCTGATTAAGACGTCCAGCACACGCCTGCACTAGTGGGGCCGCGGTCATAATGTTTACGATAACCAGGACTTCCCATTGCGCTTAGTCCCGACGCGCTCTGCCTGAGCGCTCACCTTTGTTGCGTACTTCGAGACGGAAGGGAGCAGCTCACCTCAGGCTCGCCGTCCTTAGCGTCGATGCATGACTGCAACATACCCGCTGGCCTGAGTACAGTATCAGCTCGCGTCGACGTTACTGTCGTTTGCTACAGGCTTCACGGAGAGCAACTGTGTCGTATCATCCATCGCACTCTTGATCTTCTGCACTGCTCTGTCAAACAACGAGATCGTAGAGGGTAGGAAGACTGTGTCGCTGCTTTGCATGTTCGCACCATCTAGTCCAACATGAGGGAGTGGGTTGATTTTCAGTTCCCGGACGACGAAGTGCCTGGGGCACTTGGGTTGGGGTGCGACTTGCTCTCACTCGCCTCAGGATGCAAAAGCCAGCCGTTCGTCTGTCCTCTGACAGCCAGGCAACTGCATCTGCAAATGGGAGATCACCTCCCATTAGGACAGCTGGTTAGCCTTGTTAGTCAGAGATCCCCCCTGCCCACACCCCTCACTGCCAATCCGTACATTGCACACTCTACCCACTCTACGTGCTCACAGCAATGTTGCCAGCGTCGCCGCCGCCAGTTCCCTCGCCCACGCCGATCTGCTCCTCCTTCGTGCCGCCCAACTCGAGCTTCTGGAGCAGCTCGTCGAGCTCGCCCGCACCATAAATCTTGGCCAGCGGCTGCTTGCTCCCCGGCACGAGCGTCATGGTCGCGAACTCGACTTCCATTAGCACTCGGCAGCACAAGTAACCCACGCTTCTCGCTGCTGAGCTTCGTAGAGTCCATCGTCTTGGCCATCGTCTTCAGGCACAAGCTCTTGGCCTCCTCGAGCGTAATGTCGTCCTTGTAGTCCTGCTTCAGGAGCGAGGCAGCGCTCGAGTGGTTCGCACCGATGCACGTCGCCTTCCACCCCGAGTAGTTGCCCGACGGGTCAGACTGATACAGCTGGAAACCGTACAGAGGGTCCCAACCGACATACAGGAGCGAGACACCGAATGGACGCAGACCTGGGGTCAGTCGAGGCCCATAATACTCCAACCGCAGACGTACCGCCGAACTGGGTGTAGCCCTGCTTCATGTCACATAGGCGCTGCACGAGCATCTCGACTGGGATGTCCTCATCGTAGGTAAACAGATGGCGTTGTGCCGAGTTGCGCGCAAAGTTCACCAGCGAGTTTGCGTCAGAGGTGATACCAGCGAGGCCAGCAAGGATGTTGCTGCGGTTAGCGAGGCGGATCGGAAAGCCAGCTCACTTGTTGAGGAGGAAGATCTTCTCGCCACCACCGCCCATCCACGCCTCCGAGCCTTCTCCGCCCTTCCCGGAGCCTCCGGGAGCGAGGGACAGGTCAAGGAGCTTGCCAGTGACCTTCTGCGAGGGTGTCAGCGAATTTCCTGGCACTCAGCAGAGATAAGCGCACCTTCTCCGCGGCAAGGGCGATACCCTCCTTCGAGAGCACAGCAAGAACGGTACCCGCATGGGAGATGGCCTCCATGGCATACTCGACTGTGGGTTAGACGTCTTCATCTGTTGTCGTTGCTGGCAACGTACCCTGGAACAACCGCCCTGCGACGTTAGCACCGTCTTCAGACTGCCTGCTAGCCGATTACTCACCTTCTGGGGAGAAGATTGTTGTCCGGCCTGTTCAAGTTAGCAGAAGCCCACGCAGCACGGGCCATATACACACTGTCGTAACGGCGCGCCTGCGGTCAGCTGAGGTGTGCAATGCGGCAGCTCACCATTGTGCAAGAGTCCTAAGGGGGAAAGGGAAGAAGAGAGGTGGGGAGTGTTCAGTACCGACGCGTCTCCTCTCTGTCTTGCCGAGAGCGAGTGAAGGAGTGTCGCGAACGTTGGTGGTGGACGTGAGTGACTGCACTGGACGAGGTTGTCGAGCTGAAGCGACGATGACGGTTGCAACGCGCGTCTCCACCCCCGATAGCCACGTCATTTATGTACTCACGTGGCTGATATCACCTCGGAGATAGGACAATCTCCATCGGCATCCTGGTCATCCGCGCCGGTGGAGGTCAGGCACGGTGTCCTCCGCGTCGCCAAGGAAGGCGGAACTGACTCCGAACCATCAGCGGTCCACACAACCGCATTCATGTCCTAGGATGTCGATACGACCAGAGGAAGCCGAGGCGTACGAGCTGCCTGAGCTCGAAAGGTCGCCAAAGCTCGACGCTTTGGACGAGGATGCGGAACAGCTGCCCCTCTTGGACGAGGACAAGCGGTCGTCGGTCGACTCGGACGACTCGGGGCTCGGCTTCGTCCAGGCCGCGCACGAGGACGAGCTCGTTGGCGCGACTGACGTCGAGGCGCTCATAGCGAGGGTGAGGCTTCGAGAGACCGAGCTGACCCAGTCCGTGCCGTCCACCGACGATCCAACGCTCCCAACACTCACCCTGCGAGTCATAGTGTTGGGGTGCTTCTTCTGCGTCATGGGCGCGGCGGCCTCGACAGTGTTCTACTTCAAGAGTAACGCGCCAAGCTTCTCCAGCTACTTTGTCATCCTGGCCACATATCCGCTGGGTCATGCGCTCGCGAGTGAGCGTCTCATCTCTCGACACAAGACTGTGTTCGGCGTCGACCTGAACCCGGGGCCTTTCAGTGTCAAGGAGGCGATTCTCATCAGGTCAGTTGGATTTTAGGCGGGCAAGCTCACACCAGCGTCTTGTCTTCATCTGGCGCCATGTCTGCTTATGCAGCGGACATCCTCGCCATGCTCGACCTCTACTACAAGGCGCCGCTCGCAACAATCCCCTCAATCATCCTCCTTCTGACAACGCAGTGCATCGGCTTCGGCCTCGCTGGTGAGATGGAGGACAATAGAGTCCAGCTGATTCCAGGTATGCTCTACAACCTGCTCGTAGCGCGCCCCGCAATGTACTGGCCTTCGACACTGGTCGTTGTGCAGTTGTTTACCACACTATACGACACTGCCGCCACGAACAAGGCCGCACGCTCACTCACAAAGCGGCGGCTCCACGTCTTCCTCGCCGTCTTCATCTTCACCTTCCTCTGGCAGTTTCTGCCGTTCCTGTTCTTCCCGATGCTCACGTCCGTGGCTGTACTCTGCCTCATCAACAACGAGAACTGGTGGATGCGGACATTCGGCGGCGCGTATACCGGCCTCGGAATGCTCGACTTCAGCTTTGATTGGTCGAGCATCGGCACGTCCGGGCCGCTCTTCACGCCGCCGTGGGCGCTGGCGAACTGGTTTGCGGGACTGATTGCAATGATTTGGGTGGTGAGATGCTGAGCGTGGCCGCGCTTACGACAGATTGTTCCGCTCATGCTCTTTACCAATTTCTGGTGAGCTGGCTGGCGCAGAACTAGCTGACAGGCAGGAACGCGCGCGAGTTTCCCTCACCGCTGTCATCTGGGCTATATAACGCGACCTACCACCAGTAAGCCCTCTGTCGGGCTACACTGACGTTCAGCTTTGACGTTCCGAGCGTACTCAACCCAGACCTCTCCTTCAACGACGCAGCGTGGGACGGCGCCGCGCCGCTACTACTCACCCCGTACTTGTGAGCTATGGATCACGGCGCACCAGCTTACTCAGTGCCGTCACGTACGGCCTGTCATTTGCCGCACTTTCGAGCATCATAATGCACGTGTGGATCTGGCATCGCGACGAGATCAAGGAGGGTAGGGACGCTCCGCCACACATCAGCTCACGTCAGCGCTCACCAACCGCGCACCGCTGACTGACGTGCACAAGTGAGGCAAAGGGGTCCTGGCCATGCTAATTACAGTACACTCATGCGCAACTACCTCCCTGTCCCGCAGTGGTGGTATATAACCATGCTCGCCGTCAACTTTGTGGCCGCTGGTGAGCGGATTAGATGGTGACACACTCTAATGTCAGTCCTCATGGTCATGACAGCACCTCTGCAAACGCCGATCTGGGCGCTGGTCTTGTCCCTTGCCATTGCCACGGTATGAGACATTGTGTGTCGTATCTGACTCAAAGGTTTTCCTCGTTCCTATTGGTGTCGTGGCGGCTGTGTCCAACACGCAGATCGGTCTGGTGGGTCGTCCCTCGTGTGCAATGACTGACTGCAGAACGTCATAACGGAACTGTGAGACGCGTACCTGTACCACACTGACCCCTCCAGCGTCGCCGGCTTCTTGATGCCGGGCAAACCGATCGGCAAGTATGTGCCTCATCGCTTCACCGCTGACTTATCAGCGTGACATTTAAGTGCTTCGGATGTGAGGTAATAATTCGACGTCACAACTCACGCACCAGATATGGCCATGTCACAAGCCCTGCAGCTTATCACGGACCTGAAACTTGGCTGGTACACATCGATTCCGCCCCGTGAGATGTTCGCCGTTCAGACGATCGGAACGGTCTTGGGCGCGCTGACAAACTGTGAGCAGTAGTTTCCACAGATGAGACTAACTCGCCCCAGACGTGACACTCCAATCTGTCCTCTCGTCTAAGCGCCCGTTCCTCGATGGTACGACGCCGGACCCAACTGGACAGTGGACCGGGCGTCGGCCCGGTATCTTCTACTCGGCCAGTATCATCTGGGGCGCAGTGTCGCCGCGTCGCTTCTTCGCAGGCAAGTACTGGGTGCTGTACTTGGGCTTCCCGTTCGGCGCGCTTATGCCCTCCCTGCTGTGGCTGGCGCACAAGCGGTGGCCGCACATGAAGATCAACAAGGTGAGTTTGCAGTCCAAGTTGGACTGACACCGACAGGTTTGCGTGCCAGTCATGTTGTCGGCCGCTATCCTACTGCCCGAGTATCCGTCGAATATCATCCTGACAGGCGGCCTCACTGCCTTCGCCGTCAACGGCTGGATTGCGAAGCAATACCCCAAACTACACGGCCAATTTGTGTACGTGATCAGCTCTGGCCTGGACGCGGGGACGTCGATTACTGCTTTGGCGATCTACTTTTTGTTCAGCGTCTTGACGCAGTGGACAGCGCCGAGGTGGTATGGCAACTCTGCGGTTGACAGTGAACATTGCAAGCCTGGCAGTTGATAACTGTTGTATTGGTATCAAAGCGGTTTCTGTATGAACCCCAGAAAGAGTTTGTGGCAGCGTGGCAGTGCCTGTTTGGCGTACGTATGTATGTAGGTAGGTGTTTGTGAGTGAGTTGGAGGGGTTTTAGGATGATGATGAATGCCGAGCCAAAGTATGAGGGAGCCAAGCGATTGCAAGCGAGAGGACTGAGATGATTGAGAGGTGGTGGCGCGTGGTTTGTGGCTTGAAACGGAGCTAGTGCGCGGTGGGTTGCCCTCGATCCCTCGAATTGCTTCCATCCATGCACCCACCTGGCCACCTGGCCACTGGCCACCCGGCACCCGGGGGACCCGAGGCGTCATTTCTGCCCCGCTCTTGACGCGTCCCTCCACCCCAGCGACGCAGGCATCCCAACGGAAGACCCTTTCAGCTTTGAGGGTGACCCTATCCTTCTCTCCCTTCTAACTGCACTCCCCTTCAAGCGCTCGTTGCTGTCGACACTGTCTCCGTCTCTCTCCAGTGGTCCATGGATCTCTGGCTGGCGCCTCTCGGCTTGAGATTCCCTTTCACGCACCGACACTCGTCCACACCATCATCCACCTCGCCCTCACTCCCTCTCTCTTTCTCTCTCTCTATATCCTCTCTCTAGACTCCGCCGTCCCGCACCATCTCAAATCACTACACTATCAACGCTCCCTTCCACCCATCATCACTTTGATACCCCGACAACGCCAGCTTGACATTGACCTGCCCGCCCCGCCCCGCCCCGCCCCGCCGCACTTCAACTCTTTACGACATCTCAGATACTCCATCTGTCACGTTGGTCACCGTCACCTGTCTTACCACCGCCGCCCTCCAACCGCCCCCCAAGGCCCCCTACCCAGCACCCAGCACACCTAGGGAGCAAGTCACCGCGCACACCGCACAGTTCTTGCCCTCCTCTCCAAATCCCCCGCAATCACTCCTCCCCTCTTCTCAGACTCTCTCTCTCACTCCCTCTTGTGTACTGTGCACTGTACGCATTGTACGCAACGTACGCACAGTGATACACCTGCTAAACTGACAGTGTCGTCCACCACTGTCATTCGAACGAACGGGCCCTTTTCCAACTTGGCCCTGCAAGTGCACGCTGCACGCCTCGCCTCGCACGACGCACGCTTCCATCCTCGTTTCACTCGTATACATCCTCACCAACACCCACCTCGTCCCACTTTAACAATCCTCGACGACCTCATCACTTCCTCTCCGCGCTCTACGCCTAGCGCCCCTCACAACCTCCTCCCACTCGCACTCGACTCCTCAGCACAACTCGCTCGCGCAATCTCGCCAGTCGACAACGCCCCATCCCCTTCTCCCCTTATCCCCGTCGTCAACTCACTACACCAGGCGACCCCCACCTAGCCCACTTGAACGGCATCCCTCACAAGCACATCGCGCGCTTCCCGCTTAGCAATCGCAATCACGCACCGCGCAGATTGAATAGGCCTTTGACGACGACGCACTCACCTCGCGTCGCCGTGGCTGCGCATCGTGTACGACGCCATGTCGGCCATTTCGGAGGAGGAGCTCGAAAGGGAGGTCCGCACACTCAAGTACGTGGATACTTCCCCAATAACCCTTTACATCCCTTCCTCCTCCTCCTCCTCCTCCTCCTCCTCCTCCTCTCCCTCTCCCTCCTCCCCCTCCACCTTGCTTCTTCGAGGGTCCCCGACCTTGCTCACTAGCTCGCAAGACCTCGTTCCATCGCAGATTGTGGTCCCACACCGGCAGCCCACCACCACTACCACTACTACCACCACCACCACCACCACCACCACCATTACCTTGACGACACCGCTGACATACAGGCACCTGCGACGCCGTTCAGCGACGGGGACAGGCCCAGGCGAGCTCCCCGTGGATCCCGATCTTCCCCCACAAGACTCGTTCCATCATGGATCAGACGCCAAGCATTACTCCTCCAACGACGACGTGACGCTTAGTCTCGACGCTGACTCGGGACTGTTTTGGGTGCCAGCGCATCTTCACCCAGAATTAGCCCCAGGCGAGTTCCGCAACTTTCTCAAGTCGCACACCGTTGACCCGGATGCGGAGGGCAGTGACACCAACGAGGCGACGTTGGCGCGTAGCCCCTCGTGGCTCGCACGGAGTCGGTCAATGTCAGGCAGCCTGAACAGGAAAAAGTCGATGCTGTCCAAGCAGTACACGCCCAGACCCGGCGACAATGTTGAGGCGGAGCGCGCCCCCGTCAGGCGAGGCTCACTCGCGCGTAACAACGAGCAAGGCCCCACTCTCCGCGATTTGCAAAAGCTCGAGGAGCTCGTCGACGACCCGGAGTTTACGCAAAATCCGGAGAAGATGCGCGAAGTTCTGCGGCGAAGCTTGAGCCAGCGGATGCAGCCTGGGCGTGAGTGTCCTGTGCGCCTGCCCCGTGCAGATGTGCTAACGCCCAACAGTGAATGAAACTACTCAAGGTGATGGCGAGACTGATGCTCCCCTCGTCCCGCCTCGCCCGGGTTCCATTATCCGTCGCACGGCGAGGACTAAGATCCGGAAGGGGCCAAACGATGGCAGCAGGCGCTTCTCATCAGGGCGGCGCCAGCGCCTCACTTCGCCGAGCCAGCAGCACATTCGGGGCGAGTCTTCCTCTATGGAAGATGGGGATCGTCGCAGCGATGAACGGCGCAGCGACGAGACGAGCGAGGAGGCCAGCGAGACATTCCATCAGCCCACACCTCTCGCAGCCGGACCAGTCCCTGCTTCAGACGACTCGGCAGACGAAGCGCTCATCGTGGATGCCTACGCGCGTGAATCGGTGGTAGAGCTATATGGCGAAAGCAGGTCGCCGAGCCCCGACGATCCTGCGCAGCCGGCTTCACAGCACGGCAGGCAACGTCCCTACCTCTCACCTATCACCACTGGCAAGCCTGCCGAGTTGCCGGGCGCACCAGAGGATGATCTTAGGCCTAAGCAACAAGACGCAGACCTGAGTGCTGCCCTCCACGCTGTCACCTTGTTGCCACCGTCAGGCTCCTCGGAAGACATCTTTCAGGCGCGCCCCGACTCCTTCGTTGACAACTACGTGGACGCATACACCGGAGATGAGGCGTATCGGGCGTATCTCGAGGAGGAAGAAGAAGAAGGGCCCCCCGCCCCTGTACTGCCGTCAAAGTCAGCTGTCGCGCAACAGCCGCAGCAGCCGCAGCCGACTGCCCAGCAAGCTTTCCCGCCTGGAATGGCGCCACCATTGCAGACTTTCCCTTCTGGTGCGTCGACCTCTGGTCAACAGCGGCCAGCGCCTCCAACACTCGTCATCGAGCGACCGCCCCTGGCCCGCACAGACTCGAACACATCGGCGATGTCGTCTACATCTTCGATTGCAACCACGGCGACTACGGCATCGACCTCCACTACTCCATCCCATCCTCATCACGCCCGGGAGAAGGAGAAGGAGAAGGGACGGAAGGGTTTGTTTGGCAAGAAGCAACACAAGGATAGGGAGAAGGACAAGCCGAAGAAGGAGAAGGACGGACTCTTCGGTGGGTTGTTTGGAGGCTCGAAGAAGAAGCAAGAGGAGGCGTCGTCCGTGTCCAACTTCGCCACGGCCGGCCCCGCTGCAGCCGCGGCTCTGCTTGGCACGTCAAAGTCGGCCAAGTCGCTCCAGCCCTCGGGCGCTTCGTCGCCCACGTCGCCCGGCTTCTCGAACTTTGCCCGCTACCCGATTCATGTCGAGCGCGCTGTCTACCGCCTCAGCCACATCAAGCTGGCGAACGCGCGCCGTCCCCTGATCGAGCAAGTGCTCATCTCCAACCTTATGTTCTGGTATCTAGGCGTCATCGGCAGAGCTGCAGGGCCCGCAGAGGATTCTAAACCCGGCACAGTCAACGGCTTGGACAAGGACCGCAGCGAATCGCAGCGGACCCCTCCCCCCAAGGGCACGCCGCCCCAGTCGCCAGACTCTGGTCAGTTTGAGGATAAGAGCGGACATCTGCGCTCTCAGTCACCTACGGCACAGCAACAGACGCGGCGAGAGGAACAGCAGCAAGAGTTGTCGCCTCCGCCGTCGCCATCGCCACCCCCAGCGCGCAAGACGGGGCTCGTGAAACCAGAACGGAGTAGAAACGCCAACAATAGCGAGGCAGCGTATCGCGCCCCACAGTACGGAGTGCAGAACGCGCAAGTTGAGCACGAAGTGCGGTCTGCGCAACACAAACCGGCTCCGCAGCCTCAGTCGCAGCCCCCGCCCCCCCATCGGACCGCTTCGCCACCTCAGCAGCGAGAACCACCGCAGCAACAGCAGCCTCACACGCCATACCAACAAGCTCCGGCGCCCGCCCCTCGCTCGTCATCCATTCCTTCCAATCCTCAGCGCACTCGATCGCCTCCTTCTCCTGCTCACCAGCATCAGCAGCCTCGTCCCGAGTATCCGCCAGGAGTCGCGCCACCCCGACCCCAGCAGTTTGCCCCAGGTGGCGGCCGACCTCTCTCACAGCAGCCCGAACGACGCCCTCAGCACCCTCCAGGCGCCCAACCTGCTTGTCCGCAGCAACCCGGGATACGCCCACCTCCTCAGCAGCAGCACCAGGGATTGCAGCCCTCGGTGAATGGCTCGATGAGATTGGACAGGCCAATGTACGCGCCTTACCCCGGTGGCGGCGGGGGCGGAGGAGGAGCAGGTGCTGTTGGTGGTGGCGGACCTCCTCAGCGCAACCACAGCAACGGCGGCGGCCAGCCTGGCTCTGTCTATCAGTACCCACAGCAGTACTCGCGTCCTGGACACCACGGACCGCAACCGGGTCAGATATTCACGGCGCAACCAGGCCAGATATTCCATCACCCACAGTACCAAGCTCCGCAGCAGCGTCCACCTGGAGGCGCTGCCGTGCCAGCGCAGAATTGGGGTGAGCCTCAGCGGTTGCCGCCGGGGCAGCAAGGGCCAGCCCTGGCACAGACGCCACCTAGACGCACGTCATCCAATGCTTCCGCGGACGCGTACGGGCGACAGGGATACCAGCAGAGCGGGCAGACGTCGCCTACCAACGGAGGGTTCTACTCTCAGCAGCGCCCGCCCGGCCAATACCAGCAATACCCATCTGGCCAACCGCGGGCTCAGCCTGTGCCATCAGGCCAGTATCCTCACCACCGCTAAGTGTTCTACACGGCGAGGTCCATGGACATTATTGCGGACCGAGCCTACGTGTCGCTTCCGCCGCATTCCGTACTATCATGCTCTAGCATCCATCACACTCATTGACAGAGAGAGAGGTTGGGAGACGGCGGTTGGCCGGATATATAGGTCAGAGATGACAGGCTTTGTACCATTGTGAGTGGGCATCATGTACGACTACGACTTGGCCTTGCGCCTCTGCAAACTTGGGGAGTAGTACGCAAATGGTATAGCATAAGCAGGTGATGTCTGCACCCCTCCCTGCATCGCCGACTGCGAGATCGACAATATGCGCGAGCGCCGGAGAGGTGCAGCTTTCGCTGCTATCGGCACACTTAGTTGACATCCTCGCGTGTGCAGTGCCCGGGGGCGCGCAAGGGAGTCATGAGTGGTGCCAGAGGTGGAGGAAAGGGGGGAGATGGGAAGGTGCGAATCTTGTCACCCTCATCGCCGCCATCGTCGTCTTGATACAGAACAAATTGCATGCTTGCCTCACCTATATCGTTTACATCCAGATCTAGATGTATGCACCATATGAGACCCCACCAAGGAGTAGAAAGGACCCAAGGCGGGTCAATTTGAAGTGCAGTCTTTCTGGGCCCGTTCAGGAATCCGGTCTCGCACGGAACAGCGAGGCGGAGCAGATAGAGCCGTTGTGAATGAGAAGGGAAAGGAGGAGATGGAAGGGAGGGGAGGTGTGAGCAGTAAGTCGTCGTTCGTCGTTCGCCGGCGTGCACGATAATCAGCGTCGATATCGGGATGGAGATCGGAGAAGTGAAGAAACGAGTCTGCCAACTTTTGACTTTTTGGATGTCGACGCTGGTGCGAGAGGCGGGAGCAAATGCAAAAATGACGTGGGTAACACGCAACTGCTAGCACTGTTGGAGGAGCGGAGACGCGTCGCGTCGCGTCCCTGCATTCTCGCCCGAGGTGGAGGTGGGCTGAGACAAGAGCTCATGATGAGTGCAGGAGGCGGTGCATGAGGTCCTCTGTGGATGTCTGAGCATGTTCAGGGATGGAGACGAGTGCACAGTTGTACAGCGTAGCGTGGCAGGTATGGCGGGACGAAGCATGGCAGAGATACGATGGGCCTGGCCATCCCAGTTCCGGGGGTTGCCATGGCACCAGCAGATGGGGTCATGATGCCGAGAGCTGACTTGACCTGCGCCTGTCCACTTGCGCACGGGGTTGGAGGTAGCAGCGAGCTTGTCGTGATCAAATTGATGAGAGGCGTGCTGTACAGGTGGTGATGCAGACCTTGCAGTGTATTGTCCTACGCACTGATGTCGGAGTTGTGTATTTGAAAGACAACGTCGGATTAGGACCGACCAAAAGCACGCCGTCATGTGGAAAATGCCCCCGCTCCAGACCCGGCGAGACCCATTGCTCGATCCTCGACGCGTCTCATTCCCAACTCCATCATCTATCCGCCACCCACCTCAACTAATCCATTACCACCGACTATCTCGTCGACATGGCCCATAATAAGGCGTCGACGCTCGAGGAGCTATCCGAGAGGTGCGCGCATTGCTGCACATGCATGCTAACGAAAGGATTATTTATTCGGAGCGTTGTAAGTCGCGTCCACTGCTTCGCGCGCTCGCCGGCCGGATTCCTTCCCATCCAAGCATCCAGGCCGCACTGCGAAGTTTTGCTTGGAGGACAGAATACGTGGAAGGCTACGATGCGTGCCGGTCCGCGCGCCAATCCTCGAGCCCACGCCGCGAGCCTACACGCGATCCTGGCCATTGTCCCGACGCTGTTTGCGAGCGCGCAGAACAGCAGCGCAGAGATCCATGCTGACATAGACCTGTCGACGCCGCGATCCGCTCTCCGCGCCCGCACCTTCTCTTTCCCGAATCATCCCCTCCCTGTGTTCCCCCACAGACTCCGACGACAACTTCGAGTACCGCCATGTGATCCTCCCAAAGCCCATGCTCAAGCTTATCCCAAAAAGGTGGGTGGTGGGCCTGCGCCTGCCGCGTCGTTTACTGTCATGCTGACGCTTCGCTCCCTTGCTCGACATACCTCACCATACCTCGCATTCTTCACCCCCCTCCCCCCCTCCCCCTCTAACCCGCGGCCGCACCCAGCTACTTCTCGGGCGACGACTCCGGCCTTCTTCGCATCTTGGAAGAGCACGAGTGGCGGGGAATCGGTATCACACAGAGCCTTGGATGGGAGCACTTTGAGGTGCACGCGCCGGAGCCACACATCCGTGAGCACTGCTCTTCTCGCTGTAGCTGACCCCAGTGCTCTTCCGGCGACCACTCGTGCGCTGAGCGTCTCCGCGTTGACTGACCCCAGGCCCGCAAGTAATCTCCGGTCCCGCACTTGTACTAGTTCTCAATCTCACGCGCATCGCACGCTCGCCTGTCCGCTTAGCCAAATGCCATGGCCTACTCTGTCTTGTGGGGCGGCCGCACGGGCGGCCCTGCGCACGGGCGCCTGCGGTGCGCTGCATCCCGTGGCCGTGCGGGTATTGCCCGCTCTCTGAGCTGTTGAGACTTCTGACGGTTTTGAATTTGATCTAGTGGCGGTGCTGTTCTTACTGATAGACTGGTGGACATTGCCACACCTTCAGCCTGGCCTCGGGTTCTCCGAATCGACTTTGTCCAGCTTTGTCCAGTGTGGCTGTTGAGCTGCCACTATCAGCCAAGCAGCGAGGTACGGGCTCGGCGGGGGCGCTGCGCAGTTGGCTCGACTGCGAAGCACCAGACTTCCTTCGCTCCATGTTTTGTTGGTTGGCGATTGGTCTTAGTCACGCCGCGCCGTCATTCAGCCTGCATATCCTCACATGATTTCTTCTTCTCCTCTCCCTTCCATGTCTCATTCCTCGCGCTCATCTCTATCTCTCGAGCGCACAGCGAGAGAACCGATGAGCCCGATGTCGCACTTGTGCAGAGGACCTTCCCGAGCCATTTCCTACATATCATTTCTTCTCACCCAACATTACTACTCACCCCCCCTCCTGGTCGTACATCTCCCCACTGCCATCAACGAAGAGAATCGCACTTAGTTTTGACCACGAGAAAGTACAGCACTTGCGACTAGCAGCCACGGTCGCCCAGTGTTGAGTCCCGGTCGAGAAGAATTCTGGGATAAAAGCTCCCAAAAAGATCGAGCCTTCAAAGGCTAGGCGACAGCACGGGATTGAACCGCGGACCATTCGCAATAGACGAATCCCAAAGCGAACATGCTACCACTACACCACAGTCGCATGTGTTAGATTGGCATTTGCGGTCACATGACTGCCTGAGGTCTGTGCGAGCGCAACAAAATCCATGGATGGAGTGCACGCATGCAACTACATGACAGATGTGAGCGCGGAAGCTGGAGTCGCGGCAGACGAAAACAGCAGGTATAGTGTGGTGCCACCTAGGCATCAGATGCAACGGCGTCTGCAATTCAATGGCAGCCGTGAACTGCTTCGCAAGACCGAAGGAATACAGCATCGCTCTCCTCAACGTGCACTTGGTTGCCAGATACGCGGTCTCCTGAGGACACGGGTTACACCCATCGACTCCCCTCGCATCGCATCTCTCGCAGATTGAGCAAATTGCGGAATCGGCCTGCCCGACCACACCAGGTTCAGTAACAAGAGAGGTTAGCAACTCTGCCTTGCACGCGCTGCTCGTCTTCAACCCTCCGCCTCGGTGCTAGCTCAACCAATACATCCAATACACACGCGACCAGTCGGGGCGCGCATAAGTCGTATCGAGTCGGGGAGGGGATAGGAAAAGCGGAATGCGGGGACGCGACGCTTAGTCGAAGAGACCGAAGCCCATGTCGTCGTCGGACTCCTCCTTCTCCTCCTCCTTCTTCTCCTCGGCGGCGGGGGCGTCGCCACCAGCAGCGGCGGCCGAAGCGCCACCAGCGGCGGGGGCGGCACCGCCGGCGGGGACCGACGAGAGCTTGGCGGAGCCCTCAGCGATGAGCTGATGTTAGTGAGATTCTCTAAATTTTGGACGGCGCAGGCTGGGCACGATGCTGACGGCGCAGGCTGGACGGAGGGCACTTCAACCACAGCCCAGACCACGCAGCTCGATCAAATCCTCGCTCGCCGTGTTCGATATAGCTCACCTCGTTGACGTCCTTGCCCTCGAGCTCAGCGATGACCTTCTCGAGCTTGGCGTCGTCAGCCTCGATGCCGACGGAGGCGAGGACGGCCTTGACGTCCTTGGCCTTGGGCGAGGCGTTGCCACCCTGCTGGAGGAGGAGGTAAGCGGCGAGGTGCTTCATTTTCTGGCTGTCAGCTCCGCGGCCAACGCCAACGACGCACTTATGTGGCGACGTAAACCGATTTAAGCTGGGACAGCAGGAATACGCTTGGAGCCTGGGGATCAGCCCGTGTCCGCGCGCATGTCTGCGCTCGCCGCCATCGCCTGCGCGCTGCGACTCACCTGTTGGGATGTGTGGAAAGACGAGGTGCAGAATTCGGCGTTTCAAGGTGCAGGAACTTTGGCGGCGTTTCGTCGGCATTTTCGCATTTCACTACGTGGCATGTTATAGGCATGCAAGTCCCTTGATGCATTTAGGCGTGGGAGAGGTGGAGGTCAGGCGTGACTGACTTGTCATTGTCAACAACAACGCCGAACGCGCGTATGCCACCACATCATGCGCGACTAGCAATGGCCTCGGGGTGGGACACTCCACGTCTCCGACAGCGCCCTGCATTCCTTACTCCCAAACCGACCCAACCTGCTGCCACCTCCGCACCCCTTGGAGAGGTGGACAACAATCTCCCAACACGATCGCCATGGCCGAAGACCCCTTCTGTCCCATGGTACGACCGACCATCGCCTTCGAGCGCGACATCCTCATCAGGCCTCTCCGCACCATCTGCCCCATCCGGGCCCTCTGGGCAGACCACATCCTCGACAATCCAATACCTTCGCCTCGCCTTTCAGGAGACGCCACCACAGCTCAAGGAGCTCGAAGAGGGGTGGCGCATCGCGCGCCGTGCCGCATCACGCCCTGCCCCAATCGTTGTGGTGGAGCGGGAAGCAGAGGTGAAGGAGCGTATTGATCGAACGGGCGGACGAGAACTGCGCAGCGCGCTCAAGGGTGAGCGTGACCGTGTCCGTCATGAGGCCGAGAGGGTGCGGCACGCCCAGACCGACAGTCAGAAGCATTCCGAGCACCTTGGCGACGGCCGACTAGAGCCACCGGCGAAGGAACGAGAGATGCGGGCTTCAAAACCACCAAGGGAGCCTTCGGACGGTCTACCGCGCGCACGACGTGACCACCGTACACAGGAGCTCGGCGTAAAGCGGCGAGGTGACTTGTTCCGCCTTGCCCCCGATCCACCCCTCGACAAAGGGAAACAGCGAGCCCTGCCCGAGACACAAGAAGGAGGCAGTGGCCAGCAGCGGGCCAAGTCCGAAGAGCACTCTGTCGGGCAGTCGACTGGGCTGCTCACGCCCCCAACAAGCCCTGCGCCCCTCGCAGTACTCGCCCGGTTGAAACGGAAAGACACCTCGCGGCTACCTGTACGATTTGTCTCACCTACTTCACCGAGCTCCCATGAGCCACAGCCTGGTCCGTCCGGCGCGTTTAACTGTACATCTGGCTCCTCACAGCCGTCTCAGCCTACCCCATCATCGTCAGTTGCGCCCGAGGGTTCACTCACTCCGACTAAACCTGTTCCGACGCTCCGCGTTATGTCTGTCGCCATTCCGCGTGACACTCCCCCCATTGTTCAAGAACAATCGTCTCCGCTTTCACCTCCCGAGATTCCTCCGCATCGACTCCAACCCGCTCCCCAACCTGCGCCTACAACGGCTCCCGGAACATCACGACCGGCACCAGCAACATTGCGACCAGGACAGGGAACCGCCGTGAACGCCAAACGCGCTTCTTCTTCCAATCCAGATCCCACAACCCCCAAGCCAATTCGCGTACATCCACTTCCCCTCACGCGTCACCCGGAAGCGCTGAGCCGCAAGTCGTCGGACACCATCGTCGTACACCCACCCACGGCCGAGGTAGCGCTCACGCTAAACCTTCGCCGACAGACCGCACAAATCAACCGGGTCGGCGACGAGGTCACAATAGAGGGGCGCGCCCCGCAATGCCTGCGCCTCGCCGACTCTGCGAACTGGTCAGCTGCTCAGCGCGACCTCTGGCAGCTCCTAGCCCGCCTCGTGGCTGAATACAAGCGGCGCACACCCCGAGTCAAAGTCTTCACCGCTCTCGGCGAGCTCGTCGTCACCTGCTGCGAGCCTCCCGACATTGTGCTCTCGTATCTTGTCTCGGACGAGACAACGACGAAAGTGCGCCTGCGGTACAGTCTCTCGTCGTTCGAGGCAATCCTGGATACATCTACTCGTCGACCACGAGGGACGCGTGATGAGACGCACCGCGCGCGGCGGTCTATACCTCTACGCTGGAGCGGGCAGGGCGAGCGAGCGGCACTAGCTCTCGGTGTGGACTTTGCCGATTGGGATAGCGCGGAGAAAGACGCCGTCCGCCGCTTATGGGCGTTGCGCGAGGATTGGGCACGCTTCGTTCCGGGATACGAGCATTAATACGTTGTCACACTGTCTGTACTCATAACCATATGCAAGGGCATTGCCCTTCTCTTGTGATCTTGGAGCCGGAGGCTTGGTGCCTGGATTTTGCGACGGGACCAAATTGTCGCCGAGCAACCATCGAGATTTCGGCTGTTCTCGACATATTCGTTCATTCACTGCCTCATCACGATGTCCTTGGTACGCCCGGCGCGGCGCCTGCTCGCCCGCGCGCCTCTGGCGCGCGCGGCCTCGACCTCGACCTCGACGCCCACCCCCGCTGACCAGCCGAAGGCGGTCGGCAACCTGTCGCCGAAAGACATCGCCAACCTCACCCGCCCCCTAATGCCGCACTACACGGTTGCGCGCTCGCCCGACTTTCCCAACTATTACAAGGATGCGCCGCAGCACCGGATCTACAACTTCCCGAACAACACGTTCCCGCCGCTGCCTGAGTCGCAGCACCCGACGGCGCTCGGCGAGAACATGGCCGCGAAGAACCGCCGCGTCCTCTCCGCCATCACCGGGTACACGCGCGAAGAGCTCGAAGGGCTCTACCGCTACCCGGTGGACGTGCGGCGTGTGGTCAACATGACGAAGAAGGGAAAGATGTGAGTGTAGGAGGGCGGGCTGGGGCGCGACGGGTTGCCGCGCGAAGGGCGAGACGTTGTGCCGGGATGTGGACGGAGGACTCGTTGCGCATGCTGAGGCCTCGGGAAGTGGGAGGACATCGAGCTAGGATGGAGGCGTCGAGACGAGGGGAGGAGGGGATAGTGGCTGGCTTCTCTGCTGCCTGTGGAATTATCGCTGACTCCAGGCCGTCGTGGTTCTCCGTCATGGTCGTCGGCGACCCGAAGCGCGGACTCGTCGGCATCGGGCACGGAAAAAACGAGGCCATCCAGCTCGCGCACCAGCGTGCGTTCAACCAGGCCGTGCTGAACATGGACGCCGTGCCCCGCTTCGAGAACCGTACGCTGTACGGTCAGGGTGCGGATCTGCGCGTCAAGTGGCGCGCGACGACGGTGATTATGCGCGCGCGCCCGCCCGGCTTCGGCCTCCAGGTGCCGCACGTGCTGCACCGCATCTTCTCGGCGTGCGGCATCCGCGACGCGAGCGCCCAGATCCTCGGGTCGACGAACAAGACCCAGGTCGTCAAGGCCGCGCTCCAGATCATCCACGGTGGTGTACGTTTTCTCAGCGACAGTGAGGGCGTGAGCTGACGGCAGGCTTTGCCACCTGGATCGGGTACTGGCAAGAGCAAGGCGCGCAGGGAGAACAAGGGCGCCGGGATGCGCACTCTTCGTGAGCTCGAGCGCATGCGCGGACGGTACGGTATCGACATGAACCGCCACCTCTAGACTGGTACATATTAGCACGCAACTCATGCACTCAACTACACCATGCGGACGGAGGGACGGAGGAACAGGGGACAGCGATGCCATATAGAGAGTACAAATAAGGGGTCGAAACAACTACGGCAGGCTCCTCGGACGCTCTACTCACTCGGGCCCTTTGGATATGCGACCAAGGACAGCGAGGACGACGATGGCAATTAGCCACCGCCAGGATGGAATCCAGCGAACGTTGGGCGGCTGCCGTTGCTGCACGCCTTGTTGAAGCACAGGCTGGGCATCGGCTAGAATAGGTGGCACAGGAGGTTTGGGAGTGTTGATGGTAGGCGACGGGCTGCGGGTGTTGAGGTTCGTGGATGCTGGTGTCGACAGTCCAGATGAGACGGGCGTGTCGGGTGCGGCTGATACGCCTCCTCTCACTGCTGTTGTCTGATCAGTCAGCGTCACAACCACGGCGGTGTGACGTACCGATGTCGATGGCTGCTGTCCCATATCGGGAAGGTCGGTCATCTCCTGCGTCGCGTACTGATATGAGCAAAGTTCACCAGCACGACAACTCACCTTCGGGAAGATTTCGCGGAACTTCTTGTTGTTCAAGTTGAACGCGTGCGATTTGGTCGCGTAATCACGCTTCTGGGCATCGGTAGTCTTGACAGCACCAGCTGTGATCCTGTCGCGTGAGCCGCGCCGAGGACGAACACTCACTCGTCACTCAACATGAAGCTGAGCAAGCCGGTCAAGATCGTTGCTACAGACCTGTGTGTCAGCTGTGAATCGTACCTGGCCCAATATGCACAGCATTCCACTTACCATGCTGCATTCCACCTGCGCGGGAGGTCAGTAAATTACATTCACAGCGGTGGCGTCACGTACGTGCTAGGGTGACTGCTGTTAGCTGGGCTCGATGAGTTGCATTGCACGTACTAGGAGGTCATGCTCATGCAGATCTTGGCGCCACACTCGAAGCGGCCGGTCGGCGTGAACATCTTGACATCAGGCGGCTTGAAGGCTGGCCGTCAGCAGCTGTGCGGCTGGTGGCAACTCACGGTAGTCACTGGGGAACCAGATGAGACCGTGATATTCGCCTCCCGCGTATGGCGTGTCGGGAGGTCCGCGCTGCCGTCAGTCGTCGCCTAAACTCGCTGCTCACGATGATGAAATGCCCTGCGCGTCAGCGGTCTTGTGCAGCGGATGCAAGGAGGGCAAGGGAAGGTGTGGTTACTCACAGTCAAGGATGTTCTTCTCCTCGGGCACGGCCCAAATGAAGGGCGGCGGCGCCTTCTGCATAGCGAGATACTCCTGCATGTCAGTGGGCGGCACGACTCGACAAGGTGAGGCGGTGCGCACCTTCTGCAGCTGAGGTTAGCGCGATTATCGCCGCTGGAGACGTACCCGCTTCTGCGCAACCTTGGACGCCATGGTGGGACAACGAACGAGAGTACTCTGAACCTAAAGAGTGTGTTGTGCACGCGGCGCGGTACCGCGATAACGAGCGAGAATGATGTTATTGCAGGAAGCTCGGTTGACGAGCCCGCGCAGGTGGCGTTCGCCCCACCCCCACCCATCAGTGACGCCCGATACCCACGTTTTGATAAGGAATGACGTGGACTGGTCAGGCACCATCCCGGAGTGGCACTCTGCAAAGGCTGAGCCACACGAAGGCGTGACCATCGGCGTCTCAGCATGCATTTGCAGCGGTGATATGGTCAGCGGGGAGCACTGGTGGGACATACGTGGATGGTTGCAGAACGGGAGCGACGGTTGAAGATTCGTCGGGCTGGTGGTGCTCTGGGTCAAGGTGGACTTGTTGCCGCCGTCGATGGCCGGTGACGGCTAGCTTGTCTTTCACTTGTCTTTCACGGCTGGGGTACAATTCGGCCCTTTGAGACCGCCGCGGGCAGTTTTAAGATGAAGTGTCCACCGGTCGAGAGAAATTATGGATTAAACCTGACTTATATACTGAAAGTAGAGGCGCAGCCGCTGTGCCCCTGCTGCTGCGGGGCGACGAGGTTGCGGTGCCCAGCCGTTCAAGGGGTATTCCTACTCGAATGAAGTAAAACTAAAAACATCCTTCCCAGGCATTGGTGCTGGGGGTGGTACTGGGTGGCAACGGTGTAAGGAAGTGAAACATAATTTGCCACCCGTTGCTGCCACATTCCCCTCGGTTCCGAACGCGAGAGTCCAGTCGAGTGCTCTATAGTAAGCGCAGGCATTTCACATCCTAGTTCCTACAGCCAGGTTTACGAGAAAGCGTGTGAAGCATTTGAAGCAGATGTTCGATGCCGTACAAGTGATCACCGAGTTAGACTTGGACTCTTTTTTGTGGCAGAGGGCGGTTATGTGGTAATCGACAACGAGCACCGCGGAGATGCAGTGTTGCAGTTGTTCCCACGCCTCATCTCCCAAGGACTGCAATCGACGCTGTGAGAGCGTTCCTTAATGGAGGTACAATGCCATCTGCAGCTTCCTCCCACATCTTGGCGACCACTCCGCCTGCGATCTCGCCTCCTCCCAACTCCTGTGTGGCATTTCCTCGTCCGCGAGAACTGGCTCTCCGCCTAATGCTGTATCCGACCCGGCTGGGACATGGTCACTGCCACGACGCGCAAGAGGCGACGGCGGTGCGAGCCCGCCACGCCGCCCGCACTCAACCCGTCGGCGTACCTCGCGCGGCTACTGCGCGTCTACCTAGATATTCTGGATCAATCCGTGTCGGATCATCGAAGGCAGCCACATCCATACCCATAGTATCTGCGAAGGCCGAAGTGGCGGTGTGAGCACGAATCTGTGCAACAAGATCATTCCGGAACCACAGACTCTTGGACCGTGCGCCTCGAGTCACTTGTTGCACAATGGCGACCGCTCGGGCCGCGGTCGCCACCTTGCCACCTTGCCACCCTGCCACCCTGCCACACTGCGATCGAATGCCGGCGCGTCGCCACCAGGCACCTTGTCGATAACGAACAGATCGGGACCTGAGGGACGGGCGTAGTCAGCCAATTCACGAAGCGTACATGCATCTGGCGGCGGCGCTGACGTCGGCGCTGGCTTCGCCCGCATGGCCGGACACCGGCGCTCTGCAGTGCACCAATCACTTGGCGGCGGCGGGCCTGTTGACCTGTCGACCAGATTCGCAAGGTCAGCAGTCGGAGCAGCGATCAGGCGTGAGCGCGATCTGCTCTGCCGTCGCGACCCTGCCCGCTGCACCGCTGGAACCGTTGATCGACGGCATGGAGATTGCATGGGCGGGCGCCACGGAGTAGGTAATGACGCCTCGGTCGCAACCGTCTTTCCCCGGACGAACGGCAGACCGAGGAGTAGTGGGGCCATGCAGGGTAATGCCCAGAAGGAGCACAGGAGACAGGACGAATAGCGATGGATAGATCCAACCAGAACGATGGAGTGGACAAATTTCAGATTGACCCTAGTCGGTTTGTATTTGCGTTGTTAACCGGACAAGGCCGGGCTGGGCGGGCGGGCGAGGCGGAACACGCAGTGCGAGATCTACATATCCACAGCTGCCGCTATCCGACAGGCACGTAGATTTTGAATGCGATGTTTTGCGGCGCGACAGGACTGGAGCCGAAGCCGGACTGGAGCAGGTGACCATGCAAGAGGGTTGCACGGGTAGCATGAGTGTGCATAAGGGTGGGGAGGAGGAGTTGCGACTAGCCATGCCATTGTGCTCTTGGGTTGCGAAAGCTTGGCGCAGCAATGAAATCATGTGGTGACGCTGCGATAGTGCGCCATGACAACATTTTGCACGCAAGGTTTGAATGCGCATTGCTGTATGCCGGCCCATGCCGGTCATGAGCGGCGGCGGCGGCGGCGGCGGCGGCGGCGGCGACATTTGGATGGGTGCATGGCTGGCGCACGAGCGCACGCGTGCTTTGAACGGTGATCCGGTGACCAGCGGCCTGCGGCGGGCCGGCGGCGGACGTTGGTCAGATGTTACTCAGGGTTGAATAAGGGTAAAACACTGCAGGAGGACAGGTCATATCATTTTAGGCGTCGAGGGCAGGGCGCGCACGGAGTGGTCTGCCAATCTCTAAAGGAAAAGCTAATCCAAGCCGCTTGGACGCCCAGTTGCCGGTAATAGCAAATTTTGATCGTAGCTTAATGCTCACTACCCCTCTTTTCGTTTGCAGGAGAGAGAAAGAGAAAGAGAAAGAGAGAGAGGCTGTTTAGTTGCAAGCTGTCAGCTGGCAAGTCGTCGCAAGTTTGCAGGATATGACAGGCAATGTTGTGCAGCATTTAGGAAGAGGCTAAGGCAGGGTGCCCTCGTCTAAGCACACCGCAGCTCCGGCTCTTGTCCCCATTCGTACGCGCGCACACCGCCATACGCGCCAGATAGAAGGGAGGCGCATGATGATCTGATTCTTTCACCTGGCCGCATTCGCGCATTTGCCACAGCATTCGCTCTATGCGACTCAGACAGCCCGGCACCGGGATTGCTCCACGGGTCCCATGATGTGTAGCCTGCTCGCTCACCAGCAGCAACATCATGACCATTTTGCTCAGGGGGGAGAGTCAGGGCTAGTATGAGATGACAAGTGAGCGGCTACGGCACCGAATGAGAGGCATGGCGAAAGGGAATGAAGGGCGGGGGCCTGGAGGGGCCTGAGGGGGCCTGGAGGGCTTTGGGGGCCGAGGAGGAGAGAGGCAAGAACTTTCACTCCCACTCTCTGATCTCTATTCTTCTTCTCACATCCACCAAATACAGTACAACCACCAGTCCTTCATACTCTTTGTCAACGCCATCACAGTCTCCTCTTCATCCACCACAACAACGCCGCACACTGTCACCGACCCCACCATTCCACTCATCTCCTCACGCCTGAGTCTCTTGCCACCCCACAGGACCTCGTCGTCCACCCACTCGACCATTCCCTCCTTGACCGCAAAGTAAATGTCTGCGATCTTTCAAGAGACCAACAAGACTCGCTCGCACGACTTCCTCGCAAACCCCAACAACCGCACTCGCCCTCACGCCACTAGGCTCTCCACTCGCAAACCGTACCTTCACGTCTTCCACAGCCAGCCCCACTACTTGATAGCACCAAGGCTCTAAGCGGCACCGTGCATGTCCATCACGATGAACACCAACGTGGGGAGGAAGGGCAAACGTGGTGAGTAGTACTGCACATTCCCTTCCCACTCCCTATCCACAACCATCTACCGTTCTCATGCCTCCTCCCCACGCACACCATGTACATGCTCGCCCCGTCGCGTGCAAAGCGCGCCGCCGGCCGCCGCTGCAATCTCTCCCTCACATGACACACTTGCTCTGCACAGCGCCAGATCCAGCTATTCAAAATGTTTTGTCACTCACACGACCAGGCCCAACCTCTCCAGCCGCTTCTGTTCACTCTCCCCCCATCGCCACCTCTCCCCTTCCTAAAATCAAACTCAACATTCGCCCCTCCTCACAACAATACAACCGTCCCCCATCAGCCTCGTCGCTGTCGCGGCCCGGATCTTCCAGTCGGCGCCGCGGAGTATTCTCGGATGATGGAAGCAGTTCTTCGGACCTGACTCCTGCCGAGGACGACGACGACGATGATGAGGACGATGACAACGACGATGAGGACGACAACAATGAATTCCCCTCGCAGATCTTGTCCCGTAACAAGGGCAAGAAGCGCGAGTCTCTACCAAGCACTTCTTCCCCCCATCTCCCCAAGGGGAGACAACCAAAAGCTGCACCTTCCTCGGCCCGCTCGACTCCCCGGCCTTCGGCGCACGGCCCAAATGGCCGCGACCGCAAGCGCCACCTCAAGCTTGGCGAGGTTGCGCGCAGGCGTGCGCGCGACGACAAGTTTGGCTTCGGCGGTGACCGCTTTGGAGGTGCTGTGAGTTCTTCTTGTCATTGTCACGCTCGCTTGTCCCAACTCCAAGACACATCGCTGACCTTCTAGACCCCGACGCAGTCGCGCATTTCGAACCCTGCACTCATCGACTCTGACTCTACGTCTTCCTATGGCGACGACGAGTCCGAGCGCGAGATGACGCAGTCTCTGGCCGAGGCAGACGAGACTGAGGACGAGTACATGGGCGGTCTTCATGAAGCCTTCGCAGGGCACGAGATTGAGGATCTCGCATACGGTGCCGGCCACCCTGACTCGAGTATGGAAGACGATGCCGAGATGGAGTGGTGGAATGACAACGAGACAGAGAATGGCGAGGCAAACGAGGATGAGGACGACGAGGTAAGTCGTCCGACGACGCCACTCGTGTGCCCCCGCTCACCACTTCATCAGGAGTTCATCGCCAACCTCACTGGCTCCGACATTGACCAGCTCCAGTCGCAGTCGTCGGTCCACGCATCGTCTGATGACCCCATGAGTGACTCGACCTCCTCTGACACGGACGATGCCTGTGACGAGTTCGGTTTCTCCACTCGCTCCAATCACACTGCTGGCGAAGAGCCCCTAGTTCTCATGGAGAACTGGGATGGGCAGTTCGTTCTTGTTCAGCCACGTCAGTCCCGCCGCCGCGAGCGTGGGACTGGCTCACGTACTGCCGGTTCCATCGGCGAGAGCACTACCGCCTCTGCCGGCGAGCAGCATCTCATTATCGACGACGACGCCAACGATGACACGGACAGCACTGCCGACTGGTCTGGCGTGGAGGACAACGATGGAGGTGACACGACAGACTCGATGGCAGAGGAGGACATGCCTGTCCTTGATAGCCCGGCGCTCGACCAGATCATTGGGCAACAAATGACCAACCCCCCCCACTACAATCTGGCGATGCTGCCCCACCCCAACCCGTTCTTCGAAGCTTTCGGGTCGTTTGAGGCAGCCCTTGAGGCGGTCGCGGCCAACCCGTCAATCGTCATCACTGATGTTGCCGCCACTTCGCCCTCAGGCAGCACACCTTCCACTGCGTCGGCCACCACGCCTGGGATCACTCCCGGGTTTACTCCTGGAGTGGCTGGTCCTATCATGCCTCAGCTTCTGCCAATGACTCCAGTGACAAGCCCTCCCTCGGGTGTCCTCGCGGCTGGTCCTGTCATGGGCACGTTCACTGTGAGCAACGAGCCCTGTGAGAGTGCGGTCATCGACGGCTCCAAGACGACGACCAAATCGCCTTTCACTCGTCGGAGGCGGCACAAAGGTTCCGACTCTGGCTCAGTGTCGGCCAAGCGCCGCCCTCGAACGGGAGACCCATTCTCGCCCGTCGTCAAGAAGACGCGTTATTCCTCTATTCCTGGCCACCCGCGATTCATCGCCGCTCGCCGTGCCGCGCAAGCGCTCATGGACCCTCTTGAGCGCGAGACCACCCCGTCGGAGGAGGAGCACGCATTCTCGCTTGACGATATGCTCAACATCCCGGGCAACGACCTCGACACGGCTGAGGATGACCCTCAGAGTCCCGAACTTCGTCACCTGTTCCGCTTTGACAAAATCCCTGTGTCGACTTACATGCGTCGTAACTTTTCGTCGGGCAGTCGGAATCGCACCGCCCCAAGCACGCCGTCCCAGAGCTCGTTCTCGCTCACATCGACCACGGGGCGCGCGCCGAACGTTAGCGGGGTGGGGCTTTCCGGAACGCTTGCGGGCCCCCTGCCTTACCCGGCCAGCCGCATGCTTATCTCACCTGTCCTTCAGCCCACAGAGGGCCAGTCCCTCCCGATGAGCCGCAAGGAGCGACGCCGCGCTCGCAAAGGCGTTTCGGTGGACATGCACCCTCTCCAAATTTAAGGAGGAGCCAACAACGAAGTAGCAAGAGAAGAAGCCAATCAGCAGTATCAATATGAATTCCAGCATCACATTACCATCACCGCCATCTCCAACCTCCTGGTCCCCAGCACTCCCCCGTACGGGCATCTCCAGATCACCACAATGGTGCCACTTTAAGAATCCTCAAAAGGGCCTCAGCCCGCGTCTCCTAGCCTCTCAACTGTGTGTTCAAAAATTCGAATCTAACATGTCGTAAATAGACTGTGACACCGTCCGTCAGTCTCATCAGTAGCCTGTAGCAGGACATGCATGCGGTCGTGTACTGTCTCTATGATGTGGTGGTCGCGCGGAGGCGCGCGGCCGCGGGCGCCTCCCGAGCAGTCGTCATAGCTTCGGAGACGACTTGAGTGCCGTTGTCTAACCTCTCATCATCCTTCTTTGCCTGGGCAGCCTTCCTCGCCGCTTTGCGCTTCTTGATGAGATTGGCAATCTCACGAAGGAGGCCCACAACTATGGACACGCCGATCGGAGCGAAGAGGGGCGTGTAAACGGCGAACTTGTGTTGGTCAGGCTGGTGTCAGCTAACGTTGGGGCACACTAGCTCACGAAGTAAAGCAAGCCCATCATGGATGGGTCGAAGAATGCTTCGTTTGCGAGACCCACGGCGTCGCGGGAGAGCACGAAGGCAGTTAGCGGGGACATGTCCTGTGCGGTTTCGGGGAGCTGTCGTCAGCATCATGAACTCCCTAAAATGGCTTACTTCCTCGAGCCGCCGCACGGCGCCAAGGACCTTGTCGCGCACGCCTGGGCCAAGTTGCATTTCCTTGATTTTATCAACGAGACGAACAATGCCGCCAAGCGTCTTGCGCGCCTCGGCAGCGTTCTCCGCCATCCTAACACGGAAGATGGTGTCGAGCTGCCACAGGCTGAGGGGATCACGGAGGCCGCGCTGGGCGCGTGTCTTTCCCTCGGAGGCCGGCTCGGGGCAGTGGTGCAGCTTCTCGGGCAAGGCGGGCAGCGAGAGGAGGCCGTAAAGGTGCTCGGTGAACTGCTTGAAGGGCGCATCGAGCGCGTCCAGGGAGAGCCTGTATGCGCCTCCCTCCGCGGGCGGGTTGAGGAGCACAACCGATCCAAACTGAGGGATTAGGAACGACGTGGCGTTTGCAGCAAGGCGCAGTGGGGCGTGCTGCGCACTCGGGACGAAGAGGAGGAACTTGAGAACGGGGTTGTTGGTGCTGAGCGAGTCGGGAGTCCAGCGCTCGCTCACGAACATCTTCATCCCATCCTCGTCGACGACCCAGCCGTCGTCTTGCTGAGCGGGCTCAAATGCCAAGGGGGCGTGGTAGAGCACCTGGCTCTCGATGGAGAAGTTGAAAACAGGGGACAGCGGCTCGAGGTGTGGGAAAATATGGTCTGCGTCAGCGACCGCCGGGGGCCTGGCTTACCACGCAGCGCGCCGTCGATATCCCAGTCGTTGACGAAGGCGCCCTCTGCCGCGTCCTCATTCACCACCACAAAGGAGAGCGTGATATTCGGGGAGTATGCAAGTGCGCGGTTGGCGACGGGCGGGAGGTGGGCCGGGAGGAGGTTGTGCAGCGCATTCACGAGGGCGATCTTGTAGTGCCCTGTGGTTAGCTTGACGAGTAAGTCTTGGCACAGCACAAACATACGCTTCAGGTTGAGGTCAGACACCATCGAGGGGTGGATTGGGATCACGACAGTGCCAGGGGGCACGTCGGCGGTACCATACGAGGTCTGGACGTACGGCTCCAGCGGCCAGTCCGGCTTAGCCGTCTCCGACACGCCGATGTGTACCCTATGCCGCACGCTCTTAGGTCCGTTGACCACCACATCCCAACGCCGTGTACCCCGCACGTTAGGGCGATCACGCGCTAGCATCCCGTCCACACCCTTGACAACCTCGGCGGCAAGGGCGTCGAGCTTGGTCGCCGTCGGGAAGTCCGCGCGGCCTGGGGGCGCCTTGGGGAAGGCAGCGTCCTCGCCGGTGAACGAGACGAGCGTCGTGATGACTGGGTCCTGGTGTAAGTTCGACCTGTAGGAGCCGGAGGACAACGGCATAAACGCACACTCTGGCTCTCGAGCGCACCGATGCGCTCAACCGGCAATGGCAGGCGCACGATTGATGTCGTGGTCCACCACCATGGCGACGCCAGAGCCAGGAAGAGGGGGAAGCAAAGCATGATGGCCCATCGGCGCGAGCGTGGCGGGTTGACAGCCGCAAGAAGAGGTGCAGCGTCCAGTGGTGGGTCGGTTTCGGCCATGCTTGGTGATGAGCGGTGTTGGTGTGATGACGGTAACAGTCTGAATGTTGGTGTCTGCTGGCTGTTAGCCGGTGGAGGCCAACGGTCTAGGCGGAATGGCTGAGCGGGTGACTCAAGTAGGCGACGAAAGCACAGATGTCACTGTAATGGTTATAGGGAAGCAGTTTGTAAACTCTAGGGAAATCCTCGGTTCAGCGCGCTCTCGCTACAGCCAGTCTCCTCTAGCTTGGGTGTTCGAGCCCCACCAAATCCTCATGGATTTGCGTTGGTTCAGTCTCGGTGAACATGCCAGTCGCCTCAGGGTGCAGATAGGCCGGCAACGGATCAGTCTGGCTGGTGTGGCATCCAAGCTCCAAGAGAATAGGACAGCTGTAAGCGCGCAGGCCGGGCCCGGCAGGCTGCAACTTTTTGACTTCTGACTATGCAATGATTCGAGAAGATCGCGAGCAATCATCTCTTTGCATGCATGTGTGGCCAGGATTGTCAGATGCGCACGAAAGTCAGAGGAGATTGTGAGTGAGGGCATATGTCAATAGGAAGCCATCTTCGATCCTAATCAACTAATCACCGAATCCGCAGTTGCCACCTAAGTCACGTGACTCATCGCTCAAATGTTCGAGCGTCACACTCCGCAAGGCATGGTATTGACACCCAACTCGGATCCACGACACAATGGGTCGCACGAACAAAAAGGCGGCGCGAAAGCCTGCCAAGAAGGAGAAGGCTACGTCGGCGACGGCGACCGACGTCCCCTCTCTTTTGGGTGCGCGCCTCCCTCTCCTTGGCTGACGGCAGACAAGGCCAACGTGCTCTTGGCTCAGTCCAACTTCGAACTGGCGATCAAGTTCCTTGAGCGCGCTCTCGAGCTCGAGCCCGCGAACCCAGAGGCGCGCGAGCTCGCTGGTGTCGCGGAACTGGAGGGCGGCGACGTGGACCGCGGCCGTGAACATCTCCTCCGCCTCTTCCCGCCGCACGCACCCGCCAACCCCGATACCCCCAGCCCTTACCTTTACCTTGCCCAGACAGCCGAGGGGCCGGAGGAGGCATTGGGATACTACTCTACTGCAACGGCGATGATTGAGAACCTCCTCAAAGGCAAAGGACGGGCGGGCGAGATCGACGAGACCGAGCTCCGCAAGATGGCCATCACGGCGATTGTCGCTATGATCGAAATTTGGATGAGCGACTTGTGGTAAGTTTGCGTTGCCGAAGATGAAGAACTGTGGCTCTGGAGTCCGCTACTGACCCAAGTTTTGAGGACGCCGCTTCGAGCAACTGCGACGGGTTGATCGCGCGCGCACTCTCAATCTCGCCCAACGACCCAGAGGCGCTTATGACCCTCGCATCGATCCGGATGAGCCAGAGCAAGTTCGTTGAGGCCAAGGAAGTGGTCCTCAGGCTTTATCGGGACATGGAGGGGCGGGATCCTTGTGAGTGCGGTGTGGGCGAGCCCACGCTGACCTTAGTCGACCCAATGCTCCCACCCCTGCCGGTGCGGTTGCAGTTCACCCGCCTCCTGCTGGAGCACGGGCTGCACATGGAGGCGTTGGACGTCATCACAACGGGTCGCGAGGAGGATTCGCTCGAGGTTGAGAGCGCGTACCTGGAAGGTTGGACGTGGCATCTGCGCGCCGACGCGCTCGAGGAGGCCCCGCCGCAGAACTGGGCGGACATGGACGACGACGAGGAGCCGATGAACGCGGATGAGTGCTACGCCGAGTCACTCCGCGCGCTCCTCGAGGCTGCAAAGCTCTTCACCGAGCAGGAATACCCCGACGAGGGCATCGGCTCGCATCTCCAAGAGCTCATCCAGGGGCTGCAAAAGCGTGGGGTCAAGCCAGCCGTGCACGCTGTAGAGGATGAGGAGGAGGAGGACGGCGATGTGGACATGGCCTAGATCCATACGCGGTGACCGGATATATTGAGTAATGCTTCATATGCAGCTAGTGTACAACAATGGTTCCGAAAGCTGGCCGGTGGTGATGGAGCGTGCGGAGACGCTACACTTCGGAGGATGCCTCTTTGGCTGCCTTGGCCTTCTTCATCTCTGCAATGGCCGCGCGCGCGTGCGCACGCTCCACCTCGTTCGCCCACCAATACCGCATGTCATCGCTCAGCCCTATACGCTGCGTGGACGGCTCTGAGAGCATCTCAAGCGTGCGCCTGAATCTGCGAATCTTGGATTAGATTATGGGAGTCTCCGCAGTGCCTGACTGATGCCTGCACTCTCATACCCAGCAAACTTACCTGGTGCTCAATCGCCGTAAAGTCTCGCGGCGTGAGGGGCGGGTGGCGAAAGGTGTATCGAAGATGAATAAGAAACGCCTCGCGCTGATCCTTCGGTCAGCTCGCATAACTTTGGCAGCTCACAGGCGCCTTGGACATGGCATTCCGTACACCTCTGTCGTTAGCTAACTCCTTCTATAGAAACGCACCTCCTGTACAGCTCAATCACCTCTTTCTGCAGTCCGGTACGAGCCATGATGGATGTGATGACAAAGTCAGTGGGGCGGATGTCAGCCAGTTCAAGAGCGCCAGCTTGAGAAGTCGGTCATTTCAAGAAACCAACCTCCACTCCCACGTGAATTTGATTGAGCCTCCCACATACTCGCAGTGACGCGCGTCCTCGACACTTGGTCGTCGCCATTAACAACAGCTACTTGCATCGTTCATCGTTCGTTAACGCCTTCAGACAGCATGGACGCCCTCGTCGCCAACATCGCTCATCCACCTTCCGCGCGCCGCGCCCCCAACGCCGAGGAAGAGCACTCGCCGGCGACATGGGGAAGCATGGGCGGCTTCGGCAACCTCGATGCGAGCGGTGCCGTGAGCGGAATGACGGTGCCCGCCGTCCCCGACGTGAGTAGCTTGTACTGACCAGAGCTCGTCGCTGAGCAGCTCATGACCTGGGTTCACGCTAATATTAGCCCCTGGCCTTCCTTTCGCTGCACACCGACTCGATGTCGACCAACCCTCAGGCCAAGATTAAGCTGGCGCACGGCACGACCACCCTGGCGTTCCGCTTCAAGGGCGGTATCATCGTGGCCGTCGACTCGCGAGCCACCGCCGGTAGCTACATCGGTGAGTTATTTGATCGCGATTACCAGGGAGCTGACGGAAGCTTCGGGGACCGTTAAGAAGGTCATCGAGATCAACCCTTACCTCCTCGGCACTATGGCCGGCGGTGCCGCCGACTGCCAGTACTGGTACGTGTCTGATGTCCTCTGCACTCGAAAAGAAGCACCGACTGACCTGTCAGGGAGACATATCTTGGCATGCAGTGCCGCTTGCACGAGTTGCGGAACAAGGAGCGCATTTCGGTTGCCGCAGCTTCCAAGATTCTATCCAACATTGTGTACCAGTACAAGGGGATGGGATTGAGCATGGTGGGTATGCGCTGGATGACCTATGTGGGCAGTAGCTGATGACAGGGGACCATGATCTGCGGTTGGGACAAGACTGTGAGCATATTGGCCTGGTTGCAGAGTATTTGCTAATTCCAGGGGCCCGCTCTCTTCTACGTTGACTCGGACGGGCAGCGCCTCAAGGGTGACCTGTTCTCGGTTGGCTCGGGTTCGACGTACGCGTACGGTGTACTCGACCAGGGCTACTCGTGGGATCTGTCGGACGAGGACGCGCAGGAGCTCGGCCGCCGCTCGATCTGCGCCGCGGGCCACCGCGATGCCTACTCCGGTAACACGATCAACCTGTACCATGTGCGCGAGAACGGCTGGGAGTTCATTGGTGAGCGAAGGGTCAAGCAAAAGGCTGACTCCAGACAACTACGACCTCAGCGAACTGTGGTACAAGTACTCAAACGAGAAGATGGAGAGGGTCGCCGCGGCGCGGGCGGCGCAGGGCGAGCCGATTGCCGTCGAGTAGACCATGTATGCATAGAACTATTGAGCAGCGCGGGCATGTGCGTACTGCGATCAACGAAGCTGCGTAGGTGTGACTGTGATCATAGTGTGATGGGGACATGGAAGTGTCTGACGCGAAGCCAATTCGGAAGCAAATTGACGACTTGCCACCAAGTTGAATCAAGTACCTCTCGACAACAACCCTCTTCATACCACCACCAGATTCACCACCATGTCCACAGCGTCCTCGCCTCCTTTCAGCGAAAGTGCGTATCGGCTCCTTTTATTGCCAGCTAATGGCAGATGCGCTCAACCGATTCCGTATCACGCATGCAGACCAGACCCGGGCCCTCGCACGCCGTCTGAACCGCCTTCCACACCTTCCTCAGACGGAGCTCGAAGCCAAGGACGATGCAGCAGCCGAGGCGGAGATCGCGCGCCTTGAGGCACAGAGGTGGCAGTTCGGTGTTGAGCGCACTTTTGCGAGCGTCCAGGCGCTGGACAGGCAACGCGACGAGTACGCGCGCAAGACAGCTGACACTGGTATGTATCTGACGTCCAGCCCTATCACCTTCCACCATCATTGCTCGCCGTTCTCAAATGGGTATCCTCTGCCTCCGCTTCTGTGGCCATCCACGCGTTGCAACCGGTTGTGGCCGAACCCCGAACCCCTACAGCCTCTGAGCGCTGATCCGACCTCTCCTCGCACTTATCCTCACATCACCGCAGCTGACAACAGTCGCCCGTACCGAGGAAATTCAGCGTATTATCCTTGAAGAGAAGCAACAGCTGGCCCGCGAACAGACGGAGCGTGACTATCGCATGCGCTGTGACGATGTAGCCAAGAAGATTCTGGCGCGTGGCAAGAGTCGGGCAGATCTTGAAGCGTGGGTCACCTTCCCCCCTCCGTCAGCTGGCTGGCTTCGGCCCCCTGAACCATCTGCTCTGCTTAGTGTACTTTCAGCTGACACGCCAGCGAGATTGCTGCCCTTGAAGCGTCCATCGTCGAGCATCGCGCTCGCTTCGACAACATCCTTGACATCGCGCAGAAGCGCGTCGAGACGTTCACACGCATTGGCGGGCTTGTGGATGAGTGCCGCGCCCTCAAGATGCCCGTGTACGACGATGAGGTTCCTGAGCCCGTTATCGAGCTCGCGGCGGAACCTAAGCTCAGTGCCACTGCCCTCCCTTTCCAGCCCCGTAGTGGAAGCGCACCAGCATCCCGTGCTGCCACTCCGGCCCCGCGTGCGCCCGTTCCAACAACGCCTGGAGCGCGCTCCCCAGCTCCTACACTTGGTCACGGGCTGCCTGCACGACCCGCGTCGCGTGCGGCATCCCGGTATCCCGCCCGCGCTGCGCTGCCTCAGCGCCCCAGTGGCCTGCGTACCGTGACGGGGCTGGAGGATGGTGAAGTTGGCGAGGAGGACGGTGAGGTCAAGGAGAGCGCAAAACGGCGTGCGGCGGATGAAGGAGGAAGGAACACACGCCCTCGAAGGTAAAGCGGAGCTCTGTGTACATAGGCCTGTTTACTTCATGTAGCTTTGCTTTGCTGCGTGTTCATGGATCAGAACATGCCCCCACGCTTGAGTTGCATATCTCATCGCCCTCGTCACACGGTATGTGAAGAACGGTTAGATGTTGTCAGTGTGTATTGGCTGTGTGGACGAGACATGGAAGTTCACCAATATCATGTGCGGCCTCTGAGCGCGGAGGCGAGAGGGGTCTCATAGCTGAGCTACCCAGCCACTGACGCACGCTTGCCTTTTGCACAGCAAGCTGCAAAGCCATTTCATCGCGAATGTGGGTAGTGTCATGTGGTACAGCGTCAGAAGCTAGGCAACAGTCGTGAACGGGGAGGTGGTTCGTCATTGCGCACGTCACGTATCTTGCGCCGCGCACACCCACCTGATCTCACATTGGGGCAAACACTCAATTCATGTGTATCAGGTGCAGAAGATTTCCCCTTCACGTTGAGCACACCTTCACTATGTATCTACAGATGTGCTAACGTGCGTAGATTGCGATTTGCGGCCACAGGAGAATGATTGCTCGGGGTTGCTCATATTGCAGACGAAGTAGTGATACATACGATAGATTGTATGTTACGAGGGTGACATTCCGGATCTCTTCTCCTCAATACCGCCTCGGCCCGCCACGGTTGGAGCCATATGAACCGCCATACCCGCCTCTTGGTGCGCCGCCGGCATTGCGGCTGAAGTTGGAGGGGGGAGCGCCGTAGGGCGGCTGCTGGTATGACCTGTTGCCGGCGCCGTATGCGCCGCCACCCGCGGCGTACCCTCCAGCACCGCCGTACCCTCCTCCTCCGTAGGCCCCACCAGCACCGCCATAGCCTCCAGTAGTAGCGCCAGCGCCTCCGTAGCCGCCTCCGTAGCCGCCGTAACCACCGCCCGCACCACCGCCGTATGCCGCCTGCGGCTGCGAGCCGTACGGGGCACGGCCACCGCGCTGGCCGCCCGCGCCGCCGTACCCACCAGCATTGCCACCCGCGCCGCCATAGCCACCTCCAGAGCCGCCATAGCCGCTGCCACCGCCGTAGCCTCCGTAGCTCGGCGCCCCGCCGCCATAGGGCGTCTGGCCGTAGCCGGCACCGCCTTGCGGTCCGCGTCCGCCTCGAGCCTGGCCGGGACCACCTCCGTGGCTGTGACCGCGGTTGCCGCCACCGCCACGGTGGCCCGGCCCGTGCCGCTTATCGTGTCCGCCACGGCGCGTCCAGTCGCGGTCAGACTCGGTGAGCTTCGGCAGACCGGGGCGATAGCTCGGAAGGATGACCGACCGATGGCGGTGCAGCTGACGCGGGAAGTAGTATCGCACTGAGAGTGCGCGGTTGTTCACGAGGTCGGGGCAGTCCTCGATGGATGGGAGAGGCGAGTCCATGCTTGCGCCCGGCACACAGTTCGGGTCGGTGAGGAATGAGCCGGTGATGCCTAGCGACTGCTGCGGGTTGATGGGCATAAGCTTCTTGGTCTCGTCGCCCTTGACGCCGTAGGCCTTGGCAAAGGCATCGAAGAGACCGTTCTCCTCGGCGATGAACATGACGTTGTCGCCCCACGAATTGCGGCGCTTCTCATCGTCCGTAAGCTCTTCCTCCTTGCTCTTAAGGGCAGTGAGGAGCCGCGTCTGGTCGATGAAGGGCAAGAGGGCAACGCCCTGCCACTGCATCTTCTTGCCGTTCATGTCGATCTCAAAGTCCTCAGGGTAGAAGTCGAGGATGGGCGAGTCTTCGTCGATCATGAGCTTCTGCAACGGAGCCGGAAGGTGAACGCGAGATGCAGCGGGGAAGACACCAAGGAGCTGGGCAAAGGGCTTGAAGGGCTGCGCGGCCTTGAACTTGATGTCGAGCTCGCCCACGTTATGGAAGTCCTGGGCGAATGGCGCGTAGTGATATGGGTAGAACCAGTCCCAGGCGGGGACACCCTGGTAGTAGTACTCGAGAACCCAGCACAGGCCCTCCATGTACGAGCGTGTGATCCTGCTGTCAGTTCCGCGCGCGTGTGTATTCGACCAGGACTCACTCGCTGATGAACTTTGTGTCCGAAAGCTCGACGCCAAACTTCTGACGATAGTAGCGCTCACGGTATCCAGGCTCCCAGAGGCGCACAGTGTCCTCGTAGTCAACCGTTCCGTCAGGGTTGACCTTGAGTTTCTTCTTGGACACATGCTCGTCGCCTGGGTTTGGTGGGGCCTCGTCATCGTCATCGGCCTCCTCCTCCTCATCATCCTCTTCGCCGTCCAACTTGATCGCTTTGCGTTGCCGACCGGTGCGGCCGCTCTTTTTCCTCTTACTGCCGGCAGGGACGTCCTCGTCGTCTTCCTCCTCCTCGTCCTCATCTTCGTCGGCGTCCTCCTCATTGTCCAGATCGGGACCCTCGTCGCCATTCTCGGCCGTCTCCTCCATAGGCTCGTCCTGAGGCTCCTCTTGGGAGGCTTCCCCAGGCGCGTCGTCTCCCTCAAGCTCCGCTCTCAGCTTGTCGGCAGCGGACATGTTGGCCATGCGGATGGCCTTGCGATTCTTCACAATGTCCGCGTTGCTTCCGCTCATCGCGGCCAGGCCAGCCTTCAACGACTCAGCCTGCTGCTGGTACGTGAGCTTCTTGCCCGGCTTGAACGCAGGCTTCGCCGGCTCGGCGACCTCTGTGTCAAAGCCAGGGCGGGTTGGCAAGGAAGGGTGCAGGCGGCCACCCCGAGCGGTGTCGGCGGGCGCAACAGCAACATAGTCCTGGCCATTCAGCTGCATGGTCCCGCGGTCATTCTGCATGGACCCGCGGTCGCTCTGCACGCCGTTCTCACGGTCCTGCCTGTCGTGCTCCTGCTTTCGGCGGTGCTTCTCGCGGCTCTTTTGTCTGTCCTCGTCTGTAAGAGTTAGCCAAGCCACCATCTCCTGCTCACCCTCTTTGCGCTTCTGGAAGATCGAATCCTCGCGAGAGGCGAGCCCCTCGAGAATGATCTGGGCGCGATCAAGGTTGACCTTGCCGTGGTTGGTGAGGTACCCTCCCATACGCGGCAGCTCGTTGCGCCAGATCTCAAGCAGTTTGTCGATGGCACCTTCACGGATCTCCAGAGACGGCAAGTGCGGCAAAAAGTCGTTACCGACGAAGAAAATCATGAAGATCCAGTCATCGATAGCGAGCTCCTGGTCGAACTTGAAGGGCACGTTGGGCACGTTAAGCTCAACCGCGAGATACTCGCGGAGCACATTGACGTCGAGCCAAATGAACGGCTTCGGGTCGACGGGGACAGCCTTCTCAACTTCGTTGGGGTCCTTGACCTTCTTGGGCTGCTTGCAGTTGACCTTGATGTGGCCGATCTTGCCGCAGTTGCTACAGGTCTGCGGGCCGCGGTTGTTGCCCTGCGCAAAGACATCCTCGCGGAGAATGCGGAAGATGGGCTCGTGGGTGGCCAGGCCAAGCATGATGAGATCAGCGTCCAGACCATACATGGCGTGGCTGGTGTTGGCGTTCCATGTGGGATGTGAGCGCTGGCGGCGGATCCAGTCGACGATCTTGTGCTCGCCCTCTCCGGGAACCGACGCGTCTGAGATGATGACCTTGAGCTGGACATGTCAGCGTTGTGAAGGCAGAAGGAGAATGACTTACGTCCTTCCATCCCGGGTCGGTGCTGAGCTTCATAGCCACCCAGTACTTCAAGCTCTTGGACAGGAGGTCCATGAAGGGCGTGCCGGGGGTAATGGCGTTCGAGTCCCATGCCTTCTTGTTCTTGGTCTCCTCAGAGACGGGGTTACCCATGGCCTCGTACATTTTGATAGCCTCCTGACGCTCAATCTCCTTCTCCTGCGCCTCCTGCGCGGAGCGGAAGCGACGCGAGCGCTGCTGGTTCATCTTGGCTCGCGGCGCGACGCCGTCAATGGCCATCATGAGCACCTTGCGCGGCCGTGCCATGTTGACAACGCGCTCAGTGTACCTGAACACCTCTACCATCATCTCCTCCTCAGTCTCGGGCGCGGGACGGCCCTCCGGATGTGTACATGGGTGGACGATACCATTCATGTCAACTGCAGGTCAGCTGGGCGTCCTCGCGCATGCCTCTCACGATAAAGATTGTCGACCTCGAACCCGTTGGGGTTCTCCGACTCGTAGCGGACGGGCACCTCAACGATCTCGCCGTCATCTTTCCTGATCTTGGTCGGCGTGTCTTCCTGGACGCGGTACACGATCTTTGGGTACTTCTTGGACAGCCACCTGAAGAGGGCGGGGACACCCTATTGCGCGTCAGCGTGTTTGTACGGCCTGGAATTTGCCACCCAGCACGTACCATGGCTTTTTGGTTGTGATGGTGCGGATACCCGGGGTGAGGAGATGGTAAAGATCACGGCGCTCGGAATCGATCTGCGCCCGGGAAAGCTGACAGAAAGTGAAATTCCCACTCGGAGCTCGTGGAATGAATGGGTATCCTCGTCGCCGCCGGAAGTCGCAGGTGTGATGGAGAGAAAAGAAACAGTGGATGGAGGGAAGGGTGATGGGCACTGGCGAAGAGGTGGCGATTCCGGTGGGACTGGTTGTACTAACCAACGGCCAACGGAAGCTGAATCGTGTAAATATTCCCGTCCCCTAATTATGGGTTACCCCGTGGCAGCCACGCTGCGCGCCTGCGGGCCTCCAGATGGAGTCTCCCTGACCGATGCGGTGGTAACATTCATGCTCCGTCCACGTCGCTTCATCGCAACGTTCGCAAGTCAACAGCAAGCATGCCGACGCACCGCATACCTGACATGGGCACTGTCCGGGGCCAGTTTGAGATGCTGGCCCACCGTGTCCTCAAGCCCTACCGCAAGCTCACGCACAAGAGCAAGGTATGTCTCGCGTGGAGCTTTCTGACGCTAGGCCACATTATGGTGCGCGCTGAACGTGCCGCGCTGACGACAGGACCGTGTTCATGATCAACGGCTTGATCATCGCGGCCATCATCATCATCACGCCCAAGCGCATCGGGCACTGGTTCAACAACCTCGCCGACTCGCTCAAAGACATGGGGTTCCTAGGCATGGTGCTGATCAGCTTGTGTGTCAGTGAGTAACCCGAGCGGCGCAAGCGGCCGCTGACGCCCAGTCGCGTCCTCCCACCCGCCGTTGTTCGGGTTTTCGGCGTGCATGACCATGATTGGATTCGCGTATGGGCTGTGGTTCGGCATCTTCTTGGGCAGCGTCGCGTCATTGATGGGCGCGGCGCTCGCGTGGTTCTCCGTTCGCGTAGGTGGCTGCTGGTGACTTGCCTGACGCGCAGCACTTCTTCCTCGACTGGATGCGCAAGTTTGGAGCAAGCAAAAACAAGCAGTGGGAGGCGTTTGGGTGTGTTATGCGCGACAAGGGCTTACCGCTCGTCGTCATGATCCGGTGGTGCCCACTCCCATGGGCCATTGGCAACGGCCTCTTCGCCGTGAGTCGCTTGCGAAGCAATGACCAGAGCTCGCGTTGACCGCAGTCCATCGACGGCGTCGAGTTCCACCACTACATGATTGCCAATCTCGCATTCATCCCCCGCCTGGCCATTCCGGTGTTCATCGGCTCCCGCCTCAACTCGATGAGCGACGGCAAAGACGTTAAACCTGACCCGCTGCGCTTTTGGCTTAACCTCAGTTCTATAGCGCTCTCGTTGGTCGTCTCCGTCGGGACTGGTACTCTGATCTACCGTCTGACTCTGCGTCAAATGCGCAGAATGGAGCACGAAGGCCACCCAGACGAGGGTGAGCTTGCCGCTGAGGCTTTCGAGAGCACAGCTCTCTTGGGCGACTTTAGCGACGAGGAGGTTGATGAGGAGCTTGTTCCTCGGCAGCAGGTGTAGTCGACGAACTTGCAAACATCCTACGTCCTCCTACAAGCCCTTTAGACAGAAATAGACTCAAGATCATGAACACTGTATCATACAGCACTAGCCCCCCTAGCGGGTGCGCAAGAACCCGCAATGTATGAGGATGTATGTATCGCTGTTTGCTGAGCCGTGAGCCCTATGAGTACCAGTTGAGGAAGAGGAGGGAGAATGTCGCTCCGATGAGGAAGACGAGCAGCATGAGGCGTGCCTCGCCGCTGCGCTCCTTGGCTCTCTTGAGCTGCTTGTTGGCCTTGCCCATCTCGGAAACGCTTCCGACGGCCTCATCGTATAGACGGTCGATGATCTCGGTCTGCTGGACGAGGTGGCGCACGAGCTCGGTCTGCATCGCGCTGATCTCGAGCAAGCTCTTCTCGGCGGCAAGGACCGACGACAGCTGGCTCTCCATGTGCTCCAGCAGGGCATTGTTCTCCGATTCAAACTGCTGAAGCTGGTGCGCAGACAGCTGCTCCTCGATCGCTGGCTCATCGGCGGGGGTGATGTTGAGTGCGGCAGCTGGTATGGGCATGATGCCATTACCCGAGCGCTCAGCCGCGACCTGCAGCTGCGCAGCTTCGCGCGCTGCCCCGCCTCCGAGTGTACGATTGCGCTCATCTCGCCGCTTCGCACGTTCCTCCTGCATACCGGTTTGTGTCGCGGAGAGCTTGGCCAGCATGTCGTTCAGCGTCCAGATGATTGTGCCCCGATGCGCGGCTATGAGAGGCTCGGCGCTGTCCTCCTTCAGCGGCGCAAGTGATGGCAACCAGTTGAAGATCATAGGTTGGGGCGGTGCGACCTTGTCCTTGCGGCCTGTCCGGTCAGCGGGGCAGACGTCGACGCGACATACGCTTCTCGGCCTCTTCAAGCATCGTGACACGTTCACGACATCGTCGCAGAATCATCTTGGCCCGCACTTCGATCTCGTCGCGCTCTCGCTCGGACAGATACTTGGAGTTTTCGAAACGCCGAAGCTCATCGTCGTCGCCGTTGGCGGCGGCCGTCCGTCCTCGTCGCGAGATAGGTGGGGGTTCTGCTGTCGAGAGGTATGGCTTCCGGACTGTCTTCAACAAGCGGCCTAGATCGGAGAGGTGGCCGTACTGCGGTTAGATCTGTTTCAAGGGTTGGCGCACGATCTGGTACGCCTCGTTGAGGAACCCGTCATCTTCCTCGGTCCGTTGTTGGCGGTGCCGTGAGCTGGCCCTGCTGTGGGGACGAGAGGAGCCGGGAGAACTGTTGGCCGACTTTGAGTTTTGGGCGACGAGCTTGTGGAATGCGCCAGTTTGGTCAATGTAGACCATGACTGACGTGGTGAGCGGGGTGAAGAGTATAAGTTGTTGTTGGATCGTTGGAGAAGGCCGCCGTCCTTGTAGCAGCATGGCATGAATGTGAGTCGTCATTGCTTGGTGGAGGTGGGGAGGGATTGTTTCCCACGGTTGACCATGCCAACAACGTGCATTCCACGTGTGATACAGACGCGGCCGGGACGCGGGGTGGGGTGAAGCACGGCAGGTTTGGCGTTTCTGATCTGGTTTATTACACGCTGCATTTCAATCAACCCGGCGCCACCGCCACCACCCGTAACCCCTCAGCGCGCCCACGCCGCCACGCCAACCGCCAAGACGCTGGCTGCGAAACCGAGAACGGCCAGGGTTGTCAGCTCCCAGCATATGAGCATGCTGCATTCAGAGCGACCCAGCATACCTCTTGGCCTCGTGCATGCCTGCACTGAACGAGGTGCAACATTGCCAGAATGCCAGAACACTTGGAGAGTGCCCTGAACTGGTGTACCTGGATAGCGTGCACGGGGCGGCCCGGGGAAGAGAGGGGCGGGAGAGACACGAGACACGAGACACATGGCGAGACATTGCATGCCACGTCCTTTGCACTCGCGCCTGGCAGCTGGCAGTTTCACGTCTCCGATCTCGGCTGCCTCGGAGCTTCCATGCCTCACACGCGATTCCACGCTTCGCATCCCTGCCCCGGCTGTCCCATGCATTGCATGTACATGTACTCCCTGCACCGGTTGCGCCCTCGTGGCCTCGTGAGCTCGTGAATGCGACGCTAATCTGGCCCGGCTGGCCCCGCCCGGCAAGGCCCAGTTGCTGTGTGCTTTGTGACCCTGAACTCGTGGTTGAGACGGACAGAGGTGCAAGCCTGGAGACGAGGATGCTAATGTTACCCTGCACCGTATTCCTTTTCTCTTTGCCCGCTTGTGACATGCATGACAGGTGAGAGGAGGGCGGGCGATTTGGCAACTTGACTCTGCGCGTCGTACTGAGACACGTTGCTCCATGCCGCCAAGGAACCTCCCCCCCCCCCCCCCCCTGTGATCACCTCGCAAAGTAAAGAGACCCGCTCGGCCCGAAATGCGGGCGGGCGAGTGGGGAGATCGAGAGTTGTGGGTGGAGGAGGAGGAGGAGGAGTACGAGGACGTGTCGTGGCCAGCCCGAGAGCCCGAGCGTCCGGATTTCCCTGCATTTAGACGCCTCCCGCCGGCGTCCATCACGGCGCACAGGCCTGCGCACGTCGCGAGAGTCGCGCCAACCTTCCTATAGGAGGATTTAGGAGAATTCTTATTGCATATATATAAGTATATAAGAGGATAAGTAGTGTGTGGATTACAAAGTGGAATGCTATATGGTCTATCCAATGCAACAGTCGAGTCCTTACATTCCCCTTCCCGACCGGAGTGATCCCTCCATGCCCTCAGTGATTCCCTCGCTCATTCCCTCGTCGTTCCCTTGCACCTCGCGCACCTCGCTCTTCTGGCTCTCTCGCTCAATCACTCACTCTCCACTCACTCGTCCACCTTCCTTGTCCCTCTCTCTCTCTCTCTCCCTCCCTCTCCTCCCTCTCCTCCCTCCCCGGTCCCCCCGTGGCATTTGGAAAGGAAGGCATTTACTCTACTACACATCTTTCCTCCTCCTCATCCTTTGCGTCCTTGCCAACTACTACTCTTTCCCCTTGACACCTTGACACACTCGCCGCGCGATCGCCGCACTCGCCGCGCTCACTGTCAAGTCACCCACTCCACACTCCACTCCGCCATCCTCCCATCCACTCATTCCCCTCTTCAAGGACACGTCCTCGTCCGCGTCCGTCGCGTTCGTCGCGTCCCCCGTCCAACCTAATCATCCAACACACCACCACCACCACCCACCCACCGACTACACTTGCCCCACGTTGGTCTTCTCTCCCACCACATCTCCAACCCTGCCGCCGTCAACTCCCCCGTATGCCCGCTTGACAAAGTCGGGGTCCAAAGAATCTGCCATCCTGTCGTCACAATCAGCCAGGATGCCGCTTCGACGGACCTCGGGCCACACTTTTAGCTCGCCCAGTAACCGCATCCGCTCCTCCGATATACAGCACACTGACAATCCATCCTTGCACGATGGATCAAGTGCAAACAGTGGTTACACCCGTCAAGACCCACTCGTGGGTGAGCAAAAGGTCGTCACCTCCATAGTCTCCCGGCTCGTCAACAAAGTAAGTCTAATCCCGTGCCCGTGACCGGATCATGCGCCCCTCTCTCGCGCGAAGATCGCGCATCTCTCTCGACGCCTTCTTCGTACTTCCCCCTCGTGCTGACGCGCTCTAGCTGCCATGTAACTCTGGCATCAAGCTCGCCATGATGGAAATAGATGAGGGCGTAAAGACTACCGTCGAGAGCTTGCTTCAGATTTCAAGAATCAGGCTGCCCCTTGTCGTTCACGCCCTCGCCAGCTCGCTCGAGACTTTATCCAAGGTAAGCCGGATTCTACAACATCACACATCACAAATCACACACTGACCTCCTTCTAGTACTCGGGAACAGGCGCTCTGATCGATGCCCCGTTGGACACCATCCACTCCCAACTTTACCTCCTCCAAATCCTCGTCCAATGCCTCTCGGAATCATGGAATTTGAACGCGAACGCGTCCACTCCTCCCCACTCTGAGCTGCCCGCGTGCTGGCCCGATCCGCCACCACTCGACGACCATTTGGCACGTCACCTCTTGGGAGTGCTTGTCATCTACATTCGCATGCTCTCACAAGAGAGCTCTCATGGCAACTCGGCAGGATCGTTGGCACAGGTATCCAACCGCGATGGCAAGTCTCCAAGCTCGACGTCGGTTGCTGCCTGGGGTGCCCAGATCAACGCCCCCGGCGCGAGCTCCTTCTCTCTGGGAGCCAACTTCATTCAAGGTCACTCGTACCCATCTGCCACAACTCCACGGCCACCTGGGATCCCAGAGCATGCCAGACTTTTGGCCCCCACCGCTTCCTCCCACGCATCAGCTATCAAGCAGATGACCAAGAGAACCGCGCGAGTCATCTTCTATCTCTCGGCGTCCAACTGGCCACTGGTGCTGTCGCGCATCAAGGCGCGCGTCGCACACCTGACAACGACGCTGGAGGAAAATCCCGAGCTTTTCGAGCTGCGATTCCTCGAGTGGGCGAATGTAGATGCTACACGTCTAGCTCAGGCACTCCAAGAAATCTCGACACCATTCCTGCACGTCAAGCGCCCTGCTCAAACGGCACTCGCGTCCGCTCTCCGCAAGGCGATATGGAACTGGATCGAGGTCTACCCAGCAGAGTACCAAGCACTCATTGAGGGAACGCGCAAGCTGGACGGTAACCCCGACGTGCTCTTTGACGTCCTCCTCTCATTGTCCGACTCGTCCTCCACCAACAAACGCGTCAAGGTCTTCTACCCCCTCATGGCAATGCTCCTTGTCTTGTCGCCAGATTCACTGAAGCGGTTGGCAATGGGCGACGTTTCTCGAGGGGGATCCGCATTGGCCAAGAAGCACAACTTCCTGGACAGCCTGCGCAAGGGCCTTTCACAGAGCAAGTCGTATGAGGCTTGCGCTATCTGTTACGTCGACCTTGTCCGCGCCGCCATGTGCTGCAGCCCACGGCTGGAGACGTCAGGCATTCGCACGCTAGCGCCCGACCTCCAGAATGACCTGAAGGTAAGCACGATGCGACGTCCATTACTGACAACAACAGAATGCGCTTTTCTACTCATCCCTCGCTGCCGAGATCACTGACATCAACATTATTGTTGATGGACTCGTCGCGCTCTACCGCTTCAACCCGACCGGGACTACCCAGGTCATTTTCCCCAAGCTCTGGACCGACAACTCGGATAACAGCAAAATCATCGGTGTGCGCGCTTGTACGGCACTGGTCATGGAAGGCCAGCGTCTTCCCTGGCACCCTGGGATCGGCGGTTTGCGCGCCGAGGTCGCCCGGGCCATCCGTGGTATGCTCCGCTCTACTGCTCCAAGCGTCATCAACCAAGGCATCAACCGACGCGGGCGAAGCAGTCTTGACCTTCCGTCTACCCAGACGGATGTCACCTGGGAGATCCTCAATCTCATGGCCCTGGACCCCTCGTTTGCGTACGAGGGCTTGGGCGACTCCCAGGACACGCTCGGCAACCTGTTGGGTGGCATCTCATCGCTCACTGCGGTCTCATGCCCAATGACAATTCGGGCTCAGGCGGCCAAGACGAATCTCGTGCTCCTCGACCGCCTTGTGGAGCAGTGCAAGACGGATCCCGCAAGGGCTAACCAGGCCAACCAGTCGGCCTTGTTCATATGGCAGATCCTTATCGACTCTAGCCGTCGCTTCCTTGTCGACTTCCAGCTGGGCGATATTGACGACATGGCCATGATGTGCGGGGCCTTCCGATCAACTGTACACTCCATGTTGAACGTCGTCACATCGCTGCCAGAGCTTGCGAAAGCACCTGCAGCCCGGCCCGCCGTGCTTGTGGCTAAAGTCGCTACCGTCACGAGCTTGACCGGCCCAGACGTCGAGCAGACGAACATGGCTGCGCCGGCACTTCAGGCTCTAAGTAAGCTGATGATCGTCGTTCGGTCGTCTGTCAGCAACAGCCAAGCTCAGATGGACGAGATAACCGGCCACAGCAACATGTTGGCTGAGCTGGGTAGCCTGCCCCCTGCCACTGGCCGGAATCAACAGCAGCGCGCCATTCGCCGCATCATGAAGTCCCACGTCCGGTCCTCGACATTGCTTGGTGGTGTCTGGATCGGCCTCGCTGCTCGTCTCCGCATCCTCACAAACAAGATCCACACCGCGGAGTCGGACGAATCTGAAAAAGACTACGGTCGCCGTCGCAACATGGCTGCTGATATCGAGGGTCTTACTGAGGACGAATCTAAAGAGTGGCAGAACCTCGTCTCGTTCTTGTGTGCCACCAGTGGTGTTTGCGCCAGCGACACTGCTGCCATTCCCAACATCTCAGACGTGGTAGGCAAGGGCGTTCTGCCGCGGGTGTACGATGAAGCAACCGACCTGCCCGCCCAGGTGGAGAGCCTGCTGCGCGAATGTGTCGACTTCCTTGTCAGCAACTCGATTTACGTCCGCGAGTCAATCAAGGACGCTCTCGGCAACGAGCTCCCACTCAGCCTCTGCCGGGTCTTGGTCGTCCAAATGACCAAGCTGCTGTCGCACTCGACCGGCCCTACCGGCGTAGCGACATCAGAAGCGTTCACAACCTTTGTCGACCAGGTCGTCGCCGTCATCCGACTGTGGGTGGAGCGTGTCAGCCCCGGCGAGAACAGCGGTGTCCAGGTGGATCTCGGAGAGTTACTCTACCTCATCGCCCAGTACACTCATCGCCTGGGCCGTGAAGATGCCTCGCAGCGCATCAAGATCAAGTTCTGCCAGCTCTTCGAGGCCGTCCTCGGAAAGCCCGAGTTTGTGGTGCTCGGCAACGCCACCAAGCTGCGCAATGCCGTCCTCGAGTGGATGTGCGAGTGGTCGATCGAAACTCTCCGCGACGAGTTTCACATCGGCATACAGGACAAGGTGCAGCGTGATCTCGACATATCATGTTTGCGCGCCATGATCCCCATCACCGATGGCTTGGTCATCCGCTCTGCAGGAGATGACTCGGAGGATTCGCAGAACGTCGCCAAGGCCCGTCTCTTCTACCGCTATTACGTGCTTCTCGTCCGCGTTCTTGAGAGATCCAACAATCACGAGTCTGAGTCTTCGCACGTGGCAAGATCGGTGTCCAACATGAGCACAAAGGCAGGGAGCAGCGAGAGTTACCAAGCGCTGGCGATCCTGGTTCTCTCGAACCTGCTCTCCGCCAATGTTGACGTCGGTCTGAAGCACTGCCTTTCCCTCGCCTACCATGAAGACTCGACCATCCGCACGGCCTTCATGCAGCTGGTCTCCAACATCCTGCAGCAAGGTACGCGTTTCGGCGGTCTGGCTGTGAAGAATGCGACCGCCCCGAAGGGCTACTTTGACGCCCTTGCATCGCCAAACCTCTCACTTGCGGTCGCCATCTGCGAGGTCTGTCCGCCCAACGAGCTTGACGAAATGTCCTCGCTTCTTTTCCGCGTCTTCGAGTCCAAGGGCAATCTGCTCAGCCTCATGAAGGTTCTCGTCGAGCGTGACGTCGGTCTCACGAGCCACGAGTCTGAGCTCTTCCGCGCCAACTCGATCATGACCCGTCTCATGACCACCTTCGCCAAGACGTACGGCTACAACTACGTCCGCGGCTGCCTTACTCCTTTGGTCGTATCCATGGGCGAGAAGCCCATAGAGTGCTCTTTCGAGCTCGACCCTGCGAAGAGCAGTGCCACGGAAGATATCGACCGCAACGCCGAGCACCTCCGCCTGATGTGCCAGGCTCTGCTCGACATCATTTACAGCTCGACCCCAAACTTGCCCGTCCTCTTCCGTGCGCTGTGCCACCACATCTGGGAGGTTGTGGACGATCGATTCCCTGACTCGAGGCACTCGGCTATCGGCTCGTTCATCTTCCTGCGCTTCTTCTGTCCAGCGATCGTATCGCCGGAGAACATCGACCTGGACATCCCGGCCGAGAGACGCGACACGCGCCGTGCCCTCGTCTTGATAACCAAAGTTATCCAGAATCTGGCCAACAACGTTCTGTTCGGGAGCAAAGAGGTTCACATGAAGGTTCTCAATCAGTTCCTTTCCGACAACATTCGTCAGGTGACCAAGTTCCTGGCCGATGTTGCGCAGCGACCGCGCAGCTGGGAGGTAGCAGCGGCCACCAAGATGTACCAGGAGGAGACAGAGCGCTCCATTGACGTCGAGGCCGACAACGTCATCATCCAGAAGTTCATCTTCAAGCATTTTGCGCGTCTGGAGCCCGCACTCGAGAACATGCCGACATCATACCGCACCCGCCAGGGGACGTCGTCACGGTCCGTGCGCCTCGATCTTGACGGCAAGGGAGCCCTCGCCAACCTGCGTCGGATCATGGAAGAGACGGGGCCGCTGCCCGACCCGGTGCTGCTCAGTGTTAGTGCCCGTTCCCAGGTCTACGACGACTTCATGCGCCATAACGCTGGCCGCAACACGGACAGCGCTGCCTCTGCCTTTTACGAGGGACAGCCGAACCAAACTGGAAGGAGGATATTTTACCTGATCCTCGCGCGCGTCGCTCTCGTCGACTACGACCTGCTTGCGTACCGGATCTTCTCGCTACTGGACAGCGTGACAGACTTTTTCGACGTCATCATCGACATGACCGACTTCTCCCCGCAGAGCGAAATCCCGGTCCCGTGGCTGAGGCGTTCACTGCAAATGTGCCCACCACAGATCATGCCGCTGATCCACACCTTGGTGCTGTACAACCCCAACTCATACGTCAAGAAGCGCTTCCGCCCGTTGCTCGCCGAGTTCTTGCCGTACGCGCCGACGATGAAGAACGTCATTGCAGCAAGCTCGCCTGCCGAAATCCATGACTACATCCCCGCTTTCAATGGTTACGAGCTTCCTGAACGAACGAAGGTCCTTGCGTACAATGCTGAGAACGTTTTCACCAACCTTCTCTGTGTTTCGGATCACGAGCAATTGGTCCCCGTTGTGGTCAAGCTGTCGACCGAGAGCATCCAGGTCGCCTCAGTGAGTGTCAACATCAACCGACATGCTGACATGCAGTGGAGGAAACAGGACCTCACCCCGACAGTCAAGTCGTACATTATTGACGTTATTGACCTGGCCGAGGTCAACGAGATTACGATGGGCAGACAGAACGCCGATCAGTTGACCCTCAAGTACTCGCACAACAAGACTGTCACGTTCACTTCACGAAGTATGTCAAACGTTAATGATCATGTTCCCTTGCTGACCCTGCAGTGGAGCGCAATGAGCTTGCTCAGATCATCCGTGCAGCGGTCAGTCGCTTCCGAAACACGCCATCCGACGACCGCATTCTGCGCCCGACAGACGTACCGGGAACGCTGCTCAACGTTGCCTTCCTCAATCTCTCGTCGAGCGATGAAACTCTGCGCCTGGGCGCATACAACCTCGTGCACGAGTTGTGCCAGTTCTTCAAATACGACCTCGCTTCGCAGGTTCTCAAGGTGTCGACGGGTCTCACCATACCGAGCAACTCGTTGTCCTTTGTCTACAAGCTCAGCAATGCTCTTGCTACGACAGCCCAAACCCTCACTCTCGAGTTCCTCAAGGAGTGGACGGTTGGTTTCTCAAAGGCCGACACACCGCAGAAAGCCGCCTGTCTGCACTACGTCGGCCCGTGGCTCAAGAATCTCGAGCAGTTCGCCAAACCCTCCCGCGATGACGGCGTCGAGAACACTAAGCAGGTCGCCGACGTCGTCAGAGGCCTCATCGCTTTGACTGTCGCCGAGCGAAAGCGCCTCCATCTCTCTATTCAGGAGCATGTGTGGAAGGTTTTGGCCGGCTCGCACGAGGCTCTCATCGACCTCATCGTGCGGGAATTGCTGCACCTCGCCGTCAACGCGGGACCCGGTTCTGAGAAGGCGGAGGGCGCAGCCGACATTCTCGTGTCGCTCAGCTCGACTGCTGTCCGTGGCAAGGTCGTCGCCCGCCTCCGCAAGAGCATCGGACAGACGTGCGTCAAGCCTACTAATCTTCTCAGCGACAGCCCGTCCTGGAATGAGATCTGCACGCTCGCCCGCATCAACCTCGCTCTCGCGTTTAGCCCACCCAACGCTCTCGACACGCAGCTGTTCCTGCCGGACCTCTTCCACACGATCGTCCTCATCTCGGGCATTGGCCCCGTTATGATGCGCCAAATTGTGTACGGCCTGGTGATCAACATACTGCAGTCGCTGGCCACCATAGCAGCTGCTGGCGAAATGGACGCCACCACTCTCCAGCACCTGCTCCAGCGGGCACAACAACCCGAGATGATCCACGCGTTTGGCCTGGTGCAGAACCCCGGCAGCCTCGAGCTCGCTGGAGCCCTACACTGGGACCCGACTGGCGTGGCGCACCTCGACTCCTTGTACAAGGTGACGAATTTCCTGGGCGATGTCCTCACCGCGGGTGCCCCGTCCATGGACTGCGCCAACGCCTGGCGTGCGCGCTGGATGGGCCTTGTTGCGGCGACCTGCTTCCAACACAACCCTGCAACACAGCCCCAGGCATTTATTGCCCTCGGCTATCTTGCCCAGGATGACGTGGACGACGACGTTGTCTACCAGATTGTGGTGGCACTCAGCGGTGCCTTCAGCCACTTCCACGAGGACGACACTGTGCCAGTGGTCAGCATGTTGCGCTGCTTGGCTCGCGTTATGGGTGGTTTACACACCGACAGCAAGTACGCCAACGTCCTCTTCTGGATCGCCGTCTCAATCCTCCAACTGGCGTACATCCCGCTGTTCGGCCCAGCGCTCGAGCTACTGCTCACAACCATCCGCCACATGCGTGCAACCCACTCCTCCAAGAACATCTTTGGCGAGCTCATGGAGACTCGCGCGGCGACTGGCGAGCAAGCTAGCAGGCTCGACCAGATGTGCGGCGTCAACTTTGACACCGACCCGTACTACTCGCTGGTAGCCATCATCAACAAGGGCGTGCGCCATCCCAATACACGCGCTCTCACCATCGAGACGCTCACGGAACTTCTCCGCCTCTCGTGCGCTGAGGAGGCCATCGAAGACCGCGACCGGCTCATACAGGGACGCAGTGTGCCGTTCTTTACAGCGCTCCTGCCGCTCTCGGCAAGCAGCACGGCGTCGGTGTCTGAACTTCTCCAGGTCGCCAACGTCGCGTTGGAGAACGACAAGATGCCAGACATTGCCAACCTTGGCGTCTACGACTTGTTGTCACTGCCCGACAACTCCAAGGTGCTCCTTTTCGTTACGCTCATCGTGACCATCCTCACCAACGTGAGCAGCGACGCCGAGAAGTTGGTGCTCTACCGCTTGTTGGCAGATGCGAGCATGGACGCGCCAGACGTGGTCGCGACGGCGTATGACACGCTCATCCCGCGCATGACAGGCGTTCTCACAACCACCACGTCGACGGCCATTCTGCAGAACGTCACGCTCATCTTTGAGCGCGCTATGGCCGACGCATCATACACGTTCCCGACCGGCATAGCGACCGACAGCAGCTCGTCTGTGCACAAGAAGAACTACTCGGCCAGCGTCAGCTCGGGCCAGACCAACATCAACGTCCGCCCACGCGATCAGGTTCTTGAGGACCTTGGCATGAAGGGCCTGACGGACATGAGTTTCAGCGGGGTCAAGCTCGATCGGTGCGTACTGATTGACATCACGTTCTCTTATGAGACCTCGCTGACATCAGCCTCTCGAACATGTCCAAGTACATTGCGACGCTCATCGACGCCTTCTCGCAGTCGATCTAACCGATTCCACGTCCAGCATTGCAACCCCATCACGAATACCCCGGTCTTACTCTACCCGTAGTAGGACTCACGCGTTATAATTAACTCTGCATCCCATGCTTGGTGCGGCGCGCTAGGCTTGGCCATGCAGAGCCCTTGAGAAAGGTTGGTAAATCATGTACCACATGAATGTTATTCTATGTCTAGAACGAAAATGAAGGAGTGTTGTCGTATGACCCCCTTGTGCCTGGCCGTCTGCACGATCTCAACGCCCGTGGCCGAACGACTGCCGGTCACAGGCTCCACACCACACATGCAGCAAGCGTAGTTCTGTCCATTGCAACGCTGAGTCACCAGAGACAGCGTCTTGGCAGCTATGAAATGTGCACATGCCTGCAGAAACCTCCTGAGTACGCATGGCGGTGCCGGTCGAACCAGGCAGCGCATGCCCAGGGTGTCAGCAAGTATGCAGATCACCCGCACGCCGGGCGCAGGATTCATGAGCGTGTCGTCTACTTAATGCAATGTACAACAACCCGGCCGGGTTCTAAACCTCGAGGATGCCCATCTCGCGCCAGCGGTCAGCAAGCTCGGCGACGCCCTGCCCCATCCCCTGCGGCGTCATAAGGTCCTTCATGACGAGGAGGTCGAATTCCTTGCCGAACGCGAGGAAGTGCGCGAACAATGAATTGAAGTGCGCCTCAACCGACAGATGCACCACCTGCTCGAAGTGCGCGTGGTACAGGTGCGCGAAGACGCGGAAGAGGTGCTTGTAGATGTGCTTGGCCGTGTATGCGAAGCTGCTGGGGAAGTCGCGACCTGGCATCAGCTGGGACCATTCCGATGCCTGTGCCCGACAGTACGCCGCCCGCCTCACAGGCAGGCAGTGGCAGTCAGTGGTAGACTCACCCGACTTGGTTGGGAAGACGTGCTCGTCCTCGAGCAGCTTCTGGAGCCAGCTCATCACGAAGTCGATGTAGGTGGGCGCGGGGAGGGACACCAATCGCTGGTTCTGGTCTGGCCACAGGAAGTTGAGCGTGTGCCCCGCGCTCATGGTCGGGCAGTTGTGGATCGTGCAGAACTCGGTGAGGGCCGAGTAGAAGTGGTTCAAGTTGTGGTAGAAGTCGAACACTGGAGTGAGCGAGCGCCAGGGGGAGAAGACGGGGAGGATCACGGGAAGGAAGGCGGGCAACGACTTCGCGCGACGACTCCGGCAGCGTGGCCGGCCTTAATCATTCTAGTCTTATGGACTTACAGTTGATCGCGACCCACTCGTTGACGTCAACATACTTGGGGGGCGCGACGATCGTCTTAAAGCTCCCCTTGACGAGAGCGGCCTTGACGAAGGGCTGGCACAGGAACAATGGACGGGGACCTGGAGAGGGGGGTTGCCCACTCAGCTCGGCGCCAGGAGAAACAAGCGGCGCCTCATACCCTCCTGTGCTGGGGCTGAGCTGGCTCGGAATCGGCGCACGTTTGGGCGCGCGGAGGCGGCTGAAGTCAGCATGTGGCGTGGGGTGGTCACGGCGGTGGGAGGGGGGAAGACGCGAGCGAGATGGCGCTGCGGGTGGAGAAGCCGGCCCGGAGCCCAAATCGTCGAGCCGACCGCTGGAGGAGACGTACCCAATGCTGTTGAGAAAGCCAGACATGGTAAACGTGGAGAGACGAGATGTGCACTTCGTCGCGATCGGGTGCGCGGGACGCCTCACACTCTTGGGCGGGCGTGTCCAGGCACGGCCACCGCGTGCTCCGATAATTACGTGGCCAGGTGATACGGATTCTGGATGGAGGTACCCAACTTGGAGATGTCGGTCGTGTGTCCACTTCCATCTAGTTCAACGTAATCAGCTACAGCTCAGCGGCCACGATGGTGTACACCAAGACGTGGACCGAGTTTGAAAGTGTAAGACACTCGATTAAATTATTCGGAGACGCTGACAGCAGGCGGTCATTGACCTGTACAACCGCGCGCCGAGGAAGGTATGTTCGTCCACACGAGATGTCCAATGCGGCCCGCAAGAAGGAGAGGGGCAGGGCGAGAGCACGCGCGAGGACACCATGCGTACTTGAGATGTCTAGCTGATTCTAGGCGCGCTATGTCGTAAAGTTCGAGCCAAAGACGGGCAAGCTGGTGATCAAGGTGACCGATGACAGCAAGGTGGGTGGTTTCGCGGGATCGCACGAGTGGAGCGGCAGGCGCAATGGGAGTGTCGACCTCAAGCGATGTTGCGCTTGTCCTGCGAAGGAAGGGTTGGATACTAAAGCGAGGCACAGGCGCGTCTCTGCGCCTGTCCTGCCGCCTTCTCCATCTCGATACGGTTGTCACACCCTTCTCATTTCGTGTCCGCGCAACTTCTTCTGTCGCGACTTGGCTAACTCCAGTGTCTCATGTACAAGACGCACTCGGCCATCATCCTGAACCGCTTCGAGACGCTCAACCACCGCCTCCTGTCTACTATCGCTAACGCGCGCCGCCGCGCGCCCACGGCGCCATTGCTCAACTCTGGCTCCGCTGGCGTGGGCACACCTGCTGCTGAGGGAGACGACCCCATGTCCGGTGGTGGTGTAGCATCGCCAGCACAGGCGCCCGGGACACCGAAGCCTGCACCGGCAGCTGGGGGTGGCGGGAAGAAGAAGAAGAAGAAGGGCAAGCGGTAGTGGGGATGCATGTTGTATAATTCTGGCTTGAAGCGCGCGGATGGGCGCACCCACAGCCCTCAGGTGTCTGCGAAGGCGACGTTGAGGGCGACATGACCTGTCGTCGCGTTCCGTATGTCTGCCCGGCTCATAACCCGACGCCGCGTGTAGGCTGCGTCATGCAATTGTAAGCTCTTAAGTCTCCATACCGGAGCTCAGCAAGATGTTCTCAAGACGCTCTGTCGTTAATCTTCCCCTTTTTGCCAGACTCACCTACTTGCCCTGCTCCTCCCTTGCAGAAGCATAATCCTCCACGGCTGCCTTAATCTCCTCTGCGACACTGCGAATACGCTCGAGCCGCGCGAGATCCGCCGCCGCGCCACGTCCGCCCGCAATCGCGCTGGCTGGTCCCCCGATCTCCTGCGCGCGCAGCTTGGCCGCACCGTCGCGCATCTCACTCGCGTAAGCCTTGGTCAGGGCAAGACTATCGGCCGGACTGGATGAGGCGTTGAAGGCCGCGAGTTGCGCGGAGGCGTCTGCGGGCTTGGGAGGTGGTGGGGCGGTGGGGTCGATTAGCTTCGCAAGGACGGATGCAGGGAGCCGCTGCAGCGCATCGAGGTCGCTAGAGAGCTCAGCAGGAGTGATGATGGGCTGTTGGGGTGCAGTTGTCATGGGACTGAATGGACGGAGAGCAAGAGTAGGATAAAGGTGGTTGATTGGGCCCCGATTCATGTCTGACGGCATATAAACAGCGATCAGCGGATCCAATCCGCAGCCTGCCCTCCTGTCTCCGCCATCGTCCCGTTCACATGAGAGCGAAGCGACTTTTGCTCTAATCTATTATGTAGCATGTGTATAGGTCTGTAGCGCATGCCCACTACCGCATCATGCGCATGTACGCCAGGAGAAGGGCGCCCGAACCCGTCGCCACGCCGACGAGGTACTGAAGGATCGAGAACTTCGCCTGCTCAATCTGGGTACGCAGACCAGCAATCTCGCTCTCGATGCGCGTGTCGACCTCTTTGATCTTCAGCTCCTGCTGCGCGCTCTCATCCCTGATTCGCCCCTTCTCGAGGTTGAGGTCGAGCCGCACGCCAGCCTGCGTGCGTGTAATCTCCTCGCGCAGCCGCTGCTTAAGCTTCTCCACGTCGGCCATGAGTCTATCGTTCTCAGCCTGGCGTCAGGTTATTCTTATACCAGTCCACTATAGCCGACAGCTCCCCTTCTCTCGCCGGACTCGATCGACCTACCTTCATCAATGTGAGATCGTTCTTCTCATGGAGCTGCAACTCGCTCTTGAGCTGCGCAAAGTCGACGTTTTGCGTGTACCGCTGCTTCTCCTGTTCGCTCTTCGAAACGAGCCCGGCCTCCATGTTGCGCACGCTCTCATCGACGGCCTCCGCCAACACCTTCATGACGCCCTCCGCCTGTTGTTGCGTCATGCCATTCTGCTGCAGCCGCTCCACAAGCAACTGGGTGTCAAAGTGTGCAACGGCTGCCGGAGCCGAAACTCGAAAGGCGCGAACAGGCGAGCGGGCGGCGGCTAGAAGAGCGAGGGGCCGCAAGAAGATGAAGGGGGAGGTGTGAGTACGAAGATCACCAGGAGATCGCCGAGAAGTCGGAGGTCGAACGGGAGAGCGCGTCAGCGCATGCCAGACGCATAGACGAGGAGCTCACCCCGTAAAAGTAGGGCGCCGACCCGTGATGTTGTGGCTTGCCGGAGGACGAACATGGAGTGATAGTGACCTGCTAACTGCTTGGCCGGAGTTCTGAACGCGTCACGTCTCGGCTCGATCGCTCGGTTGCTCTGTCCGGTCAGATTGAACTCGGTGGCAAATCGAGGTGACACGATTTTGATTCCGCGTCACCCAACCCGCTTCCCCGCATTCAAGCTCTTCGTCAGGTACCACACAAATTTCGAGATCAGGACATCTCGGCGGACCGTCACCCACCCAAACCATCAACACTTCACTCCTCAACAGCATCATCCGGTGCACCTTTCGCCATGCAGGTGAGCATCTCGCCAACTTTGAAGATCCAGCTGACATGACCAGTCTGACGAGATTATTTGGCAAGTCATCAACCAGCAGTAAGTGCACGCGACTAGCCATAGCTGAACACTAACAACAGGTTCTGCTCGTACAAGGTCAAGTGAGTAGCGCCAACCTCGATGCCAATGGGACTTGCTAACCCTCAGGACCGTCACACAGAACTTCTGTCGCAATGAGTACAACTTGACTGGCTTCTGCTCGCGGCAGTCTTGCCCGCTCGCCAACTCGCGATATGCTACTGTGCGCGAGAAGGAAGGTGCGTAGTCGCATGACGAGGTTCGCTGATCGAAGGTGTTCTCTACCTCTACGTCAAGACGATCGAGCGTGCGCACTCGCCGGCCAATCTTTGGGAGCGGATTAAGCTGTCAAGCAACTACACCAAGGCGCTAGAACAGATCGACAAGGAGCTCATTTACTGGCCCAACTTTATTACGCACAAATGCAAGCAGCGTCTGACCAAGATCACTCAGTACCTCATCAAGATGCGGCGACTGAGCATGACGCAGCAGTACGTCTTCGTTTTTTTTCTGTCATTCTGGCTCTCGCGCTGACAACAGGCCCAAGCTCGTGGGGATTAAGAAGAAGTTGGAGCGCCGCGAGGCAACGCGCGAGCGGAAAGCTCTCGCCGCGGCCAAGCTGGAGAAGAGCATTGAGAAGGAGCTGCTCGAGCGTCTTCGTTCGAAGGCGTACGGCGACGCACCGCTCAACGTCAACGAGGACGTGTGGCGCCAGGTCCTCGACCTCGACAAGGGCAAGGACCGACTCGAGGACATGGAGGACGACGACAGTGTCTTGGACGAGGAGGAGTGGGAAGGCGGTGAACGCGAGTTTGTTGAGGACTCGGACGACGAAAGCGTCGACGACCTGGAGGACTACAGTGGAAGCGAGTTCGACGAGTTCGACAGTGAGGACGATGGGCAGGAGTTCCCCTCGGACCTCGAGGTGTCGGACGAGGACAACGATGAAGAGGGAAGTGATGAGGAGCCAGAGGAGCCTAAGAAGGGGAAGAAGCCACCAGCACCTGCTGCTGGCACGAAGCGCAAGGCACCGCGCGAGCCGAAGCGTGCAGGCAAGAAGCGTGAGTCAAGCAATTCTAGTGGCAAGCAAGGAAAACTGACAGCCAGGCCCTCACGTCAACGTCGAGTACGAGATGGAGACAGAGCCGCTCTCTCGCGAGATGATCAACAACTGGTGATCAACTATACCTCTAGATTATATACCTCAGGGACCTCTGCATGCATACAACACTGGCTGTCGAGATTGCGACATGGACTGCAAGCTACCAGTCGAGACTTGATCCTTACTCGTCGTCCGAGTCGTCAGAGTTCAAGTCAAGTTTGAAGACGGCTTGGTCGTTGTAACGCCGGGTCTGCTCTTCATGTACAACCTCGATGCGCTCGCCCAGTTGCTCATCCTCACGGTCTGGAGTTAGCGATTCTCATGGGAACAGCAGTTACCTTCGCCGATCACACCAACATCGCCCATGCCGCTCATGCTCCCGCCCAGTTGCCACAGTAGACCTTGACGCATCTGCGTTTCGTTTGGCCACGGCGTGGCCTGCGCGCGATCGACGGGTGCGAGCAAACTGGAGACGGGTGCGGAAGTGGTACGCGCCAGAGCGTGGGCATGTGCCAACAGCACTGGCACTCCGACAGGATCTGCTGTCAGTCCCACCTATGACGGTGCTCACCATTCTCGCTAAGCGCGATGCTCTCGCTCACACGCCGCCCCTCGTCGACGAGCGTCTCGAGCTCGACCCGTCCACTCTCCAACTCCCGCAGTAATGAGCGGATGCGCCGCTCCAGTCCCTCTACCTCGGCCTTCTGCACCAAAAGCGCCGCCCATGCGCGCTGGTGCTCCTCTGCATCAGCCGCAAGTGCATCGAGCTGTGCACTACTCTGGACGAGACTGGCGTGGAGGGCAGGAATGTCCGAGGACGAGGATGGGAGTGCGGCGAATAACTCGTTCAGGAGGGCACCTTGTGTTGTAAGCGCCAGAAGAAGGGAGGTACGGATAGGCGGATCCGTGAGCGTAGCCGTCATGATGGGTATCTGTTTATCGTGAGTTGAGGAGGATGGTGTTGTTCGGCCTTGACTTGGGTGGGACAGTCTGGAAACGGCAAGGGACGGAGAGCTGATGATCTCCGTAAGATCAACAGATTACAAACTTCGCGCACTGCATCATTCTTCTTCACAACAACATGGTGCTCTCGACTGGGACGCTGAACCTCAAGTTCATGCAGCGCGCTGCTGCGCGCGCCGCAAAGGCCGAGCCGTTGGCGCCCGCGACATCCGGCTCCGTGTCTGCGCCCGCCGCATCAGCGCCATCCACCCCCGCGTCGCCCGCCCCTGCCTCCATAACACCCTCCCAGGCCGCCACCCCGATCCCCGCGATGAGCACACCTATTCCAGCGGCGCCAGCAGACGACGAGGCCGGAGCGAAGTGGGTCCTCCCACGGCGCAATGCGGAGGCGGGCCCAGGGCCTTCCACCCGCCCGCGCGTGCAGTTCGTCGCATCATACCTTCCCTTCCTCGAGGATGAGGATGATGGGCCTACTGGGATGGCATCAGGGCGTATGGCCTTCGGAATGGGAGCCAAGCTGGAGGAGGCGCGTGATGGAGATGATAACGATGAGGACGAGTTCATAAGTGACAGTGAGGACGACGTTGCCGTTCGGAGAGACAAGAAGGCGCGTGCTCCAGTGGGTTCTGTCACTGGCATGACTGACGCCAGGCTGGACGATTCTTCGCTGGTGGTGAGCTGCAGCGGGCCAAGTCGCGCACAAACGAGCCCAAACCTGAAGAGACGGAACCTTTGCAACGGACACAATCGCGAGCCAATGCACCGACACCCCCGCCGGAGGAGCGCATATTTCAGCGTCCCAAAGGCTTCTCGCCGCCGCCTACAGGAAAGGGGAAGGGCAAAGGCAAGGCCAAGGACAAAGCCGAGCAGCGCGAGCAGAAGCCGGTGGACAAGCCCAAGCCTGGCAAGACCAACAAGGAAGGCAAGGAGAAGTTCAACAAGAAGAAGGGCGCGCTGTCAGACAACCTCTACGCCAAGCTCAAGGATAAACTCAGCATCAGCAGAGAAACCAGTGTGTCGTCCGCCAGCAGTGCGCCAAGTGCTGGCGGAAAGAAGCGCGCTCGAGATGAGGCGGCCGCTCAAGAGAGCAAGCGGCCGAAAGTGTCAGCGCTGGATGAGCGGGAGAAGGAGCGGAAGAAGGCCAAGAAGGCTGCAAAGCGTGGGCAGTCGAGCAAGTAGTGCCAGTACCAGGTCATGAGATATCTCCACCCTATTTGTACATGTACAGCATCTTCGCGGTTAATGCACATATCCAGACAGTCCAGGACATGTGACAAATCACAACTGGTAGACTCCACCATTTTAGTCCATTTTGGTTCACGTCAGCTCTGCAGTAAGCCGTAGAATCCTCCAACAATCCTGTCCTCGCACGCCCTCGTTTAGTCTCCCTCCTGACATCTTCTGACTCAGCACGGTCGGCGGCATCTGCAGACCCTAATACATTATCGCGTACCAGAGCCCTGGGGCTGCGCTATGCAAGGCTCTCCTCCCCAGCGCCAGCCGGAGAGGAGAAGAACGTGACGTGAGGGAGATGGCGAACGTCGCTTTTAGATGTTCGAGGGGAAGAGCATGATGCGGCACGACGCGCCGAACACCTTGGCGGGGAGGTTGGAGGTGAACTTGGACTTGACGACGCCCGAGTTGCCGTGGGGGCGCGAGATGCGGCCCCAGATGACGCGGACACGCGAGCCGTTGATCTCACGCTTGGCCTTGTAGACGTAGGCGATGCGCTGGGGTTAGCGGGAACTTTTGCGGTAGTGGAATGTCGGGAGCGCTCTGGGAGGTGGGAGATGGAAATCGAAGGAGGAGGAGTCCACCGAACGCTCGTGCGGACGTGCGAGAGCGAGGATAGCAAGTTGCTGCACGTGCCCAACAAGTGCGATGAGACGCAGATGCTAGGTGCTCAACAAGCAGAGGTGCAGCTACTCCAGTGGAGAAGCTGTCTCTGGGCTGCCTGCACCTAACACCCACACGCGCCCCACCACCTTCTCCTGCGCACGCTTTCCCGCTCTGCGATACGAGTATCGAGCTCTCGAGCACCCGTACTCATCGCCCCTCTCATGGTCCCATCTCCCAATCTCCTCGAGTCGCTCCCACGCGCGGGTGCGACTAACCTTGCCGAGGTACGAGCGAGCGGCCTCCGCCGTGTCAACACCCTCAATCGCAACGAGCGACTGGTTGGGGCGCGAGTTGCGCTTTCCACGCTTGTGGCCGAGCACGCGTCCCTTGGTGTAAAGCCTGCACGGAGACATGTTCAATAATCGGTTCGATGCGCGGGGAGAATAGAGGTGTCGAGGGGGGTAGGGGGACGGTTCGAAAGCGAGATAGTGCGCGGAGATCGGAGTGAACGTTCTGTGTCAGCACGGCGTCGCGGGACGTGTCGGTCGGCGCACCTGGTGGCACCCATTGTTGCTGTGTTTTGATGGATAGAGAGCAGCTTCGACGGCGGTCAGGACGACCAACTCGGTGGCCCAGCCTGGCGGAGCACCAATCCTGCAAATGTCGGCGTTAGCCACGTGGTGTCGGAGTTAGATCTCGGCTTGATGAGTTCATGTAGAAATCGCGATTTACATTACTTTGGGGGAATATTTAAGCATACCACGTGGCATTGATAATCAACAGGTATTGCCGCTTGACGCACCTGGCACAGAGTTCCTGTCTAGGGCTATGAGAGGCTTCCCTCTCGAGGCGACCAATGCACCATCTCTCGCTCTCAGTCATCACTCACTTGCCTTCCCGCCACGCCGCGCGCCTGGACATGTCATCCCATTGATCCCATCAATGCTCATACCAGCCGCAGCCTCGCTCGTCTCGCTATCCACCCAATTCCGCACACATGTGGTGACGCGACAAGGGAGTGGTCTGAGCGGCGTCAAATCCGTTCCCATTAAGCCGCCAAGACCTGTCATCCCGTGGCAGTGCGTCTTGGCGGAACAATGGGCCAGCCGTTCGCTCCCAGACTGGCGTGCGGGACTTGCCCGCATCACCTTGACTGCCCAACTGCCTCTTCGCGCCGTCCTATCTCCAGCCCCAGTCACACCCTTGCCTGTGGCGACGTTGCTGACGGCAGCCACACTGAACCGTGCAAAAGCATCCACAGGCTTGCTGCAAGGTTTCGAGGACGTCCGGCTGGTCACTTGTATGAAGAGCAACATGGCATGCGCGTGCGCATGCTGCCATCTGCCAGCGCGGCCAGTCGCAAGCCCGATTATGGTCCCTTGAACATGTAGACACGCTTGCAGCTGCCAGATTGCTGCTCGCGCTGCACACTTGCATCCTCTGAGTGCTGCGCCGCGTTTCATGTACATAATCGAGGATTGGTGAGGGTAGTGTGCGATGAGCGGGGCAAGTGTCGTGCACCCCCGCATCCAGCTCACAAGTTGCCTTCGGAAGTGTTCACCCTTGCTGTGGCACGGAGATACCCTGATTGACGGCGCCGGAGAATGTCTTGGCAGGCAACAATCACCCCGGCAGCCGGCATCGACCCCCTCACTCCCCAAACTCAGCACTCAGGTTGTCCAAGCCACCTTGAACCTGTCTGCCCCCACCATGGTCCAATGCATGAGGTTTCCCCCGGCCCCCCCCCCCCTAGGTCCCCGTCGCGTAGCGCTGGGACCCCTGTCCACCCGCCCAGCGCGTGCAGCGTGCTCACCTCGCTCACAGACCTCAAGGACGAGGCCAATGCTCTGTGCGCCGCTTGTTCCCATCGCCTCTTCACTCTCTCTTTCATCCTTCCCACTTTCCAGCAACTGCTTTCATCTTAAGACTCTTCACAGTCTCTTTACGCCTTCGCGACTCTATCATCGACAGTCCAAAGTCCAACACACTTTTGACTCGTCAACGACACCGACACACTCCTTAGATCAATCCATCCACATCTTTCGCTCTTCGCGTGTCCACGCCGCCACCTCATTTCAACCCTTCCCCCGACGAGCCCAGTCACAATGGCCTCTGTTATCCTTCTCTCCCTCCTCTCCGGCGCTGCCGCGCAGGCTGTCGCTCCCGCCGTCACCGGCAACATTCGGTCGGACATCCCTGCCCAGCCTCTGCACACCGTCGACGGATACCAGATCCCGTAAGTCTGCCTTGGGCCCAACGACGCGCGTGCCCTTCGCCCTGCGGCCATGTCCGGCGGCGATGGCCCGTGCGCGCCCGCGCGACCGCACGGCACGCATTTCACGCGAGCGGCGACGCGAGCTCCACATTCCACACATGACACAGATCTGACTTTAGGCCTCTCGCAGAGATCACCCAGAATGCCCCGTCGTCAAAGACTGTCGCCTTGTTCTCGACCGGCCTCCCTGGTGCGACGCCCACTGTCGAGCGTGCGCCTGTGATTCCCACCACCCCATCCTCTCTCAACTACCCCGAGCTTGACAAGATTCCCCCCACCAACTCGCCCCAGGTTCAGAGGTGGATCTCGGAGATTGACTGGACCCTCGTCCCAAACCTCACCGTCACCGATGGCACCTGCGCGGGCTCGCCCGAGGCCGCCAACGACGCCAGCCGCTGCTGGTGGACTTGCGGTGGCTGCACTCGTGAGACCGACATTGCCGAGTGCCCAGACCAGTACACCTGGGGTCTGTCGTTTGACGATGGACCTTCGCCATACACTCCGCTCCTTCTCGACTACCTCGACGAGAAGGACATCAAGTCGACCTTCTTCCTCGTCGGCTCGCGCGTCGTCTCGTACCCTTCCATGGTCGTCACCGAGTACCTTGCCGGCCACCAGCTTTCCATTCACACCTGGTCGCACCCCTCGCTCACCAAGCTTACCAACGAGGAGATCGTTGCTGAGCTCGGGTGGACCAAGCAGGCCATTCACGATGTCGTCGGTGTGACCCCCAACACCTTCCGCCCGCCTTACGGTGACATGGACGACCGTGTTCGTGCCATTGCCGCGCAGATGGGTCTCACTCCTGTTATGTGGACCCGCCACAACGGCCAGACTCTTGACACAACCGACTGGAACATTCCCGGCGGCCAGGCCAACGGTCAGACTGCCGTCTCGCGCTTCCAGGACATCCTCGACACCGTGCCCGAGCTTGACACCGGCTTCATCGTCCTCCAGCACGACCTGTACCAGCAGACTGTCGACCTCGCCGTCGGATACTTCCTCCCCATGGCCGTTGAGTCGGGCAAGTACGCCATGAAGTCTATTATCGAGTGTCTCGGCCTCCCCGCCGCCGAGGCTTACATTGAGACTTCGGCCAATGTCACTGAGACCCAGATCCCTGGCACGGGCACCGTCTTCCAGCCCAAGGTCGGCACCCAGACTGCTGCCGCTCCCCAGATCACCACCGGCAAGGGCTCCGCCGCCGTTGGCTCGCAGTCCGGCTCGTCGACCAACGCCTCGGCCAGGCCTTCGGCCTCAGCCACCTCGGGCGCCATCAAGTCGTACGCCCCCATTGCCGTCGCCCTCGGCGCCGTCTTCGCGGCCATTGCTTTCTCTGCGTAAAGCCTCGGGCTTGTTGCAATTCTGGGCTTTAAGGTTACCCATAAATATCCCTGTAACTGGCGGCGGGCCATCGCTGTCCGGCTTGCGACAAGGGGCATATCGTAGCTCTTCATGTTCTTCACGGACACTTCTGCGCAGCGCGTTGCGCACGTGCATTGTATGTCATCACAGTCCTACACAAGTTCACTTGGCCATGTGTCTACGGTGTCTACTGACGATCGACATGGCAAGCAAAACGAAGTCTTGTACGGTTATGGTGGATAAGCACTGGGCGCGGCGAAGGAAGCACGGGCGCGCTTGGCTCAGCGTGTACGTGCAGCACAATCTTTCCTAGGAATAGTCTACTTTTTGAGAGTTACACCCGAGGCGCTAACCTTGCCACCCGGCGCGACCTTTACGGAACCGGCCCACTTGGCGCCCTTGCCCGTTGGGACCTTTACCTCAACCTCAGACTCGAGCTCGAACGTGCGCACTTCGAGGCCGACCTTGGCGTACTCGTAGTCTGGCGTCTCGATGCTCTCGGGCCCAAGGAGGAGTACCGAGTTGGGGCGCACGAAAACGGGAATCTGGTCGATGGGGTAGTCGGTTTTACGGACGAACCTGGGCCCCTCAATCACCTCACCTGTCCAGTAGCATGTCCAGCGGCCGGCCGGGATGTAGAAGTCGGCACGGGTACCGTGGAAGACGGGAGCGACGAGAAGACTGTCGCCAAACATGTACTGCTTGTCGAGGTGAGCAGACGCCGGATCTTCTGGAAATTCGATGATCATTGCGCGCATGACGGGGACACCTGTCTCGTGGGCCTTGATGCTCTCGCCGTAAATGTACGGCATGAGGCGGCACTTCGCGCGCACCATCTTGGCCGTGACCGTGACGGCGGTCTCACCATAGTTCCAAGGCACGCGATATGAGCCGCTGCCGTGCAAGCGCGAGTGGGAGGAGAAGAGGCCGAAGGCGACCCAGCGGCTAAACAACGCGGGGTCTGGCTTGCCCTCGAACCCGCCGATATCGTGAGACCAGAACGCGAAACCCGATGCGCTGAGACTGAGTCCGCCGCGCAGAGTCTCGGCCATGGCCTCGTACGTGCTCTCGCAATCGCCTCCCCAGTGCACGGGGAAACGCTGGCCACCGGCTGTCGCGGATCGCGCGAACAGCGCTGCTTCGTGCTTGCCGTACTTCTTCTCGACGACCTCAAACACGCACTTGTTGTACAAGAACGAGTAGAAGTTGTGCGCTTTGGATGGATCCGAGCCGTCGTGGTAGACCACGTCGACGTGGGGGATGCGCTCGCCAAAGTCGGTCTTGACTGTGTCGACGCCCATGTCGAGCAGACGCTGCACGAGCCCAGCATACCACTTCCACGCGGCGGGGTTCGTGAAGTCCACAATAGCCATGCCGGGCTGCCACTCGTCCCACTGCCACACGTCCCCGCTTCGGCGCTTGAGGAAGTACCCCTTCTTGACGCCCTCGGCGAAAATGGCAGCGCGCTGCGAGATGTACGGGTTGATCCACGCGCACACCTTGACGCCGTACTCGCGCTTGACGTCGGCAAGGTACTTCTCCGGATCGGGGAACGTGTCCGGATCAAACTGGAAGCTGCACCAGTCGTAGCGCTTCATCCAGAAACAGTCGAGGTGCAGCACGCGCACGGGGCACTTGCGTTCGCGCATCTCCCTCAGGAACCCCGACACCGTTTCCTGGTCGTAGGACGTTGTGAACGATGTCGAGAGGTACAGCCCATACGTCCAGGCGGGCGGCAAGGCGGGGCGGCCGGTCATGCGGACGTAGTTCCTTAGCGCGGCCTTGATGCTGCCGCCGCCAATAACAAAGTACTCGAGGCGCTCGCCACGCACGCTCACGCCGATTTTGGAGCACTTTTCGCGGCCGACTTCGAACTCCACCTCCTCGGGGTGGTTTACAAACAGCCCGTACCCTTTGGAAGAGAGGTAGAAAGGGATGTTCTTGTAAGTCTGCTCGGATGACGTCCCGCCGTCTTGGTTCCAAATACCGACGACCTGACCGTTCTTGACAAACGGTCCAAAGCGTTCGCCGAGCCCGTAGATTGTCTCGCCAACGGACAGCGTGAGCTCGTTGACCATGTACCGTACCAGGCCTGTGGCGCGCGTGCTGTCGAGCGCGAAGTGGTCGGAACGCGCCATGCTGGCCGGCAACGTGGTGAGGCAGCCAGCCTGGCTCTGCTGCCCAAAGGTAAGATGCCATGGGACGTCGGCGTATGCCTGGCCCTTGGGCTCGGTGGCGCAGAGGAAGTCGTCATCACCCTTGGCTGAGTCGGTGAAGCGGAGCGCGTACGACTTGGGCGCAGTGTTGATGTCCACTGCCACTGAGCCCGACTTGAAGCAAATGTGATCCTCGGTGGGTCGCGATACACTCGTCTTGGGCGTCGCGGGTGCACCGTCTGGGAAAAGCTCAAAGTGCGGCCCCCTGTTGTGCCCGCCGGCATGGTGTTCCACACGCACCTTGAGCACGTCGTCCATCGGCGACGAGATGCTCACCGTCAAAAGCGGGCCTTTGGTCAGCTCAGTAGGGCGTAGGACATGAGCTCACTGTTCAACGTATCGCCGCGGTGAGCGACATGCCGTGGTGCGACGATGAACTCAACGCCGTCCTTGCTCTCACGCAACACCTCGACGACCTCGACGCCGCCGACAAAGTTGACGCCGGTGGGACGTCTCCATCTTCGGTCAGTGCGTTCACCCAGCCAGCTTACAATCCATCCGTGAACTTCATGTTGCTGATGTGCTATTGATGGTGGGAAGCGGGCGGGGGGCTTCCAGTAAAGTAGGTTTCCGCCCACCATGACAACAAGTACGTCAGAATCGGGCCGAATTCGGCGACGGTAACTCGGTGTTCGCTGGATCTTGCAAGACCGGTATGCGCGGCGCCCTATTCAATTCTCTGCGACAGCGCGCTCCGTCGGAGTTCTTGATTCGAGAAGCTAACCCAGCCTGCAGCGCTCTTGCATTGGGCACTCGACCTGCGGCGCTCGTGTCGCTGCGCTTCTTCATCGGCGAGGATGTGGTCAGTTCTCGGTGTAATAGGGGCGGTGTTGGTGTACACCGGCGTTGAGCCCCGGTGATAAAGTGTGACCGGTCTTTAAAGGTCGGTGTTGATCAGCTCCCGAGACCAGACGCGCCGCCCGGCCCGGCCACCCGGCGCGCGAGAGGGCCTATTGTTCGCCTCCGATGGCGACTCCGCGCGTGTGTCCCGCAGCCCGCCTCACAGATGCGTCTACCATGCCCACAGCTGGTCTTCTGCGGCTGCTTCGGACGAGCGCGCTTCGGCGAGATTTCGCTGAGATGACACCATGCCCATCGCTCACCTGATCATCAACTCCCTCCTGCGCAGCTTGTCTGGTAATGCGCTTCGGGGATGGTATCCGGGAAGCCGAACTGAAGCAGATCCGTAAGCTTCGATTTCCTTGGCCTAATATAAGGCGAAGTGCGGAGACCCAGGTGCCCCACACACCGAGATCAACATGGTTAACGATACTGTCGTCCTCGACGAGAAGACCGGACATATGGATGCGGCGGCGCTGCAGAATGCTGCGGCCGCCGAGGCAGTCGAGCATAACATGACGCTGGCATCGGGGTGGCGAACGCATCGGCGCGCTATCTTCTGGTCGATGGCCCTCTCCTTCGCCCTCATCATGGAAGGTTATGATGTCGTCGTCATTGGTAAGCACTGACCAGTCATGGCTGATGGCAGGCTCGTTCTACGGTCACCCATCGTTCCTACAACGCTTTGGAGTGCCGGCGCCGGACTCGCCTAACGGCTACGTGATCCCCGCAGAGTGGCAGAGCGCACTCTCGAACGGCTCGAGTGCGGGCGGCATCATTGGCCTTCTCATCAACGGCTGGGCCGCGGACCGCTTCGGGCCCAAGATCGTCATGCAGGTCTCGATCATCGCACTTACCTGCTTCATCTTCCTCTTCGTGTTCGCCCAAAGCCTCACAATGCTTGTCATTGCCGAGGTGTTCTGCGGCATCCCATGGGGAGTGTTCCAGACTCTCACTACGACATACGCGTCGGAAGTCTGCCCCATCCAGCTTCGCGGCTACCTCACCGCTTATGTCAACCTGTGCTGGGGTGTCGGCATCCTCCTGTCCTCGGGCGTAGTGAAGGCGACGCTGGACATTGAAGGCGAGTGGTCCTGGCGCCTCCCTTTCACCCTTCAATGGATGTGGGTGATTCCGCTGTTCATTATCGTGTGTTGCGCGCCCGGCTCGCCGTGGTGGTTCGTACGCAACAACCGACTTGAGGACGCCGAGAAGGCTCTCCGCCGCCTCACAAACCCAGAATACGTCAGCGAGCAGGACATCAAGAACAATGTCGCAATGATGGTCCACACCAACGAGCTCGAGCGCTCCATCGAAGAGGGCACGAGCTACATCGAGTGCTTCAAAGGAATCGACCGCCGCCGCACCGAGGCGTCCATGATGGTCTTCGCGATGCAACTCCTCAGCGGACAAAATCTCATCGGGCAGGGCGTTCAGTTCCTCCAGCAGGCAGGCATTGGCACCAACCTCTCCTTCAGCCTAAACATGGTCCTCAATAGCATGGTGCGCAAGCCATAGCTCCACCTGCTGACGGCAGTTTGTCATTGGCACGTTCTTCTCCTGGATTGCGCTGTACTTCTTCGGCCGCCGCACAATCTATCTTTCCGGCATGGGCCTGATGTCCGTAGTGCTCTTCATTATCGGCGGCCTTGGCTGGGTGGGCAAAGACTCGCCGCGGGGCACGGACACGACGTATGCGATCGGCGCGCTCCTCATCGCCCTCAACTTCTGCTACAACTCGTCCCTCGGCCCCGTGTGCTACACGCTCATCGGCGAGCTCTCGTCCACGCGCCTCCGCCAAAAGACAATTGCGCTCTCCCGCATCGCGTACCAGATCATGAACATCACCTGCGGGATTATCGTGCCGCGCATGCTCTCGCCGACGTCGTGGAACTGGGGCGCGAAGAGTGGTATCTTCTGGGGCGCCAGCGCGTTTCTCTGCACCGTGTATATCTGGACGCGCATCCCCGAGACGCGCGGGCGTAGTTATGCTGAGTTGGACCTGCTCTTCGAGCACCACGTGCCGGCGTGGCGGTTCAAGGGGACCAAGGTCGACCAGTTTGGGACGGACGCTGGGATTGACAAGCCAGAAGTTGTACACCTCGACTCGAAGCCCCGGGCAGTGCAAGTGGAGCGGGCAACGTAGTGCTTCCGGACTGGAGTGGAGAGTAATTATAAAGCGTATGCAGTCTTTCGATGGGCCTCTGTCATGGGGTAAGGGTTATGTTGGAGCCGGGCCCGTTCCGCAACCTTCCGTCCATGTCGGCGTATCGTAAGCGTCGCGGCGTCGGCCAGGACATAGGCATAAACATCGCCATGGCACAAAATGTTAAATTCTTATCGTCATGACCGAGGAAGAGGCCAGTGTGAGTTCATCAAGTTCACATGGTTGGCCCAGATCAGTAGTTGGCACCATCACCGATCGACGCCCACAGTACAGAGTCAATCCCCCATGAGCACCGCACCAGATAGTACCAGCAAGCACCGAACGTCGCATTACACTCCTGTCTAGATAGCGGCTACCATTGAACGGAGAGGACGCTCGGGCGCACCTGTCCTCCCAGTTGTTTACGAAGCGGGAGCACCCTGGCCACGGCCGACACCGCCGAAGCGCTGGGGTCAGCTGTGATCGCGCGGGAACGCGGGGCGCGATGGTAAAGAAGGACGCGGGTCTAGGGCAGATACACGCAGAAAGGCAGAGCCTTTGCCTGCAAAGTATTCCCCATCCTCACATGCCATTACCTCGCCTGCCGTTTCAACTCACAGGGCGGTACTCGGCACCGGCACCCTCCTTGTCACCGTCGTCGCGGCGGCGGTAGCCCTCACGGTCGCCACGGGGGCGGTAGGCACCACCCTCACGGCCGGCGCCGTAGCCGGCGGGGCGGCCAGCGGGGCGAGCGGGCTTGGTGTGGGTGATGGGGACAATCTCGGCGGGGAGGTGGAGCCACTCGCGGAGGTAGGCAAGACCCTCGTCGGTGAGGGTGTAGTAGTACCACTGCCACGAGAACTGGGTCTTGACGTAGCCCTTGGAGGTGAGCGACTGCATAGCCTTGATGACCTCGAGGTTGGGGACGTTGGTGAGGTCGGGGTGCGAGGGGCGGTTGAACTCCTTGGGCGCGACCATGACACCCTCCTTGAAGAGCTGCTCGTAAATCTTAGGTCAGCTGGTGTCCAAAAGCGACGAGGAAAGAGAATGCGGGCACGCGCGCAAGTCGGGCGTTGACCACGACGACGCGAGCCCCATAGGCTCGACACTCACGAGGCGGCGGTTCTGCTTCGAGATGATCATTTTGGGTGCTCTTTCACGGGGTTAGGCGAGAATGAGAAACTGGTCGAGGTGCGTTTTGATGACTTGAGGTAGGCCGCTGACTTGGGCAAGGATGGAGAAGTCGAAACTCTCACTCGTCGATGCAAAGGCTGCACCCCCCGGTGGCCAGGCACGGCCAACCAGTTTGGCCTCGCATATATTCAATCAAAATTGCGAAGAAATAATTGAGAGAAGCGGGAGCATTTGAGGTGCGGACTCTTGCACAACTCCGCGCTGTTGAGAGAACAGAAGTGCGAGTGGGGCAGTTTCAGCCTCTGCCCCTTGCCAGCATGCCGCGGAATTTCGGAAGGCGTTCGGGGGGTTGATCCGGACGTGTCGTGTCTCAGCCATGGTGAAACGCCACCTGCACCGAGTACGCAAGTCGGTGCGCGTCTTCATTCCTTGCGTGTCACTTGCGTCACTCACACATGCAGTGACCCCATCCTCCCATCAGCACAACCAGTTACGTCGCGTCCACGCTATACCCAGCGCTCATCACGGCGAGTATTTACGGGCTCGTAGTCTTTCACACGATCACACGATCTCACGATCTCACGATTCCACAGCCTCGGCGAATGGCCGCCAGTAATGTCGCCACGCCCCGCAGTAGCGCGTGCCTTGTTGTCATGTATTGGCAGGCAGATCTTTGGCTCAGAGCGCTTCGCAAATTCCCACAATGTTGAATCCAGATTGGGTATAGCTTTTAGGATGGTACCAGAAGGTTTTGAAGGCCTTGGTAGCTTGGTAGAGGGTGGATGTGCGGCCAAGATGACGTGAAGAAGATTATAGCACGCGACAGTAGAGACGCGTGAGGAGAGGAAGAGGCCGAAGAGGAGGATGAGTGAAGGGTCAATGGTGCCAGTAAAGGTGAGCTGAGCAAACGCGTCCAACTCTCAAACGCCTCCAGAATCAACCAGAAGGCAGATCGCCAGAGACCGGCCCGGAAGGGGTTCAGGGGAGTCAAGGGCACAACGGAGTATCCCTTGTGGTTGCCTCGTCAGCCAAGAGGCCAAGAACATTAGTTCAAGGGTCTGACCTAACCGCGGAACCCAGGGTGCACGTGTCACTCTGCCCTGTGCAGTGCAAATCTCGTCCCTCATACGGCTTGCTCGGCTTACGTTTCAAAGTGCAGGTGTGAATTATATTGCCGTTGTCCAATGTGATCTGAATGAAATGACGAGTAGGGTTGAAGAGGGGTGAGAAGATATGACTCCAGGCCTCCAGGGAGGAGGGGGAGAGCAGGGTTGTTGAAGGTTGGGGTGGCACTTCTCTGACTACTATACAGTGTAGGTGCGGGCACGGTGGTTGGGCGATCATCAGTCGAGTTAGTAGCCAGGAGGGACGCACGGACCTCTGTGCAAGGAGGTGTGCAGTATGTGTGCATGTGTGAAACTCGCTCTGGTTAGATGCATTAGCTGGGCCGGATTAGGGTGGCCCCTGGCAGATTAGGACAAGGCAAATGAGGGCGCCGGCCTTTGGCTATCTCCTCATTCACTCACCACCTCTTTCCGTCCTCTCCGCTTTCTCCGCTCTCTCCGCGCGTACGTACTGCTCCTCCCGCCAGCGAACAGTCAGTCGCGTCTTTCCCCTTTATATCCATCCTCTTGCTTTCTTTTACATCTCAACGTTCTCCTTCCGTCTGTTCGCTCCTCTCAACCTCACCACCCACTTTCCAACGCTCTCCACCTCATCCATTGAGCACCCTGCTCCACTCCCCCCCCCCGCCAACCCCATTCTTCAACTTCCCTCCCGCCAAGCCTTCTTGGCCGCACCACCGTCATGGCGCCCTTCTCGCGCCAGCAGGCCGCTGGTCCGAGCCGCAATACCAACACTTCAAAGGCCACCAACTCACCTCCAGCAAACGATAACGCCCCCTCTCACGGTCGCGCTTCGTCCGTCACTTCACCCACCCAGCTCCGCTCGCGCTTCTCCCCCCGCCTCTCGCCGTCCGCAGACCCCAACAGCCCCTCCATCTTTGCTGCACAGCAGGACACCTACCCCTCCCCATCCAACTCCTCAAACGGCAGAAACCTTCTTGCTGGGTGGGCAAGACGGAAGAAGCGCACCGAGAGCGTCCCCGAGGCCAGTGTTACGGCTGACAAGCCTCTACCACCCGTCTCTACCCCTATAGCATCGCGCTTCGCGTCCAAGGACTCGTCCAACAGCAAGTCCTACATCCCTCATTACTCCAAGAAGTCGTCAGAATCGTCAGAGTACGCCACCAACTCGGGTGGTGACATTGTCCGCACGCGATCTCACTCTCCCTCCCTCACCGGCGCCGGAGCAACCGGGTTCAGCGTTCCCCGATACGACGCGCGCGGGTACCCCATACGTGACCCCATTCCAGACATCAAGGTCATCACGCCTAGAACGTCGGCCTACGGAACGCCCCCCGACTCCTCAATGCCCTCAACCCCTCGGAGGCCCTATAGCGGAGTGTCGTCTGACAACGAGGATCATTCACCGCGGAGACCCCACTACCCACCCTCAAGCTTCGTCAATCGCTCCTCTGGCGCGTCGTCCCAAAACTCTCCCCGGCGGGGCAGACCTGACTCGGACGCGAGCGACTACTCGTCGGACCACGTACACATGCCCTACGGTTCTGGTATCTCGCCAGGAGCCAGCCTGTATGGCGCCGACTCCGTAGCTAGCCTGCCGACACAAGAGACGTCTATGAGCGGCGCGCCGCTGACCGGGAGAGAACTGAGCTACCGCGAGTACCTTCGACAGCACCACGGCTACTCCTCGAACCAACAGGGCGCTTCGGAGTTTGGCCACTACGAGAAGGGGTCGGATGAGAACGTACGTGACTCGGGTTATGGCCATTTCGGCTTCAAACGGGAAGGAAAGCGCATCGTCCTCAACTACGGCCTCGAGAATCCAAGTCTCTACGCCGCCATGGGCCCAGAGGAGGATGACGACCTCCATAATCCAACCGTGAGGCAGAGTTACAAGACTGGCTTCTTCCGATCGCTCCTCACTGTCCGCGGTTTCACCAACGTCGGATGTCTGCTTATTATTACGCTTATCCTCGTTGTCCTGTTCATGGGTTATCCTATCATCACCGAGTTTACTGAGCGCCATCAGACGACCAATGGCGCGTTCGGTCTCGGAGGCACCAATGCAAGCGGCCAGGTCCCTTTGGTCCGCCAGCCTATCGACCCAGACACCCCACCTGAGGCGTACCAGAAGGTTTCGCTGGAGACCGGGGAGACATGGGACTTGATCTTCAGCGATGAGTTCAACCACCCAGGACGCTCATTCTACCCCGGAGACGACCCCTACTGGGAGGCCGAAGATCTCCACTACTGGCCCACCAACAACTTGGAGTGGTACGATCCTAAGAGACTCACGACCCGTGACGGTAGTCTCGTGATCACTCTGACCAATGAGCAGTACAATAGACGCAACTACACCGGTGGAAGTGAGTGACGACTCTTTATCAGCGTGCTGACCACATCCAGTGATGAACACTTGGAACAAATTCTGCTTCACAGGCGGATATATCGAGGCCGCTGTATCGTTACCGGGCAAGTCGAATGTGCAGGGCCTGTGGCCCGCCGTCTGGACCATGGGCAATCTCGGCCGCGCCGGCTATGGTGGGACGACGGACGGCATGTGGCCCTACAGCTACGATAGCTGCGATGTGGGTACGCTCAAGAACCAGTCCCTCAACGGTGTGCCGGAAGTGGCCCAAACACAGGGAGACCCCAGCTACAACATGACTCTGTCGTACCTTTCTGGCCAGCGCCTCTCAGCTTGCACTTGCCCAGGCGATAAGAGCCACCCGGGACCTATCCGTCCGGATGGGACGTACGTTGGGCGTGCTGCCCCAGAGATCGACATGATTGAGGCCGCAGTCAGTGACTCGAAGGTTGGCGAGGTGTCGCTGTCTGGACAGTGGGCGCCGTTCAACCCGTGGTACGGTTGGATCAATCAGACCGATCTCGTCACGGTCTACAACGTATCAAACTCGCACTTTAACCAGTACCGTGGCAGTATCTGGCAGCAGGCCACTTCGCTGCTGGCCAAGACGGACCAGGCATGCTACACGCACGAGCAAGGGTGCTTCCAGGTATTCGGTGTCGAATGGCAGCCCAGCAAGGACAACGACAACGATGGGTACATCTCATGGCTCAGCGACGGCAAGAAGGCGTGGACGCTGCGCGAAGGCGCGATGGGCCCGAACTCTGATGCGGGCATTGGCCAGCGCATTGTGTCGCGCGAGCCCATGTACATGATCGTTAACCTCGGCATCTCGCCCAACTTCGGCTACATCGATTTTGAAGGTCTTGACGAGCTCTGGCCCGTCGAGATGCACGTCGATTACATCCGCGTGTACCAGGACCCCAAGAAGCGCAACATCGGCTGCGACCCTCCCGACTATCCGACAGCCGACTTCATCGACAAGCATCGCGTCGCATTTACGAACCCCAACATCACGACGTTTGAGCAGCTACAGGATGCCATGCCCGGTCTCGAGTGGCCCAAGAACCGGTTCCTCGGCGAGTGCTAAGCCCTCGAGGGGCGTAGCACCTTGTTGGCCGCGCCGGGCCTTTCGGCCAGCGCTGTATCATTCTTCGATGGCAGCTAGCCTGTCCGGGCAATGACAGGGCTCATTGTTAGGTTCAAATCTTCTAGACTCATTCTACCTCCATAGATATCATAGCCCCAGCGGCACAGTGACATGTATCACCACCACCTGAACACTTTGCAGTGCCATGTACTCAATATCGTCGGGTTGTTCCCTCCATGAACGCTTGTACAACTTCATGTGCTGACCCGTTTATGGCGAGTGCACCAACTCGCCACCTGTTCCACCCTCGCGTACTGTGACTCTTTGACATAAACGCCATGCCTATGTAATCTGTAGGTTGTACAACAAAATTCTAGTCGCTTCTTTCTCAAGCATCTCCGAATTCAGTTTCAGCAATGCCTCGGAGGTACCCCAATAAGCCTGGGCCGGCGGGGAGCATGGAGCGTACGTCGCCTTGCAACTCGCGCAGCACGCTGCCCGATCGGTTGGCGATGCTGTTGCGCCGCTTCTCGGGGGCGTCAACATCCATGTCAGACAGGTCGGGCTGCAGCGTCCGACGGCTAAGGAGCTGCGTGACGGCGAGGAGCGCAGCTGCCTCAACGCCTTGCTGAGCCAGTGCGCGGTCCCCGCCCTTCAGACGCTCAACGAGGTTGATGAGGAGGAGGAAGACGTCATTGATCGCGCCGATGGGATCACTCGACGCGCTGACCATTGCGTCATCCTCGTCGCGGAGCAGGAGCTCCGGCTGCGGTTCGACGTCGCCAGACAACAGTGGGAATGCGCGCGTGAACCGCACCAGCGCGGCGAGTACGCTGCGCGTCGCATCCACTAGCCCACTCGTTGCGGCGGCCACGACGGGCGTGCGCGAGTCAACGAGGTTGACGTCGTCCTTTTGCTTCTCGATCGCCTCGAGTTCCTTCTCGAGTGCGGCGTGCTCCTCCTCACTTTCCGGGACAACAAGGATGGCGAAGCGATGAGGGTGCGAGAGTGCGTAGCCTACACCTCTCAGCAGACTCAGCGCGGCGGGCGCAAAGTCGTCTAATAGGCCAGTGCCGGGCGTATCGGCGAGGCAGTAGAAGATGTCGGCGACCAGCCGCATCTCCGTGAGTAGGGGACGCGAGAGCGGCGCCTCATGCCACTCAAGCGCACGGAGCATCTGCGGTAACACGACTCGGACCCACGGCACGACGTCAGAGCGGGCAAAGCTGCCACCTAAGCTGCCCAGAAGCGCCTTGACGGTAAGCAGCATGCCGCACCACGCGCGATGCAGCGACTCATCCTTGGACGGGTCGATACTGGCGGCCTCGGCAGCTACAGCAACGACGTTATCCGAGTACGCCTGGAGGATACCGGAGACGGCGAGTTTCTCAGCGGTGGGAGTCTTGGTCGAGATGGCAAGGTGAAGCAAGAGAATAGTGTGGAAATGGGGGGGGAGGACGCCGTCGACAGGGCTGGTGCGCACAATGAGCTCAAGAGAGCGGGGAATCAAGTTGACCTGCATGAGCTTGTCAAGCCAGACACCGAGCGGAGCGCGCTCCATCTGACAAAGAAGGGCGACGACAAGGCCAAGATCAGCCTCCGCAGCCGGGCGCCCCCGCACGATCCAATCGAGAATACAGTCGGCCGCGTCGAGAGCGAAGCTCGCGCCGGAGTCAAAGAGCACTTCGCTCACGTCGTCTTGCGCCGCGCCAGTCTTGGCCTGCGACAGCGATAAGAGCACTCGTAGCACTGGTCGGTGGATGGGCAGCAGCTCTGGATGGCGCAACGAGACGAGCGGGTTGAATAGCGGCGTCTCAACGATGCGACGCACCGATCTAGCGAGCTCCTTAACGACATCGGGTTCGGTCGCTTCCGTCTCGGGGGCAAGTGCCACCTCGAGCAGTACAGCAAGAATGGCCAAGCGCTCGGTCTGGATCGCCAGCATCACGTCGCCCCCACGGTCCTCGTCGGCGAGCTCGTGCGAGACCACAGCAGCGGCACGCAGAGAGGCCTTTGCGCAGAGGCCGTCGCCCTGCGTCCACTCAGACGCGATCTCGGCGAGAAGGCGCCAAGCCTTGGTGAAGGCTATGTCGGCGTCCAGCTGGGACCAGTTGAGGTTGAGAACAGCCAGCGACCTGTTCACAGCCACCTGCTTCTGGTGGTCGTTGAGCATCACGAGTGGCCCGTCATACAGGTACTGCACGCCATACACGCGCTCTTCCGGAAGGCAGATGGTGCGCTGGCGCACGACCTGAATATCGTCCTCCTCCAATGCGGCCGCCTCGTTGGCATGTAGAGCTGGGTCGCATGTGGTGCGCACAGCGCCAGTGGCGACGTCCTCCAACGCGCTTGTGTTGCGGAACAAAGAAAGCACAAGGCTGAGTGCCTTGGTCTCGGGCCCTTCCGCCTCAAACACCAGCGCAAGCTCGGCTGCAAGAAGGCCAGACGCGTTTGCCTTGGACTGGACAGCGTACGCGTAGTCCTGCACACGCTGGGCAATGTCTTCGGCCAGCGACGAAGGTTTGGCCACATTCCTGATCGACACCTCGTACACGGCTTGCCAAAACGCATCCACCTTGCGCAGCGCCGCGACCCCGTTGCTGGCGCTTGGCGAGTCAAGCACAGCTTGGAGGTAGCCAAGAACTGCGGCGAGTGCAGACGGCGCGCCGTTCATGAGCGTTTTCCATCCGGCTACCTCCTCGACAGCCATCTTGAGCGGTCCGGCGAGTGCATCATTCTTGGGCCCAATACAGAAGGCCGCGCAGCCGGGTTGCGTGCGAATGATGGTGCCGAGTAACGCCCACGCGTCGGGCTTGACGTCCTCGGCGGCGGAGGAAAATGCGAGATCAGCAAGCTTCTCAATGCTGACGTTGGCGCGGCGAAGCATCCCTGCTAGAGAGGGGCGCTGGGTGCCAGTGTGTGTCGTGAGAAGGTACACTCGTACGAGACGCAGCACAAGTCGAAGGCTCGTCGTTTGCATGGCTGGATCGGTAATCAGGTCAAACAGGCGATCGGCGAGCTGGATGCGGTGTCCACCAGGCAGGACGACAGTGGACGCAAAAATCGAGTAGGGCAGCGCGGTAGTGGCGACATTGAGAGAGGGAGCAAGACGCACGAGAGTGGCAAGGAGGGATGCAGCGTTGTCAAACGTTACGGACACAGCGCTGGCATCCGACCACCGGCGTGACTGGATAAGTTTGGTGACAAGCTGTGATGACTGCGTGAGCACGTCGACGAGCGGCTTGTATGTAAGCGGGCTGGCCGTTTTAACCAAAACCTCGATAAGGAAAGCGGCGGCGGGGGATGGAGAAGATGCGTCTGCGCCGAGCGGGTGGCTGAGAACGCTATCGAATATTGCGAATAGCAAGGCGGCAATCTCGTAGCGCTTTGAAACATCCTTGTAACGCCATCCAGAGAACTGGCCCCAGACCTCTCCGTACACAAGCTTGATAGCTGATCGCACAACGAGCGAGTCACCTGCATTGGCAGCTGTAAGCGAGCGCACAAGACGCAGTAATGTGATGGTCAGGCCGTGCTCGCCACGTGTCGCTTCATCGCGGACAAGCTCCGCGACACTTCCCTGTCGCCGCGACGCTGAGTCAAAGAAGCCGGAGCCACGGAAGTGCTGCCAAATGTCGCTGTTGCCAGTGAGGAGCAGGGATTCGAGGATGTCGATAGCGAATCGCGCGGCAATGGCGTCCTCGTCTTCGCGCCTACTGGCAACGTTGAGAGCCAGTTCGAGGACGGATCGCCCAAATGCGCCGCTTTGACCCGCTGCGAGGTGCGCCGCGGCCTCGGTGGAGCGGAAAACGCACCGCAGGAATTTGAGACCAGATCGCAGGATCTCGGTCAAATCGCCTTGCACACCCATCTCCTCCAAGTTGATGCGACGCACACCAGGTCTGCTGGACACCTTGTGCCCTATCCCTGCCGCACCACAGAGGATCGCAAGAAGCAACGGCCATGCAGGCTGCCCAAAGCGCCAGCTGATGACTGTATTGTCATCGTCAGGGCTGGAGCGTACGATCCCGCGAGTCCGACGTGAAATGATGTTGCCACCGGGCAACTCCAAGTCACACGCGGCCTCAACAGTGTGATACCCATCGTCATGCCGATCGATGTCGAATGTCCCGGGAGGTGCGATGAATGTGACGAAGGGAAGATTGGAGAAGTACTGGTAAACGTCCGTGATGGTATGCGTGGTGGAGTCGTGTAGCACGATCTCGCCATCCGAGCTCACGCCCGTCAGAGCGGCGAGGACGTTGCAGAGATTCAGCGGCTCCCGCGGGAACAAACTTTGGTCGAGAATGGCGCGGCGATAATCAAACACGAAGTCAACTGCCCAGAAATTTGCTGACAACGACGTTGAGGCCTGGCGACTTCCTCCGCCAAAGAGGAGCTCCCAAGTGCGGTAGAGTCCCATGCGATCTGGGATTTTGTCAAGTTGGATGAGATCGGCGAGGCCAATGAGGAGGTCTTTGAAGGGACTTCGACGGAGAGCAGACAATTCTTCGGCGAGGTCGCCACTGAAAGCGTCCTTTGACGTCTTGTACAACGGGCCGTCAAAAATGGCCTCGAGCCACGGGAACAGACCCGAGCTGGGACGCAGCGCGCGATTCGCCATGTCGACAAATGATGTTATCTCGGCGTTGTCCATGTCGCTCGTGTCCAGGAGGAAGTAATCATTCGTGGGTGGCTGGAGGTTGGGAGGAAGGGAGCGGAGAACGATTGACCAGCCGAGACAGAGAATAGCGATGGGCCACTGGGGGAATACCCCGGCTTCAGGATGGTGTCCCTCGCCCAGCTCTTCGCTATATTCCACAATGACCTGGTGTACCGCGTGAATGCTGTCGCGGGAGTGGATGAGCGTGGCACCGAACGTGTTATCATCCTCGGCCTCCGGGGAGACGATCTGCGCAAGGCACAGCGACTCGATTGCGATAAGGAGCACCAGGTCGCGCACGCGCGTACTCAACCGCTGGCATTCGATATCCTGGTCCCACACCTCGCGGTTCGCCTGTCGTGTGCCAAAGAGCGACATGACTGCACCTTTCAAGAGCCCCTCCGAAACGGCAGCGGGGCGCGTCGTGTACTGGTACAACATGAGAAACAGGAGGTCGAGAAGCGTCTCCTGCTGTCTCAGCTGAAGTTTCGCCCTGAGGTCAGCGGCAGTCTAGAACAGGCTCACCAATACAATCCTTGCTTCAACCTTTTCTCGTCGATGGATGCTTGTGCGAGCATTGCGAATGCCTTGAACAGCTCCTCAATGTACTTCCCCTGGTCACCCGCTGTCTCCCTCCGAATTTCACTCATTCCCTCGCCTGCGAACTGTAGCGCCATGACGATTTGGGGAATCGCCACAAGCTCCTGCTCGTACCACGCCAAGAGACGCTCGAGAAGCTCGTCCTCGGCAGTGCCAGGCGGCAAGTCGTCTAGCGAGTGCATGGCATAGCTCTTCCACAAAAAGAAGGCCGTGACCTCGTTGATCCCAGCTTCGTCCGCAAAACGGAGCGTGAGGGTGCGGCCGCCAGAATCGATGTCAAACTTAGCGCTTGTCCCGGGGACAGAGACAAAGTTAGCCGAAAGAGATTTGCGAGCGGAGTCCGAGGCAGCCTCAAAAGGAGCCCATGGCTTGCGCAGGCGTGGAAGATAGTATTGAAGTAGTGAATGCAACTTGCCCCTCGGGATGAGGCTAGCCTCTGAGCGAAGTAGTGCGTCCCGGATAGTCGTCATGGGCCTGGCGTTAGCTTGCACGGCATGTGGCTCACCAGAGATAGTCATCGGCGGACAGGGTATCCCCTGCTTCCCGTGGGGGGACCATGATGGGACGAAATGAGGGGAGAAAGAATGTGATGTGTAGTTGCTGGGATTGCAGGTCTGGTTATGTTGTCGTACTGTCGTGATCCTTGCCGGTGATGCTCCCCAGCCAGCCAATATTTAGTTCCGTTGCCACGTGAATGTAGACCTCCCTCCACTTTAGATGCGATCAGCGACTCGTCTGTGTGGTCTGAATCGTCCTCCTCGCTCTAGTGTGATTCAAGCACATGCATTGCACCCTATGTGGGTCTGCACGTTGTATATATGTTCTATGGCGAATGCAACGATCTGTGTGGCAGTAGTATGAACACACAGGAGCCTTCAGCTCCTTTCCTACAGAAACAATGGACACGACGGGGACGGGAGACTGTTCGGTTTTACTGCTGCGAGAGCGAGGCGATGAACTGCGCACGCTCGTTGGCCGGCAGGGAGTCGAGAATCCGCTGGAAGCCCTCCATGACGCCGCGCTGGTTTGAGCCTGCCCACGACACAATGTTGTTGGCGCAGTAGTCGTCGCGGATCTGCTGGACGAAGTCCTCGACCGCATCGCTGCTCTTCTCAAGGAAGGCGGCGACCTCGCTGTCATTGCCAACTTCCGAGGGCAGAAACTGGGCAAAGAGCTCCTTGCGCTCGGGGTAGGTAAGGTCGGGGTTGGCAGCCGCAATCTTCTTCATGATGCGGACCTCCGACAGCTTGCGGCGCAGAGCCCAGTAGATGGCGCGACGCGAGTTCTCCCAGTCGCAAGGAATGCAGTTGGCCTTAGCCTTCATGCGACCAGCGCGGTCGTGCAGGTCGGCGAATTCGGTGGCGACATTGTGGTACGCGGGCGCGAGGTGCTTCTCACGGGCCTCAAGGGCGAGAGCAGCCTTAGCCTTCTCTTCGGGGCCGGCAGCGTCGCTCTCGGCAGCGGCCTTGAGCTTAGCGTACTCGGGGTCAAGGCGCGCCATGGTAGCCTGGATACGGGGCCTGCGGTACTTGACCTCCACAATGCCCTCAGGCTCGAGGACACCACCACGCGATTCGTTGTCGACGTACATGGTCATGTACTCGGGGTTGATTGCCGGGTCGAGTACGACCCAAGCACCACCACGCAGCTCGCCATTGGGGACGAGGTAGACGATGATGGGGTGCTTGTAGCTGGAGAGTCCGTCGACAATCTTGGCACCCTCCTTCAGAATGGCCTGGGCCATGTCCGACATACCACCAGAGAAGCCACGGAAGTTGGCGAAGATGATGAGCGGAAGACCCTCGCGGTTCGCGTCCTCGATGGCGGTGGCCGTCTTACGCGAGCTGTCGGGGAACCAAACGGTGCCCGCCAGAGCAACGCGGCTCTCAGTCGAGTTCTCGTTCGCAGGGTCAGCGGGGTCGATGCGCTCGATGGTGCGAGTCTCGGCGGCGATAACAGCGACGGGGATACCGTTGAGGCGGCCACGGCCGGTAACGATGGTCTGAGCCCAGCCACCCATGGTCTCAAAGAACGAGCCGTTGTCGAGGATACCGGGGCGGAATCCGTCCTCTTCGACGGCGCCGGCGAGAAAGTTACGGGGGTCGTATGGGCCCTTGGGGGGCTTCCAGGCGACGTCACGGTCCCAAGAGTCGCCGGTAGGGAGGATGGGAATGGCACTGCCACGCTTGGCGGGGATGAAGGTAAGGTAGTTGACGATCTGGAGAGCACCGTCAAGGTCGGAGCCCGCAGTAAGGTGGGAAATACCGTTGCGGTACATGATCTGGGGACCGCCGAGCTGGATGTTGGAGGTGTAGACCTCCTTGCCGAGGACCTTGTTGATGGCCTGGGCACCCGTGAGGATAATGGGCTGGCCCTCAACCTGTACGACACGCTGACCAAGACGGACAAGGTAGGCACCGATACCGACCGAGCGCGCGGTGACCATCGAGATGGTGAAGATGTCGTCGTAAGCACGCGACGTTTCACCAGCGATGAGACCCGAGCCCTTCAGACACTCGACACCGAGACCGTCCTTGAGACCGATGATCGCGGTGATCTTGTGGCGACGTTCCCCTGCGACCTCAATCTCCTCAGTCTGAACAGAGCCCTCGCCCATGGCCTCGAGCTTCTCGAGCGAGGCGGGAGTCAGGTAGAGGTAGTCGAAGCCCTTCTCAGGCTTGCCGGCCTCCTTCCAGGCGACATCGAAGAGAGCCATGACCTCATCGGCGAGACCAATGCGGGCACCCGAGTTGGCCGAGAGGTAGACACGGGGGAGACCGTGCTTGCGGGCGTACTGAGTAGCCTTGTAGAAGTACTCGTCCTCGAGAGGGCCGAACGAACCGATCTGATACGTGATGTCGTTCGAGATGACGACGACGCGGCGGCCCTTGGGGTACTCGGGGGTCTTCATGGTGTAAATCCAGGCGACCATTCCGCACGAGTTCATGCCTGGAGGGCGGTTGACCTCCACGAGCTCGCCGTGCTCATCAAGAACAAGCTCGGTGGCCTGCAGCAAGTCGGAGGGAATCTTGACGTTCGGCAACAGCTGCTGAACCTGCTGCCACGTCTTGTCAATAGCCTGACGGAAGAGGTCAGGGAAGTCGTACACGTAGGTGGTGCCGATGACGTGCGCCTGGTAGCGCTTTGGCTGGAGCGATTCCTTGGTAGGGTAGGGGAAGTTGACGGGTTGGAGGTGGAACTGGCCCTGGTCGCCGATCGACTTGAGAATGGTCTTGCCCCTCTCGTTGGTGACCTCCTGGTACGCCTCGTACTTCACAACGAAGCCCGAAACGTTCTCAATGAAGGCGCGGATGGGAATCTGGTTGCCGTCCTCCTCCTCGATGACCACGCGGATCTCGGCCTGGGTGACACGGAGGCGCCAGAGACGCTTGCCGTGGCGCTCAATGAAGCCAGCAAGAGCCTCCTGCACGTCATCGAAGCTGACGTTAAGGGAGTAGACACAGTTGACGCTGATGTGGTTGCAGTCAGCCTGGCGGTACTCCTGCTGAGCGATCTCAAGGGTGTCGAGAACGTCGCCAACGAGTCTGTCGGTCTCCGAGATGAGGTACTCAGTCTGCTTCATTGTGCCGGTGAAGCGACCCGGGCGGAGGAGAGCACGAACGAAGAAGCGCACGTCCGACGAGTTCTCGCGGCCAACGGCGTGGTAGACGTGAATCTGGCGGTTGGTCGACATCTTGGGGGTGATCTTAAAGTTGGAGAGACGTCCCAGCTCAAGCTGGTAAGCCAGGGCGGGCTCGATGTTGCGAATCTCCTCCTGCTCCTTCCAGTAGCCGTCGGCACCCTCACGGAGGGTGATGTACGAGGGGTACTGGTCCTTGCGGCAAACAACGAAGGTGATACGGCGCGACCCGGTCTTGGCGACTGCCTTGAGGTTGTTGTTGACAACGGCCAAGAACTCCGTGAGAAGCTCGGCGTCCTGGACCTGCTCATCGTGGAACAGACGAAGGGCGACGTTGAGCACGTTGGGGTCACGCGCCTCGTTGCCGTACTTCTCACGGAACTCCTCACGGTCGAACGAGGGGTACTTGGTGAGGAGCGAGGCGAAGCCACCCTTGAGCTCCTCGAGCGAGTTGTACGAGGTCATGAGACCGAAGCGCATGGGCTCCGACTTGGCGTGGACGAGGTAGGTAAGGTCGCTCATGCTGGCAATGCGAGTAATGTCACGCGACGAGTCGACACGAGGCGTGCCAGCCTCAAGACCAGCACCGCCGAACTTGAACTTCCAAGTGACAATGTTGGGGCCGCCAGTCTCGGTGGAGGGCTCATAGTCGAGGTGCATGAGGTTGTAGACGCGGTACGCGCGACGGATGTAGACCTCAAGAGCAGCGAGGACGACCCAAGGGTCCTTGTAGTCGAAGAAGGTCGATAGCACATCGAAGACGGTGTAGCGCGAGTCGGTGATCTCCTTGAGCGACTCGCCGGAGGGAAGGCGGTGTCCGCCGCCGGCCTCGCCGTAGTAGTTGGTGGTGACGGCCGAGTTGAGAGTGCGCTCCATCTGGTCGAGGCGCTCCTGGTAGCTGGGAAGCGAACCAACAATGAGGACCTCCTTCGCCTTGAGGGCAGCCTTGGCGGTGGGGCGGCTGTCGAGCTCAGAGAGACGAGTGAGAGCCTTGGCAACGCCACTCTCGGTGGTCGACTCAGCCTTGGGCGACTCGCTCTTGACGATGTCAAGAAGCTGGAGGATGAGCTTGGTCTTGGACGCGACCTTGGAGTGCGAGAGAACAAGCTTGACGACCTGCTCAAGGTCTTTGTTCTCCTCACGCAGCTTGAGGATGATCTCCTCCTGAGTGCGGGTGCTGTCGGCGAACGGCTCCTCGATCTCGCAGAAGTAGTTGAGGAGATCGGCGTAGATCTGCCACTCGTGGACCTTGAGGCCATAGGCAAAGGCGTCAATGAGAGTCTGGAGAGGAGCGATCGCGTTGGTGACAGTCTGGCGGTCCTTGAAGTCAACATTCTCGTCAATGAACGAGTGAATGATGCGCTTCAGCTTGTCCGAAGGGAACTCGAGCTTGTCCTTGCGGCAAGTCTCGATAGCGGCGCGGACCTGCTCCTCGAGCTTCTGGGGCATACGGCCGCTGAGCGTCGAAAGAACATCGTGCGCGTTGGAGAAGGGAAGGTCTTGGTCGCGAAGAGTCGACTGGACGACCTTGAGCGACGCAGTGACCGCCGAAGTGTTGTCGTAACCGGCGAGGTTGTCGTAGAGGACCTCAAGGTGCTCGCGGAGGCGCTGGTGCGGCTTGGTACCGTAGCGGCCGTTCTTGAGCTCGAAGGAGGGGAGCATACCAGTGAATGGCCTGGCAAACTTGACCTTGGTGGGGTCATCGAGGGTGAGGATGCCGATGAGTTCACCCTGGGCGAGCTGGGCGCCAGGCTGCTTCATGAACTGGGCGATACCGCTCTCAGTGGCAGTGACAGGCATGATCATCTTCATGACCTCAATCTCGGCATAAGCCTGCCCGGCGTCGACGTGGTCGCCGTTGTCGATGAGGTAGCGAACAAGCTTGCCGGGCGAAGGGGAGCGCAGCTGAGTGGGGTCACGCTCATCCTCGATCATGGTGGTCTTGTGGTCGACAGAGACGACCATCGCGCCGACCTCCTCGCGGTAGTAGACGGTGTGAGAGGCGCCGTCAAGCGAGATGAGGAGACCGCCGTCGCTCAGGCTACGGCAGCCTACGTAGATGCGGCCTCCGTTCAGGTACAGGGTGAACTGCAGCGGGGCCGACTTGGCCATGGCAAACGAGTAGCGGACATCGTCGTAGATAAACTCGGTCTTGAAGAAGGTCTGAAGCGTGTCCTTGGTGGGGATCTGGCCGCGGTCGAGAACCGACTTGTACTTGGCGACGGACGCCTCGTAGGCGATGTGCGCCTTGACAGTAGCACCGCAAATAACCGCGAGGGTCGTGTCCGGGCGCTCCGAGGTCATGCCCTCAGCAATGAGGCCGTCGAGCCACTGGGTAGTGATGGTGTTGTCCTCGAACTCGGGCTTCTCGAGAAGCTTGATGAGGTACTCGACGGTAGTGCGGAACTCGCCACGAATGCTAAGCTCTTTAAGGGCAACAACCATCGACTTGCGAGCCTCGCTACGCTCCATGCCGTAGGCGAAGATGTGACCGAACTGCGAGTCGGCGTACTCGTGGAGACCACCCGCCGACGAGACGGAGAAGTAACCCCAGACGTTCGAGTTGGAGCGGAAGTTGAGCTCAGTGAGAGCACCCGACGAGGGCTTGAAGCCAGCGTCCGGGTTCTCACCCGTGATACGGCAGGCAATAACGTGGCCCTTAGGCTTGGGCTTGCGCTGAGTAGTAGCGGTCTGTGGCTTGTCGCCATCAAAATCGATCTCGGTCGAGCCGTGAGGGTCCATGCCGTAGAGCGTGCGGATGTCGCGAATGCGGTGGAGGGGGATACCCATGGCGACCTGGAGCTGAATCGCGGGGATGTTGCAGCCCGAAACCATCTCAGTGGTGGGGTGCTCGACCTGGAGACGGGGGTTGAGCTCAAGGAAGTAGTACGAGTCGTCGTGGTGCGAGTAGAGGTACTCGACGGTGCCGGCCGAGACATAGCCGACAAGCTTGGCAAGACGGACGGCGGCCTTCTCCATCTTCTCAAAGGTCTCGGGGCGAGCGATGGTGACGGGGGCCTCCTCAATAATCTTTTGGTGGCGACGCTGGACCGAGCAGTCACGGCCAAAGAGCGAGATGGCGTTGCCGTACTGGTCAGCCATAAGCTGGACCTCGAGGTGGCGAGCGGCCGAAGCGAGCTTCATGATGAAGATGGGCGAGCCGGGGACCTCGCTAGCGACGGCCTGGAAGGCCTGCTTGAACTTCTCGCCCGAGTCAACCATACGGATACCCTTGCCACCACCACCCTCAGAGGCCTTGATCATAACAGGCCACCCAATAGTCTCGGAGCGCTTGAGGCCCTCCTCCCAGTCGTGGACGCAAGCGTCATCGTAAGCCTTGTCGGGGACAGTCACAAAGCCCGAGGGCGAGAGGACCGTGTCGGTGATACCAGTGCCGGACCAAGCCATGCATGAGACATCGGCGGACTGGGCGACAATAGTGGACGAGATCTTGTCACCGAGCGAGTGCATCGCGGAGGCGGGGGGACCGATGAAAACGATCTTAGCCTTCCTCAGCATCTCGGGGAGGCGGGGGTTCTCCGAGGCGTGACCCCTGGGGAAAAGTCAGTGTGGGGCTCAAGGATTGTTTTGGGGCGATTAGATAGCGCGCGTGCCCTCAATTAAACTCACCAGCCAGCCCAAACAGCATGCACGCCGGCACGCTCCGCAACGTCAACAATAAGGTCAACGTTGGCGTAGTTGTTGTTGTTGGTGCCACCGGGGACCTCGACATAGCGGTCCGCCATGCGGATGTACTCTGCGTTGATACGCAGGTCTTCGGGGGTGGCCATGACCGTGAACTCGATCATGCGGTCGGAGCCAAAGGTCTCATACGACCACTTGCGGACGGAGCGGATCTCCTTAACGGCCGCAATACCATTGTTGGCAATCAGGACCTGCGTGTCAGAGGCTGCTATCGCCGCGTTCTCATCGCACTCACCTTGCTGATGACGGTGTGACCGCCCTGCTTCTTGACAAAGTCGGTTACTTCGCTAGAGGGGGCGACCTCGATCGAGTTGCCGCCTGTGGGAGGGAGATGGGAAATACGGGGAAGGCAAGCAGGAGAGCGTGCAAGCGGGGGTGGGGGAAGGCATGGTCAGCGAGTGTCACTGGGGTGTCCGCTCCCGACTTGAGCTCGCCGGCACTTGTTGGGATGGGGAATCCGGTGGATATCGAGGTGGGGTTGAAGACCACCTTGACTCCCCCAACAAGCAGAAGCCAGCCAGGCAGGTGACTCACCGATGAATTGGGAGACGCGCGAGTGGTCATACTGACCACCGGCGGCACCACCGTTGACACCACTGGGAGCGACAGCGGCCATGATGGCGGTGTTGTTCTAAAGTTGCACAAATGTCCCAGCTGACAAGCTGTAGACGGAAAGGAACGAGGAAGAGCCTCGGAGCAAGATGGTGGAGAGCTCGATTGAGCCGGTGAGAGATGGTGAAGACCTCCGAGCCTTGCCAGCGCCTAGTGAAAGCGGAGGAGCGGTAGGTGGTAGGTTGAGGGAGGGGAGGGAGGGGGAGAGGGGAGGGGAGTAGTGACGGCGCACAGGCGTTTAAGTTGACTGGGCCGAGAAGAGGAAGAAGGGATAAGATGAGAAGAGAGAGAGAGAGAGAGAGGGAGAGTGATGGCGAGAAGAGAAGAAAGGGTAGGGAGATGAAGGTATCGGAGGGGAGAGGGGGAGGAGGGATGGTCCGGATGGGGCTGGAGCAAGTAGTGGGAGCGAGCGTGCGGGGGTGGTTGCGCGGGTGGATGAGTGACCTTTGATGGCCGTCCTGTAGCCGTGGGTGGCTGCGTGCCGGGGGTTATTGGGTTAATTGGGCGTATGGGCGTGGGCGCTTGTACCGTTGTACCGTAACCCCCATACCCCCAGTCGGCCAGTCTCCCCCAGCTGACCTTTGAGAGGGTCAGGAAGCGGAGCAGGAACGCAGGTGTCTGGACCTGGATTAGCCCTCCCTCCACTCGCATGCTCGCAGCCAGCAGCCAGTCGTTGGCCCGATAGCAAATGCATGCTTTCGCTCGCAGTTCTCAGCTGGCCAGCAGGCAGTGTCGCGCAGGTCGCCTGGTGAGCTGGGTGGACCGCCTGGCAGGTGGCAGTTGGCAGCCAGCCCAACAAGTTACCCTCGTTCCCCATGACATACAGTGGGGCAGCGGAATCTGTTCGGCCACCCAGAGTAATCCCGCCTGTGGGCCGTCACTTCCCCCTGCTCACGCCAGCTTGCCCCAATTTTCGGCACTTGGTCAAACCCCGTACCTGGCCGCGCTGGCCGGCTTCTCCCCCAGTCCCCCCTTGGCCTATCCGACTGATTACATTACCCCACCCCCTTATCCTTCTAATCTTTCCATCTATTGCCGACCCCTATCTACTAATCCCTCATGAAATCCCACGATACACCAGCCCCACCGTTTCAGCCGCCCTGCCATGCCTCCCAGCGTCCATGGGCTGCTGCGAGCGCCGAGGGCAGCCTTCCCGGCCATGGCATCCTATCACCAGATATCCGCACTGCTCCGAGACAAACGACAGGCACCACCTGGCACTCGGCTCGTCTCATCTCGCACAATCTCCCTCCCTGTTCCGTCATGCATCACCTGCATCACCTGCTCATGCTGCTCTAACACCACACACACACACACACCCTCTCTCTCTGCATCCACCTGATAGAGCGGATCAAATCACCTGTCTCACCTGGACACGAGGATTGTCCTCGTGCCAGCATATCAGTGTCTTGTAGCCTTCTTCCTTCCTTCTTCCTGACACGTTGACACGTTGGCACTCGGTTTTCCCTCCTCACGCATCTCAATCTCTCGGTTTCTCGACAGCTCGACAGCTCATCGATGGTGGGCCCACGACTCATGTCGCCCAGCGTGGGAGCGCTTTATCCGCAGTTCACACTGTACCCCACGCACGCACTTCTTACGCGTCCCTATGCAATCTTTTCGATCTTTTCGTTGATCACTCCCTTTTCCAAAACATAATGCATGCGTCAATGCGTATCCGCCACGATTACAAGAAACAGCTTGTACTCCAGCGCCCATGCGCACTTCCAGGGGCCGAGCAACACTTCAGGCACAGCCGAGAATCCCAGGCCAATTTCAGGCGCTGTACGCTCTGTGGGGTGGGGAAAAGACTCTTTGACGTTGGGGACACCTCGGCGCCTCGGCTTAAGTCGGCCATTTAGCCATCCATCGCAACCACTCACCCCCTCCATGGGGCGACTTTCTCCTGTCTACACTGGCAACAATACATGGACGTCAAGGACACAACATTCTGGGGAAAGACAAGGGTAAAATGACGAGCGAATGTTCCCTCACACGGGCGACCCTCGTGGTGGTGACTAACTGCGTGGTCCGTTCCCTTGCCCTCCAACATGGCCGATCCAGCCGAGAACAGGAAACGGAGACGAGGGGCTGAACTGGGTGGAGAGGAACGAAGGTAATGGCGTTGACTGGCGATAGGGAGGGAGAAGAGGTGTATTCGATCCGATCGCACGCTGTCGCCTCGAAATATCAGGGCCCAAGATGTCGAACATGTACAGTAGGAATCGTGAACTCGCGATAGTCGAGTGTGTCGAGACGCCTATACGCCTAGTCGCCACGAGCACGCCGGCCGCGGCCCGTCTGCGACCCCTGGATTCGGCTCCAGTCACTCTCGCGTTCGAGGATCGTGGCCTCCTCCATTCTCTTCATATCGTTGAGCGCCTTTCCAAGGACCCATCCAGACTGGGCTCCCGCTCCACGTTTACCACCGCCTGTTGTGGGCGCCGACACCTGTCCACTCGCAATCGCCAAGGCGGCGCTGGTGCCTGGGGCAGCTCCAACCTCCTTCTCGACATCAGCCGCTTTCCCTCGCCCACGCTTCGTGCTCTGCAGCCCCGCCTGGAAACCGTTCGGCGGCGGCTTTACGGTCAGCACGGAGGAGTCCTTGCTAAGAATATCCTCAGTGTTGATCACAGCGAGCTGTGGAGCCAGCAGGCTGTGGAGCATCAGGTCGTCGCTGCTCTTGGGCCCCTCAGGAGGGCTAGACGTCCCCGAGTCACCACCGCTGCGGAGGTTAAGCGGGGTACCTGTACGTGACGCCGAGCGAGGCTCGACACGCGAGCGGAATGGCGTGCGGCGAGGGCGAGGACGAGTTTGTGCCTCTAGAAGGGCCTCTGATCACGTTAGCTTGCTGCATGTTGGGAGGTTGTGGCTCGGCGCGGGATCAAAACCCATCAGACTATGCCGCCGGCCATTGCCGAAGACTGACCTGAGACGATGTCCCCACCCTCCTTCTCAGCAGTGAGCTTGCGGCGACGCTCGTCGATGGCCGCGAGTAGCCGTGACCGTATTTGATCGCGCCCTTCCCAGTACATCTGCTCGATTTGATCGCGCTCGCTTTTGTACATCCGCTCCGCCTGTTCAGATCTGCCAGTCAGTCACGTGCCCACTCCATGGCCAAGCCGTTCGTCCCTCCACCACAAGCCCACACTCACGCGTACTGATAGTGCGTCTCGGATCTCTGCAGAAACGCGTCCCGCTCGATTGACTTAGGATAGAGGCGCAAAAGGTACTGCTGCGATGTAGGCGGTTGGGTGTTCACAGCTTTGTTGTCATTGTGATACTCCTTGTATTGCAAGGAGAATTTGCTGCGCTGTCAGTGATCGCACCATACGGTCGTCAATGACCATCTCATCGTACCCTCCCTACCGTACGGTACAGCGAGCAGAGCTAGAGCAGGAGTGTCGGTGAGGATTGAGAGCTACTTACTCGTCGCGGGCCTGCCAGCTGGCGCTGTGGAGAAGCTCTATCTTATTGACGGTCTCGCGCCTCTTGCGGTCGCGCTTGGACTCAGCTGCCAGCGGCGGGAGGATGTTTGGGGGGGCGACATGCCCCGATGTGTGGGGTCTGGACATGGTGGTTCCGGTGATGAAGGAAGGATGGATGGGTGGATGTTTGTGACAATGAATGAGTCGTGAGGTTGAGCGGCCAAGACACAGTCCTGATCAACAGAGGTGATCTAAACGGCGGAGCAAATAAGAACACATCACACGTCATGGTCTGTGCGGCGCGGAAGGCACGCACGCATCGGCTACCACCACATCACCGCCTCGTTCGCCGACTGGTAAGCTCCTATAACTCTTTCATCATCGACTACCAGATCCGCCAGCAACACGCCGTCTAGTACACTCGTCGCCACCTTCTGGATTCCACATACATTCTTCAGTTCATTATCAACACCACTTGCTCCCGCTTCGGCTTACATCGTGCTCGCCATCCACGGACAACATGTCCACCAACGCCGCCAATTCGTTCCACTCCCAGCTCTCGGGCTTCCGCTGGGCAAATTCGGTCCAGGACGACTCGGCGCGCACCACCACCAACAATGCACCAGGCAATATGTTCAGTCGCACGTGGAGCAGTGTTAGCGGCTACATTCCTCTGCGAAACGAAGGGCAAAGCGCAGAGGAGGAGGCGTACTTTGCATTGTCGGTGAGTTCTGCTTCCGAGGCGCCGGGCTAGCACTGACACGGGGCGCTCCCGCTAACTGCAGCGATGGGAACGGTGAGTTCAACATGGCGAACGACACACAGGAACTACTGACCATGCAGTTTCTTGGGCTTCATTGCTTGCTGCCTTGGCGGAATGGCATGCTTCGCAATCGCCTTCCTCTTCCTCCCCATCCGTACGTGATATGCTTACCTGGGACCATGATGTGATGGATCGTCTCCGCTTACTTGTCTAGTTGCTGTCAAGCCACGGAAATTCGCGCTCGCATTCACGCTTGGCTCTATCCTCTTTATGATGGGTTTTGCCATCCTGCATGGTCCTGTCAACCGTGAGATTCAGCCATCGATGCATGCTGATCGCAGATCTCAAGCACATCATCTCAACCGAACGCCTGCCATTCTCCATCGCGTACTTTGGATCTCTTGGCTTCACTCTCTTCTTCGCCATTGGTATTAGGAGCACCATCGGCACGCTCGTTGCGGCCATTGTTCAGGTGAGCTGACGTTAACAACGCAGTGCTCACTCCTAGGTGGGCGCTCTCCTCACATACCTTGCCGCCTACTTCCCCGGCGGCGTCACCACTCTTCGCTTTGGTGGACAGATGGCGCTGCGTGGAGCTTCCAATGTCCTTCCGTTCTAGACCCAGTCATATGTATCATCTGCCCGCCCCACCTCATGATTCCACTCGCATCCGATTGTGTCAACAAATTGCTTCCGCTGTGGTGGAGGTTTCCATGACGCTGAGTTGCTGCACGTTGTGATCAGCAACATTCTATCTCGCTCAACCCCATGCCGGCTCCTGCTTCAGGAGGTGCGGACTCCTTGTCGTTTCCTTCAAAGCTAGCACGAACGTGGGTTATTCTGTTTTAAGGCATCGTCTATAACGAACAGACTCGAGCACCAAGGAGCAGTGAACGTTGTGACGTACAACCATGGAGCCAAGTACCTTCTCTCTGGGTCGAGCGATCGAACAATTCGGCTTTGGAACCCAATACTAGGCAAGGAGATCAAAGCTTACAAGGGGCACGCCCATGAGATCCTGGCACTGGACATGTGAGTAGCCTTTTGACCCCCGCGCTCTCCTCCACCACACCTCTTACGACAGTTCGCATGACAACGCGCGTTTCGCAAGCTGCGGTGGTGACAAGGTGGTGCTCTTGTGGGATGTCATGAGTGGCCAGGTTCTTCGGCGGATGCAGGGACACTTTGGCAAAATTAATGCTGTCGCATTCAACAATGACGGCGGGATCCTCGCGAGCGGTGAGCTCGTTGTGCGGTCAGGAGTCTAACACACAGCCGGGTTCGACGCCAAGATCCTGCTCTGGGACATGCGGTCGCAGACACGAGACCCGCTGCAGACGCTCAAAGACGCAACTTCCTCAATCACGAGCTTGGTCATCCCGCCAGATTCGGTCGAGATCATTGCAGGCAGCGCAGACGGGCACGTGCGCGCCTATGATATGAGGATGGGCAAGGTGTTCGAGGATACCATAGGGCGTGAGCTGCTCTTCCCTAATGTTAAGCTTACGGAAGATCCTGTGACCGCCGTGACGACGTCGCCATCAAATCACCGAGAGACGATGCTGGTTGCCGCAGCCGACGGCAAGCTCCGTCTCTTCGACCGCATGAACGGCAAGGTGGGAGATTGTAACGCCAATCACTGACCATGAGGTTCTCCAGACCTTCTCGGGGTACAAAGTCGGGCAGACTCGCTCCAAACCTGCATTCAACCGCGGGGAGGGAGCGGTGATCGCTGGCGACGAGGACGGCAGTTTGTGGAGTTGGGGCGTGCTGGATGCGAAGCCGCTAAATGGCGGTCCGGCGCAAGTGCACAAAAGGGCAATTACATCGGTCATCATGAACCCTAACGGTCGAGAGATGGTGACGGCCAGCCTAGGTGCGTACAGGTCAATGAGCTCCGCTGATCTCCCCCAGACGGCACCATTAAGATCTGGAGCACGTGAGCGATCGCGAATAGACGACTTGGAGCTTGTATGTATCACTTGCCTTTCCGCCGAGCTCGGACCGCCGAACCCCCCCGAAAGTCATTAACCAGCCGCTCCGCATGGCTGGTTGCTACAAGATCTGAGAACATTGCGCTGCACAGATGCCTGTGCGCCACAACACTTGACGGCGTCCTCTTGAACACAACAGCCAAACAACAGCTAACTAAGCAAGAGCACGTTGTCACTTCATCCCCCACCCCGTCACGTTCTCAGTTCTAACACAACTGCTCATCTCAACGGGTCTGCTCTACGGATTTACGGCCCCCCAATGACGATGGAGGCAGCCTACCTTGTTTACATTTGTGCGTGCAGTCGTCATCCTTGTTGACGCGAGTCTTGTCTTTCCTCGTCTTTGGATGTCTCATTCTTGTCCTCTCGCTGCATTTCGCCATCCCCAAGGCGAAGCGCGTCAACATTGTGCTTTTCATAACGGTTGTTAATGCAGCCTTGCGCTGCGTCATTGCGGCCGTAGATGTCACCACGAAGCACGGTGCGAGCGCCCCCGCATGTTCCATTGATTCCATCTGGTGAGTTTGGATTAGCCGAGATCCGACAAGTTGACGACAGGACGCTGTATGCAACCACCGTCCTCTGCGCTACCCTCGTACCCCTCGTACTTGTATGTCCTGCTGATCTCACTTTGTCTGAAAGCAGCACGTTCACGCGCGATGCATGGGCCGCCGGTGGTCTGCATTCGAATGTATCGCCCGCACTGTTCCAGTGTATGTTTATGGCATGCTGCCCGTCATCTGGGTTCTCATCCGCTCTGATCAAGTCGGCAAACTGGACAGCGGCCTAGGGATATGGTGGGGAACATATTGCATCGCCGATATCTCTCAGTGGCGCACAGGTATGTTTCCTGCACTGCTCATCTCACGAAAGTGCGCCTCGCCACTCTTCTCATGCCCCTCGGTCTGACCGCTCTGCTCACCCTTAACATCGCCCGGATGGCTGGGGGTGCGTACCTGCTCGCGGAGGCGCGAACGTCTACGCTTGTCAACCTCTTCGCACTCAGCCTTCTCGGCATTCTCTACCTCGCACTCGAAGCAACAATTGGATGGCAGCCCAACTGGCGGCCACGAGCCCTTGAGCGTGAGGCTTGAACTGCCCATGAGATAACTGACATCAGCACTCTTCTGCCTCGTCGTCCTCTTCCAAAGTGAATTCTTCCCATACGCAGACGCCATAGCATGTGGGCTCTGCGCGCGCCGAGTACAAAATATGTCCAACCAGCACACCGACTCCCCGCCCAGCGGATGTAAGGAGGACAGAGAGGAGCAAGTCTATGCGTGGCCTTCCCGCCAGCCGCACCGGCGAGGCTTCCTCACGCCCATTCCAGAGACCACCGAGGGGTCAACAATCAGCCACCATTTTCCCCAGGTGCCCATCATTTGCGTGCAACATGCAACACCTGCCTCGCTTAGGCATGGAAGTGCGGGCCCATCCCATCGTGTCGGCGCCTCCCTTCCGTCGCCTTCCTCTCATCGTTACTCAAATCCATGCGCGGAAGAGTGCAGTTTCCCACCTCTATCCCCTCTCCCTTCTGAGCCTGATGAGCAGTCGGATACGGCCATTCCCTTCCGCCCATTCTGGCCTCGCGCGCATTATAACTACGACTCAGAGACTGAGTCCAGTGGCTCCCTCGATGTCCAGCCGACCGACCATCTACCGCGTCCATCCCAGTTCCGGGGCTCCAACCCCTCGCTGAGCGGCGACTTCGACCACCCACCTCTGTCGCCGATGTCCGATGTGTCCTGCGCTACCTTCGGCAGGCGTACTCAGTCCGCCACACATGGCTCCCACGCTTTGGCGCCATCTATCGTGCTCAGCGGCTCGCCATTGCTTGCGCCGCGCGGCTTTTCCTCGTCCGAGCGTATCGCGCCCGACATACATCGGCTCTCAGGTATGGCCATCTCGAGTGATGGCGACTCATTCGTCACGGCAAATGCCGCATTGTTAAGATACAGCAGCTCGTCAGGATACCTCACAGCTAATGAAGACCCATTTGCCTCGCCCCACGCGTCTGTCATCGAGGACGATATCCGTGATCGCCCCGCACCAACACTGGGCCGCCGACGCGTAGATGAAAGCGAGTTTCCCAACAGTCCAGAAGGACGCTGGAGTCTCCCCAGTACTCCCTGTGTATAGCCTCTTCCGGTGACCTTGGTCCGACCCTTACACATACTGTAGAATATACATGCGAGAAGAGTTACACATTAAACATGATGTCGTTACACAGCCTCGCCATCCGTTTCGTCAAATACCTGCTCGGGCGGTGGGCTGGCAGCCTCAGCGCGGAATCCGAGGACGCCTGCATCGACGCCCTGCGCCTCCTGTGGTGCTGCCGGGGGGTTTTGCCGGCTTCTGTGCTGCTCCATCTCGGCGTCCGCTTCTAGGTCCTCAGCCGTAAGTGTGCTCAAGCGGCGCTCGGGGAGTTCGGGGGAGGTCTTCTCTTCCTCTGGTAGCGGGGCAGACGCAGCCTCCTCCGCAATACCGAGCATCTCGCGGAGTGCGCGGTTCTCCTCTTCAAGCCGCTGAATCTCCATCTCCCTCTCTAGAGCCCAGTCGCTTTGCCCTTCAGTCCCAAAGTATCCTCCACTGCTGCCAGGGATGAAGCCGGGGAATGCCTGAGGACGCGGTGGGGGCCGCGCGCCCGGTCGGGTGGGAGATGAAGCGGCGGAGCGTGGCGATCCGGGACTTGAGTGGCCGGCGAATGCACCTTCCTCCAGTGGCGGGTCCTCGCCATTCGCAGAGCGCAGCGCCGAGCGAAGGAGCGTGGAGAGTCGCGTGAGGAGCAGAGACAGGGACGTATCGTCGTGCAGTTGCGCGGCGCTGTGTGCCGTCTGCAAGCTTCGTAGCAGTTGTGTGTAGTAGGAGTGCAGCGCGAGGTCGTGCTGCTGGCTCGAGTGCTGCTGTCAGCCGAGAAGAGCAAGAACACGTACAGCAACGCCGCGGAACTTGCCCATCACCGTCTCGAGGGTCTGCTCGTACTCTTTAAGTAACGTGTTGAGCTGCTTGTTCTCATGCTGTAACGTCTGATTTTCTAGTACGAGATGCGAGGCGAAGGCCTCGAGCTCGGTTTGGAACTCCTCGTCCGATATATCGAGGTTAAACCGCCGTAGCGGGAAACCCGCACCAACGTGCACCGCCTGGCCCTTGACGTTGTCCGCACGCGACTTGAGTTGCTCGACCAGCGCGCGGTTGTTTGCGAGCTGTTCTGCCGTCAGCTAGAGAGTTGGAAGAAGGTGCGCGTACCAGAAAGTTCGTTGACGAGCCCCCAGAGCTTCATCATCTCCTCTTCGTAGTCTATCATCTGGTGCGCCATTGTGATGGTATGTGGATGTTGGAATCGGGGAAGGTGTGCGCCGAGAGTGAAGGGCACTTCTGTGACGCGGACGGAATCAGATGGGCTGCGTGCTGCCCCACTACCGACCTCCACCCGCATCAACTCAGGCACGCAGGCGTTGGTGACCGACGCGCAGTGACGCGACCGACTTTACATCGTCCCGCGTCCATCATCCATCATCCACCATACACCTCTCCTTCACAATCGTCGGGTTGGCGACTGTCCCACTCTTTGCCCTATACTTGCCATTTTACTTCCTCTTGTTTCTCCTCAGTCTCCACTTCTTACAGCAGCTTGATTCCCACAAACCCACCTCCACCTTTCACTCTTCCCCCCCCCTCCCCACACCAGCGCGTCCTCGGCCAATGTACCGCCGCCATGAGCGCGGTCCCGGGCCTCACTGGAGCCCTTAAGCTTTACGAGTCTGACAAGATCAAGGATCGCGCGCAGGGTGGCGCTCTGCTTCGCGAGATCATCGGCAATCGAGCCAACCTCGAGGTCCTGCAGGCCACCGCGAATCGTGATGGCGGCAAGGGCTGGGTGGCGCTATTCCAATGTCTATTCGCGAGTGTTCTTCTCGAAAAGAAGACAGTCATTAAGAAGACTGCATCTCACACCGAGAGCGGACTACCTGCCGGTAGGTTGTACTTCCACTTACACGACCGCTCCACTGACCGCAGCCCTCATAAGGCTGTCCGATGCCGCTAATCTTGTGCGCTTTGCCGCTGAGCGCAGCGTCCACATGATCGGACGCAAGCCGCTCGGTGTCCTTCTTCTACACATGGTCACGCTCCTCGTACAGGACGGGCGCATCTTCGAGCCGGTCGCACTTAACTACGTCAAGACTCTCCGTACCCTTCTCTCCTATCCACCTCATCTCGAGCATATGGACGAAGGGCTGTGGCGCCGCCTCATGTCGGTCTGCTGGGCAACAATTCTCGGCGAACGCATTCCAGTAGACAGCGAATTGACCGAGGAGCGCGAGAACGACGACTCCGAGGTCGATGCCCACACCGGCTCTTGTGCAATTGCCGGCTCGGCGCTCCTCCTCAAGGAGGTCATCTCTCTTGTCCCCATCTTGCTTTCCAGCTCCAGTGCTCCCCTAATCCCTGCAGCACCTGCCAAGATCGAGAGCGCCAAGCCTGCTTTGGGCCTTTCCATCCTCAGTAAGATTCATCGACACTTTGATCAGGATGGCCAAGGCCTCGTTTCCACCGATGTGCTTCGAGCGCTCAATATTCTGCTCGGCGAACTTGAGCTCAACTGTAGACAGGAGTTCACCGAGATTTCGCTCAAGCTTTTCCCACAACTCGCCGCAATGTGGACAGCAAGGACCAAGGGCGACCTTGGCCACCGCGAGCACATCTTGGTCGCGCTCCGCACCATGCTCCCTTTCATCACACACAATTCAGTCCCATCGCACAAGAAAGAGGGAGTCAGGGAAGCCATGAACCGTATTTTGGACGGCATGCCCAAGGAGGCCGGCTCACGCGCTGCCATCAAACCATTGGAACTCGAGACACTGCGGTTCAAAGCTGGAGGCACCAAAATGCCTGAGGCGGGCAGCCACCCACCATTCGAGCTTATGGGTGTACAGGCTGGTTTTGGCTTTGATGCCACACAGGCGCTCAGTTGGGCAGCGGTTGAGCTGCTAGCTGACTGCTGCTTCCTCACCTATGACTCCTATAGCGTCCCTTCGTCGTCCGCCATGTCCTCCACCCCGAGCCAGCGAGCGACCAAGAGGCGGCGCAAGGAGGGTGAAGGCTTAGAGAAGCTTTTGAGCCTCATGTCAGGAGGGCAAGCCCAGACGCGCCTTCTTGCGACCCAGGTCATTGTGTTCTTCGTCGACCGCCATTGGTCACAAATCCACGGGGAAGCAAAGGACGCCGTTCGCCGCCGGTTGTTACAGATTCTAGACGACGACGACATAGACCTGCAGTCATGGGCGTTCATTGGGCTCTCGTGTTTCGCCACGATCGACGCCAAAGCCGAGGTTCAAGAGCGGCGCAGCATGCCACTTACACCGTTGCACCGACAGGTGCAGCACTCGTCCTGGGGCCATATGTGGGAACACGCCATCCGCAAGGTGTCGGTCCCCAACATCGCCCGCGCAGCGTGCCACGCTGCCGAGGTATTGCTCCATACCGGCAAGGTCGACCAAGCGCGTAGTTTGCGGGATATTCACTTGCTCCTGAAGAGCGTGTCTGTCCAGGGCCCGCCTCAAGTTTATGAGACAACCACCTCCTTCCTTGTTGCCTGCCTCGACCGCGTTCGTGCCGACTCTGGTCTCTACGCGGCCAATCTCGAAGACGAGGTCATTGACTGGTTTGTGAGGACGTACAGTGCGGAAGGTTATCGCAAGACCCCCGGGCCCGTTACCCCTATCAACGTCCTCAATCTTTTCACACATATCTGCGACTGGGCCCCCGCCGAGCTGGAAGACGTTACCGTACTCGAATTGCTGCCAGACTGCCCGATCGTGAATCGCGTCATCGAGGAGGCGACCACCGAACCTCTGCGGCAGTTGATTCTCAACGCCACAATGCCAGCGCCTCCCGTGAGCACAAGAAAGCAGACTGCAATTACAGCCGGTCCGACCGACGTGGAATCACTCGCGTTGCTCGATGGGCGCCCACACAAGCTTTCCTACGCACTAAAAAATGCAATGGAGCAGACACTGTCTCGGTGGGCGTTGCTTCAAGACCGGTCGAGTCGCCATCTCATCAACGCCACCGGCGTTCGGAAGAGTATCGATCTCGTTGTGCTTGCCCTATCATTCCAGGCTGTTATCCATGTCAACGGACACCGTCCCGAGACGAGCTGTCTCAACCTCGCCGAGAAGCTCCTCGCCATACTCCTTCCGCATGTACGAGACATGGCCGAAAGCGTGAACGCCCAGTTACTAGTTTGGCGAGGGTTTGCGCCATTGTTTAGTCCGCGACACGTGCCGGTAGAGGTCTGGCCCATTCTCCTGAAGCCGGATCGCGCCTCTGGCATCCGTCGGGATGTACTCCCGTCTACGAAATACGCCTCTCACTACGATGAAGACGATGAGGATGCAAGTAGCCCCTCCGAGTTGCTGCTCTCCATACTGTGGAGCAATGAACAAGTACGCCGTTCCTCGTATCATGCTGACGTCCAGACAATAACAGTCCTAGACAGCCTGGTACAGACGGCGAAACACGCACTCGAGACTGTGCGAGCTCCGCGGTGTGGCACAACTATTGCTCTGGAGGCCGCGGAAGATGACGATTTCGGCCCGATCATTAATGCCGACTCTGACACGATGCCTGCTTCTCTCGAGTCGCGCGTGGCACAGCGCTCGACGTCGTTACTGGTAAAGACCCTGGTTGACTTGCGGCTCCGAGGTCAACAGCTGCGCTCTCCGGAGCGGCGTCCTCCTAAGGATACGTCACTCATCAACACTTTTGTCCAATGCGAAAGTGCGCAGTTCGCCCAGTTGGGAGCTGCGGTGTGCGATGCGATTCAGGACGGCAGTCTGAGACTCACAATCAACATTGTGGACGTCATAATGGCCGAAATTGAAGATCGCATCGCGACTTACGGGTTCAAGCGCGACAGTGAAGTTATTCGCCTGGCTGTCGTTTTCTTAGCGCGGACAGCGGCAGTCTGGTTGGCGCCAGAGAGCGGGCTCGGTGAAAGGGCGATCCAGATGATCAAAGGGTTTGTCTTAAAGGTGCATCACGATTACCCGACGTCGTGGCAGGCGCGCCTGCAATTATTGCTCTTCATCGATGAGTATCTCGAGTACGACCCTACATTCACAGCCTGGACACAATTGTCCGACACCGACCAGGCCGACGTCGTCATGGGCGGAGAGCACCCTGACGCTCTTGGGCCCATGAAGTACAACCTGGACGCAACAAGTGACCCGGATGCGCGGGTGCGCTTCCGCGCCGCAACATCTGCAGCTGCAGTACACTATCTCCCCGATTTGCCGGCCGATGTTAAGTCACAAGCGTACTACGACATCGTCACGAGGCAATCCTCTGACTCGTTCTCCGCCGACCATTTTTTGACCAACCTGGTGTGGAAGATCAACACGTGTGTTGCCAGCGCTCAGCTGCGCTCTGGAACAATTTTTCACCTCTATGAAGTTGCAGACTTCGCGCGCGAGTTTCTGATATATCTTCGCCCTGGTTTGGCCGCGATTGCGAACCGACTTGGGCTCAGCTCGCTGCAACCGTTGTTTTGCGCCCACGCGAATGTTGTGGTTGTCAACCAGTTGGGTCTTGGCCAACTTCCGCTCGCTTTACCACCAGAGGTCTACGGGTGTGAGACGCGCAAGCAGTTCGCCCAGCTCTGCCTTGAGGCCGTCGGCTCAAAAATTCTCGCTGAGCCTCACCTTTCGCATAACCTGCCGTTCTTCAAAGCGTTGTGCAACGCAGCTGGTGTGAAGGAGTCACAGGCTCGTAGGCGACACCTCCCATTCGCTGCCGCAATTGCAGTCGCACAGACAATTCAAGAGATCGACATGTCCGATTTTGAGACAATCAAGGCGCAGGGTCTGGAAGCTCTCCACTCTCTTCAGGCGGAAGACGGTGTTGATACCGGAGAGTATCTAACCCAAAGTGCAGAGACAGTTGTTGCTGCACTTTTCACTCTCGTCGACCTGCATATTCACAACGAGGAGGTTTTGGCCTGCCTGGATCACGACAGCTCACAAGGGGGTTCGGCCACGGAAACATTCGCCCTATTGATGAGAAACGATCAACCTCGTCCCGATAACCCGCCGGCGCTTGATCCAGCTGCGTCTATCTCGGGAGTGTTAGGTGCCAACCAATTCTTCCTTGCACGGTTCCCTTCAATGTCGAAGTCGCGCATGGTGTTCAGCGCCGTGGTCCGACTTTTCCACGAGGTCAACTCTGCGTATCTCGTCAATGAGCAGCGACGTTACCTCCGCGCTGTAGCCCTCTTGGCCTCGCTGTACCAGGGCGAATTTGCGTCGTCTCTGGTACTTCAAGAGTTCCTTCGCAACTCTATTGACTTATTGAGCATGGATGACGTGGGGCCCATCGCGTTCTCAATGGTCCAGTGGGGCTTCGACCAGCTCCTGAAAGCAAAGCAGACCCCTCCCGAGCTCGCGAACCTCTTGATTAAGCTTGGCGCGGCCTATGGGCAGCTACAAGCAAAACCCCACATGCAGGCGCTAGCTGAAGACCTTAACCACTGGGTAGGATCCAAATCCCAGACCTGGCACATGTCGGATGCGATGATGCCCTCGTTGGAGTCGGCTCTTGTTTACTGGCCACAGGGTTGGGTCGAGCACTTCCGCTTCCCGAAACAGCATTTCTTGGATGTCGCCGAACTCGCAAAGCGTCCCAGCATGAACAAGACTATGGCGCTCTCCAAGCGTCTGGTAGAAGCGGCACGGCGTCAAACCACCCCGGAGAACAAGGATACATTTATGTCGGCCACGTTTTGGTACCTCAAGCAGGGACTCAACCGCGACAAGTGGACGGCAGAAGGAGCGACTGCGTTTTTACAGCTCCTGGACATGGTCAACGGAAAGGTCCATGCGCCCTCGCTTGACACTATCAACAATCTTACCGGCCGTGCTGATATAATGGAAGTAGCTCGAAAGCTTGAAGACCGGCCACGCGATGCTCTGCGCGTCATAGTACTTCTCAGGGTTCTTGAGCAGACAACCAGCGATGACTATCGGCTCCGATACACGGCGTACGAAGTGTTACAGACGACGCTGCCAATCATCAAGAGCTCGCTCGACGCTCTGCCCCCTCACTTGCGCGAGTTGACCGCGTACTTGGTGCCAGATACGCCCGCGTCCAGTTCCGAAGAGCCGAATCTGGAGGCTTTGGGGGCCGAGGCAAGCTGGATACAGAAATCACGCTCGCACGAGGTGTGGGCCAAGGATCTCGCACTCCTACTCGGGGCCTCTGCGTCCACAACTGACGAGTTCTATGCTTGTCTGCAGCCCATGCTGTCGGCGCATGGCAATGCCGCTGTGCTTCTGCTGCCGTTTCTGGTGCAGAGTGTGCTCCAGTGCGATGACCTCCAACTAACTGCAAAGCGTGCCGATATCCTGTCGGACCACTTCTCCAAGGTTCTGCAGTTTACCGAGGCGTCATTGCAGACGATCGAGGCAATCATTCATATCGTGCTTCATCTGCGTAACTTCAAACCACCTTACGCGAAAGGCGAGCTCTCCTACAATCATTGGCTGAGTATCGACCCACTCGAGCTCTCCGAAGCTGCAGGTAGATGTGGATCGTTTGCCAGCTCCCTCTTGTTCCTGGAGATGGCTAAGGATCGCGACGAAATCGGCAACCAGGACCTCGACCTCTCAGATATGCGTGTGCAGAAGGTAAGACCCGCGATCCGGAGAGGAGCTGACTGTCAGGTCATGTATGACATCTACAGTAACGTGGAGGATCCAGACGGATTTTACGGGGTCCAAAACAACGATGTTATGGACTCCCTGCACCGACGTCTCGACCACGAGGGCCAGTATCAAAGAGCGATGTGTCACAATCTGGCGCAAGTCGAGGCCGCCCAGAGCCCGGCAGCATCGACCGTCCCGCTTATCTCCGCGCTGCGAAACCAGCACAACCTTGGTTTCCACGAGCTTGCGTTTTCGCAAATGAAGTTACTCAAGGCCAAACGCGAGGTTGGAGCAGACTCGGACGCATTTTTCCTGGACTTGGCGTGGCGAGTAGGCGATTGGGATGTGCCGGTCACCAAGGAGATGGCGGAGACATCAGCCGGACGGTTTTACAATGCGCTTCGCGCGGTGCATCGCGAGCGCGACTACGAAGTGGCGCGTGGGGTCGTTAATGACGCCATCTGTGCGGAGATGGCTCATCTGCAGGAGATTGGTGTGGAGCGAATGACAGAGATCAAGAAGGTGACAGCCGACCTCCTCTGCCTTCGCGACGTGGAGCATTGGGTGTCCCGGTCCTTGCAGCAGGCTTTGGAGCAGGACGACTTTGAGGGACGTCCGCTGACAGAGTTCGTCCGTCTTGACCCGTCATTTGAGTGAGTCGCTCTCTGTGCTGGTTGACCCCTAAGGTTTAAAACAGCCGAGCGCCTATCGGCGACGCGACTCTCCCTCATCCGCTCAGCCCGCATGCGAGAGAGCAAGAATCTTTTCGGCGATCTTGTGTCCTTACAGGCTGAGGGGCTGATGAAGATGGAGAGTCAGTGTCAGTTGCGCATGAGCCAGATCGCCCGCAAGGAGGGCAACTTGCAGGCGGCTGTAAATGCGATCACGGCAGTCAGCCGTCTCGAGGAGAGTGTAGGGGCGCTCTCGGAGGCTGCTCAGGACGAATTTAGCCAAGTTCTCTGGGCGCAAGGCGAGCACGCGCTGGCTATCAAACACGTTGGCTCAATTTTGAACCCACTGAAACTCATGGCCGATGAGAAGGGCCGTAAGGGGCTTGCCACCATTACTGCCCGCCACGCCATCCTTCTATCGCGCCAGGCGAACTGGTACTGGCTCGCTAAGCTCAAATCTGCCGAGGAGATTCGGTCAACGTCTAGGCGCGCCATGGATTTGGCCACGGCGGCTAGAGCCTCGCACGGGGATCAGGCACAGATGGCGCACGACTTCGCCGTCTTCACAGATCGATATCACCAGATGCTCGCCAAGTCGCCCGAGCTTGAGCGAGTCAAGCAGTACGTGGACCGACGACAAGCTGAAGTCAAGGCGGCAGAAACTGTGCGCGCCTCAACGCCAGGCAGCCGCCGCAGCACTCTGCCGGCAGACCACCTGCTCGAAGAAGAGAGCCAAAACATGGCCCGGCTAGAAGATGAGCTTCTGCGTTACGTCGTTTATGCTGTGCAGTCATATGCTGCGGCGCTGAGCTACACCGATAAGTTCGACGACTCGATCACTCGTCTATGCTCGCTGTGGCTGGAGCATGACACAAATCAGCTCGCAAACGAGAAATTCGCGCTGAGGCTCCCGCATGTCCCAACCCACAAGTTCCTATTCCTTAGTCCGCAGCTCTCAGCCAAGCTGTTCCGTCCGCCCACGCCAACCCCATTCAACACATTGCTCAACGATCTCATCCTGCGCACGGCGCAGGAGCATCCCTATCACATCCTGTACCAGATTATCACATTAGCTGACAACTCTGGGCCACCGCGGTCCTCTGGCTCGCGTGCTAAGGTTGTCGCAGCCGACGGACGGGTGGCTGCAGCGCAAGAGATCTTGGACCGTATCGCGGCGTCGACAGCGCACCGCGTGGCGCAGCCCGCTGTCAAGGCTATGAAGACATTCGCTGATCTTGCTGTCGCATGGTGCTACGCCGATCACCACAAAAGCAAGCCCGGGCAGGCGCTTACGGCCTCATCCTCCTCTCCCTTGATGCAGTGCCGTGGCCTCATGATCCCGGTTGCGACCGTGCCTCCCCCGGTCGACCTGGAGAAGAAATACGAAAACGTCCCAACTCTTGATCGATACCGCTCCTCGTTCAAGCTTGCCGGTGGCATCCACCGGCCTTCGATTATGACCTGTATCGACTCACTAGGACAACATCACGTACAACTGGTAAATGGCTCGCTGTGGTGACACACAACTGACAAACAGTTCAAAGGCGAGGACGACGTGCGACAGGACGCCGTGATGGAGCAGGTGTTCGAGATGACGAACAGGCTGCTGCAGCGTGACCGCCGCGCGAGCGCTCGCAGCCTGACGTTCCGCACGTACAATGTCGTCAACCTCGCCAATCGCTCGGGCATCATTCAGTTTGTGGGGAATACAACTGCAATTGGCGACTGGCTAAAGGACGCACACCAGCGTTATCGTGGGACCATTGATGTAAAGGCCGACGTAATCCGCAGGGCCATCGGCAAGCTCCAGGAGTCGGACAAATCTGGCGAACAAGGCCCAGCCATCACGAAGGTGTGGAAGGAGCACATGGCGCACTTTCACCCTGTCATGAGGCACTTCTTCTCAGAAAGACGCCGGGAGCCACTTGCATGGTTTACCATGCGTCTCAACTACGCGCGCAGTGTTGCTGTGACGTCTATGGTCGGGTGGATGATCGGCCTCGGCGACAGGCACTGCTCCAACATCCTCATCGACAAGGTGTCGGGCGAGCTCGTGCACATCGACTTCGGCATCGTGTTTGAGGAGGGCAAGAAGCTCCGCATTCCCGAGAAGGTGCCGTTCCGTCTCACTAATGACATTGTCGACGGCCTTGGCGTCACTGGAGTCGAGGGAACGTTCCGCCAGTGCTCAGAGCACACGTTGCGCGTGCTGCGCGAGTCGTCCGAGCTTATCCTTACCGTGCTTGAGGTGTTCAAGCATGACCCGCTGCACAACTGGTAAGCTGGTAGACCGTGATCTCCGCTGACCATAGGGTCGGTGATCCCAGCAAAATGCGCCGCGCCGGTGGTGGGCAGGCACAAGCGCAGAACGTTGGCCAGGATAAGGCCGAGCGCGTCCTCACGCAAATCCGCCAGAAATTGGGCCCAGAGCTCAGCGTCGAATACCGCGTCAATCAGCTTATGCAGGAGGCGCAAAACGAGGACCACCTTTCCAGGATCTTCATTGGTGAGTAGGGCGTCGTGCAGCAGAAGCTAACGAAAGGCTGGCAATCATGGCTCTAAAATTGAAACTCCCTTGTACTAATCCACCCGGCATCAGCGATACCCGCGACTCGTTCCACCTCTTTCTCTGTACTTTGTAGCATCACAACAGCATTCCCAAGTCGTTCTATGTGTATGCATCCATCGTTCTGTAATACAGCCCTGTTACAGCCACTCGACTGTTCCAGGGGGCTTGGAGGTGATGTCGTAAACGACGCGGTTGATGCCACGGACCTCGTTAGTAATGCGGCTCGAGATCTTCTTGAGAACCGAAGGGGGGAACTCGAACCAGTCGGCAGTCATGAAGTCCTCGGTGGACACGGCACGGAGGGCAATGACCTGGTCGTAGGTGCGGGCGTCGCCCATGACACCGACGGCACGGACGGGGAGGAGGGCGGCGAACGCTTGGGAGATGGCGTCGTAGAGGCCAGCCTTGCGGATCTCCTCAATGTAGATCTCGTCGGCGGCCTGGAGGATCTGGACCTGCTCGCGCGTGACCTCGCCGAGGATGCGGATGGCGAGACCGGGACCAGGGAAGGGGTGGCGGCCGACGAGATGGGCAGGGATGTTGAGGAGGCGGCCGAGGGCGCGGACCTCGTCCTTGAACAGCTCGCGGAGGGGCTCGATGAGCTTGAGCTTCATGTCGTCGAGCAGGCCGCCGACGTTGTGGTGCGTCTTGATCGTCGCCGAGGGGCCCTTAAACGAGATGCTCTCAATCACGTCCGGGTACAGCGTGCCCTGGAGGAGCCACTCGATGGGGCCGCGGGTCGTGTCGGCGGCGCACTCCTTCTCGATCTTGGCGGCCTCCTCCTCAAACACCTCGATGAAAGTGTTGCCAATGATCTTGCGCTTCTTCTCGGGGTCCTCGACGCCCTCGAGGCGGGCGAGGAAGCGGTCAGACGCGTCCACAACCGTGAGGTTGACGCCGAGGTCCTCGACCAACATCTTCTTCACCTTCTTCGCCTCGTCCATGCGCAGCACGCCGTTGTCGACCATGATGGCGTGGAAGCGGTCTCCGATCGCCTCGTGCATGATCTTAGCGGCGACGGTCGAGTCGACACCACCCGAGACAGCGCCGATCACCTGGCCCTTCTCGCCGCAGATCTCGCGGATACGCTTGATCTCCTTGGGGATGAACGTCTCCATGCTCCACCCACCCTTGATGCCGCAGATGTTGTTGACGAACGCGCCGATAACCTCCTTGCCCTTGGGCGAGTGCGTGACCTCGGGGTGGAACTGGACGCCGTAAATGGGGCGGCTCTCGTGCGCGATCGCGGTCCACGGCGACGTGGGCGTGTGCGCGAGCGTGAGGAAGTTGGGGGGCAGCTCGGAGAGCTGGTCGCCGTGCGACATCCACACCTGCAGGCCCTCCTTGCCGAGCTCGATGCCCTCGAAGAGCGCGTCGGCGTGCGGCTTGCCCGTCTTCTCGACCGTGATGAACGCCGATCCGTACTCCTTGTGCGTGTGCGGCTCGACCTTGCCGCCGAAGACGGTGGCAGTCTCCTGCAGACCGTAGCAGATGCCGAGGGTGGGCACGCCCGCCTCGAAGACCGCAGGGTCAACGTGCGGCGCGTCCTCCGCGTACACACTGTACGGCGAGCCCGAGAGGATGATGCCTGGCGTCAGTACCTAAATGTTCCCTTCCTCCGAGGTCACGGCCGTTTCGGCCATCGCGCATCGCGCTCCACGCATCACGCGTCGCGGCGGTAGCAAGTAACGCACCCTTAGGCTTCCACGTCAGATCGGCCATCTTCTGCGTGCACGGGAGCATCTCGCAGTACACCTGCTGTCAGTTCCGCCGCGGAGTCCAACTCACGCCCAGCTCACGGCAGCGGCGCGTGATCAGGTGCGAGTACTGCCTGTCAGCCATTGCATCATGCGCAGCGCACCTGCGACCCGAAGTCGAGGATGAGGATCGAGTCGTAGAGGTCGTGGATCTCGGCGGACACCATGGTGGATGGTCGGTGGGTGGATTGTGACCAGCCAACTTTGTTTGCCGCCGAAATCAGCGATCTGACTCGAGTCACCGAAGTTTTTACGTGAGGTGCCAGTTAAAGATGGAGGATTGTTGGAGCCCCGGAGGTATTTGGTCCCGCACAGCTGGTGGCAGATGGCAGTGTGAGGTTTGTGGCTGGTTATGCGGATGCTCTGCAGCGCTTAACTATGCCATTCCGAGCTTCCGAGCTGGTCAGATACGCGAGAAAGAGATCTACGGTACTCAGACGTATCTGAGGGGTATCATGAGTTGGCGCTCGGCGCCCTTGCTTATCAGTGCCCCGTTGCTGGAATCGAAGTTTGCCAGCAGCGCACAGTACCTGAATTTACTGTACATTGTCCTCCTCGATTCGATGAAGAGCTCACAGACTGTCAGCCCAAAGCAGCTTGCGTCAGACGAGCGGCAGCGTTGCAGGACACAGCCATAGGCATTCCGCCTTCCAACATTCCGCCTTCCAACCCCGCATCCTCTCAAGGTCGGCTTCCGCAGCCTTAGGGGCGTGACTCAATGTCGGGTCACATGTCTCAGTCCACTCGGCCGCACAAAGTCAGGATGCCTGGGCTGCGCGGCTCGAGTGGCCGAGTAGAGTGGTCGGAAGAGGCGAGGCATTGAATCCCCGAGTTGTGGTCCAAAGCGAACGCAGCGCGTATGTGCTACCGCATCTTACTTCCAGGTCTGCTGCAACAAACGTGCGATGAGGGTCATGAACGGCTGCGCATCGTAGAATCAGTGCTGGTGGTGATGACTGCTCGGAGGTTTGCACTACCTGAGCCATCAATTGCACGGTTGCGGCGTACTCGCCGAGATTCCCCAACGTTAATAAATAGCCACCCGCCCCAGGTACTAGCCTCCGAGGTGTCTCGAGCGCATGAGCAATTGACAAACGTGCCTGGTCTAGGCCTCCGTCAGCTGTTCATGAGCGACACGGCATGGCCACCGAGAACCGGTATCATGTGTGCATAACGTCCGAGCCTGAAGTCTAAGTGGCACGGCGAGAGTGACCCCGTGGATGCGGCTGCTCCAACCAAGCTCAGATCGAGCCCGCGAACAATCTCCCTCCGACCTACGCGCATCCACGATGCCACACACTGCGTGCAGCTCCCGACCCTGCGCCATTATGGAGCGCGCAGAGATGCCGGGAGACCGCCCGCCAGTCGCGCCTGCTGGCCGCCTTCACCCTGTGAACGACGGCAGCGGCAGCGACAGTCTAGGGAGCGGTCTAAGGGCCACCGCTCTGGCGCGCCTTGGCGGCCGCCTCGACTCGGGCCTGGTTGGTCTTAGCGATGGCGTAGACGATGCCAGCAATGCCGCCGACGCCAATGGCCGAGACGTTGCCAAACGACACCGGGTCCCCGAAGAAGAGCATGCCCGAAGCGGCCACGGGGAGCTTGTTGAGAGCACCAACCATCCTGTGATATTAGCTGATTGGCCAAAGTCGTTGACTTACGAGTAGGTAGTCGAGCCGCAGACGCGGACGCACCATGCCGTGCTGTACGAGATAAACACAGCGGCGGCGCCCGAGAAGACAATCGCGGAGAGCAGAATTGTGCGGTTCTCCGCGGGGAAGTTGTCCGACAGGCTCTTGGATCCCCAGTCCTCAAAGACAAGCGAAGCGACAACGAGGACGGGGATAGACAGAAGGTTGTTGTAGAACATCGAGTCCCAGTCCTTGAAGCCGGTGACCTTGATGCGCTTGCGCATGTACAGGACGTATGCGGCCGAGCAGGCGCAGTTGAGCGCCATCCAGAAGTAGCCGACGCTGACGCCGCCGATAGTGGGCATAGCAGTAAGCTCACGGCCAGTCGTCTGGTCAAGCGTGGTCGACCATGCGGAGGAGATGTCGGCCCAGGCGGCAATGACGGACGAGCCAACCATGAGGGCAAACGAGACAAGAGTCAGACCAGTGACAATACCGCTGAACATGAACACCTCGCCGTAGGCAATGAGGATAATGGTCAGGTTCTTGAAAATGCTGAGGGGTCAGCTTGGCTCCTGTACCATTGATCTTGTGGTAAGACTTACGTGTAGACGGGGATCGAGAGGAACTGCAGCGATTTGGAACCGGTGTAGATGACGGCGACAAGCAAGCAAGACACGGGGTACCACTGCTTGGCGTCCTTGAGGTCAAAGTCGCGGACTACACACGAGGTCAGCAATTGGAACAGCGATACAAGAGACTCCGCGCCAGTCCTCAGGCTCCCGCAAGAAATCCAGGGGTGGAGTGAAGATAATGACACTCACAGGAGATGACACCGGCGCGCTTCACGCTGTAGACGGCGAGAACGCACACGGACGACTGAATGGCGAGGAGGAGGAAGTTCATGTTGAACTTGGCACCCGACACGACATACTGGGCGAGTCAGCGGGGGTGGTTCTATCAGTGGTGTGTGGTGGAGGAGCAAATATCGTTTCGCGATATCAAGATATGAGGATGGTGCGAGGTGTGGCTCGCCGGCCCACGTCGGATTCTTACCTTGTTGACGACGGTCATCATAATGGACGCAGCGCAGTAATTGACAATGGGGAGGATCTGCTCGCGAGACGATGGGGCAGCGGGAGTGTCCTTGGCGGCGAGACTGGGGGAAGGAGGTCGCTGAGCGCCACCGAGGTTGGCCATGAGGACCTTCTCGTCCGCGTCGGAGCGGCGCTCGACGTTGTTCGAGTACATGCTGCTCGAGGAGGCGGAGCGCATGAGGGGGGGAGACCCCGAGCGAGAGAGGCTCGGGGTGGGGACGAAGGGCTTGGACATGTCGGCTGCGGGGGAGGGGAGGTGGTGCAGTCGGCAAGGAGGGGAGGGGGAAAGATGGAGGAGGGAGAAAGAAGAAGAAAGGGGGGAAAGAGTGTATGAGGTGAAAGATAAGAAGAAGATGACGAGGAGGAGGAGGGGGAGGAGGAGAAGGAGATTTGGAGATGAGAGAGATGAGAAGAGATGAGAAGAGATGGGGAGGAGAGGAGATGAGTTGAGGATGGAGGTTGAAGTGATGTCGAGGAGCCCGGGGGGG